GAGGGAGAGAGAGACAGAACAAGGGGGAGGATCCAGCGTTTGGTAGGGAATGAGAAATGGAATGACCCTCATAAACCATCCCCTATGGTGTGGTGTGGGGTCGATCGGCCCAAAAATCGTCTCTGGGGTGGTTTGGGCCAGCTTTCAGCATTCGGTTCCGGGGGTTCCCGGACTGTTGGGGCTACCACCTGGCAACACCCTAAGGATGCCAGCGTAGTGGCAGAGAACGTGCCGCGCATGGGCCACGAGCTCATCCGGCCGCTGGTCGCCGCTGCAACCGCGGGGTGTGTTCCAGCGTGCAGTTGTTTGTTGTTTTTTCTTTCTGAGGCTTCGACTTCTACAGATGAGCCAACCGCCCAAATGAGATGGCCAGCGAGCTGTGCGAGAAGAATCAAGAAAAGGCCAGTGAGCTTGCAGCATGTTTGCTAGATGGAAGGTATGTGCCCAAATGTATTCTGGGTCCCTGCTCCGGAATGCCCAGCAGAAAGTGAGTTGAACCACGGGCAAACTAGGCCAAGCAACAGGTTTGCAACATGCGAATGCTGTAGAATTGAGAAGCCAGTTGGCACTGTTGATGTTCGTGGCCTTTGGCTCCAGAACTAGAGACACCTGGTTGCTAAGATCGCGTGTTTCAGATGGCGTGTGATCGGAATCGGAGAGAGGATTTTCGTGCGCACCCGCATTCGAACTGATCCTGGTGGGTGAACTTCTTGCCCGCTCGCTCAGTCTTGCATCCTCGTTGGATGTGCTTGCTGCGCAAATGGCATGAGTCCCCACGAGATCAAGCAGGCGTTGTTGCACGAATCCGGGCAAAGACTGCCAGACTGTCACTGGTCTCATGGCAGCCAAATCTCGTTGCCTGTGCAGAAGTACCTCACAATTTCCACACATGTAAAGTCAAAAAGAGCGTTGTGGGGTGGACGACTTGCCCAATGAATGGTTCACCAAATGGATGAGCGCAGAATCATATTCGCAGTTTCAGAGCGCATGCGCGCGCAGGGGCAAAGCTGGCCAGGCGCTTCCGCAGCCCTGCGGAAGCGCCTGGCAGCAGGAGTCCGCGGATTCCCCGTAGTAGCGCGCGAGTCCGCAGAACCTTCGCGCGTTTTTACAAGACAGCCCAAGCTCGCGGGTCGGTGTGATTCTTCCGGCAGGTGACTAAGTGCTTGGGGCAATCAGCCAGAGACCTGCCCACAGCCAAGGACAAGGCAGATCTGCTGCCTCAAAAGTCAGCGTGGCTGAGGCCTGGCAGCCTTTCAATGAGGGGCTGCCAGGATCACGCCAACTGCGCATGTGGTTGCCCCGGGCGCAAGGTTTGTTCGAAGCCATCTTAGGCAGCCCCTGATTTGGCTGCGGTTTGCGCGCAGGAGCCGTGCCAAAGGAACTGCAAGGATCGGCGAGGATGCGTGTCACGCAACAAGAACACCAAGCCGGCTGGAAGCAATGTTTCCGCCGGGAGTCCAGATTGCTGGGGACAGCTTCGCCGTGTTTTCCCTCAGGGCTTGTGCGTCCAAGCGTGGATGTGTGTGGAGGTGCATGGCGGCGGCTGACGTACTGGTGCCATTTGTTCTTTGCAGCTGCACAGCTTCCATGCCTTCTGACCCAGCTGTACTCCTCCCGGGGTGATGCTGAACATAGAATTGCTAGCAAGTAGGCCTGACCCTTGAGTGTCGGCTCACCATAGCGTCAACCCCGCCAACTAAACCAGACTAATCCATGACCAGGCCCTGTTCCTCAACCAAAGGCGCACAAAGTGCAATGCCACCAATGTAAAAACCTGGCCCAAAGCAGCTGCTCGCCAGACCTTTGCAAAGCAATGCGAGAAGCAAGAGCTGGCTGAGCCTGGCGACTGTGTGGGCGCGCGGACCTGCATCGCTGCGCGCAGCTGCGTGTAAACCGGGCCCGCCCATGCATCTTCCATTGGGTTCCACGTAGCAAGGCTCACGCAGGTTGTGCCAAATCAAGAAGACACATTCTAAGCCAGTGGCAGGTTGTCTGCCCGATGCCATGGCGATTCAAGAGCTGCAGCTTCTTGACCGTTGCCAAGTGGACAACTGCACAGTGACGCGGCACACTAGCTGCAGGGCCAAGACAAACGCCCATGCCTCGAACTTGGAACGCTCGTAGAGGGGTGCCTTTTTCAAACTGGCGCATGTTCCTTGCCTCGGTTGCCTCAGAGAGGCATCCTGGCACCTTCGCAGCATTTGGCAGCCTTTAGCAGAGACTTGCCCACCCTTGTCGCACAGCAGAGGCTTGTAGAGATGCGTGGCTTGGCTTAAACATTTTTCCGCAGAGCGGCATTTAGGCATCATGGGGTCCAAGGCAAATGCAGCGTCCAGGATCAAGCTAGACTCAGACTGAGAGCTGATTGGGGGGCCAGAAACCCTGTGCCTCAAGCCAAAAGCCAAGGCCCGCAAAGTACAATGCCACCAACGTGCAAACCTGGCCCAAAGCATGCACTGGGCCGTGGGAACAACATGATGAAGGTGTGCAGCTTCCTTATTCTCCGTTTGTCCACAGCTGCTCGCCAGACCTTTGCAAAGCAATGCACGAAGCAAGAACTGGCTGATCCTGGCGACTGAGTGGGCGCGCGGACCTGCATCGCTGCGCACAGCTGCGTGTAAACCGGGCCCGCCCATGCATCTTCCATTGGGATCCACGTAGCAAGGCTCACGCAGGTTGTGCCAAATCAAGAAGACACATTCAACCTCATTCTAAGCCAGTGGCAGGTTGTCTGCCCGATGCCATGGCGATTCAAGAGCGGCAGCTTCTTGACCGTTGCCAAGTGGACAACTGCACAGTGACGCGGCGCACTAGCTGCAGGGCCAAGACAAACGCCCATGCCTCGAACTTGGAACGCTCGTAGAGGGGTGCCTTTTTCAAACTGGCGCATGTTCCTTGCCTCGGTTGCCTCAGAGAGGCATCCTGGCACCTTCGCAGCATTTCGCAGCCTTTAGCAGAGACTTGCCCACCCTTGTCGCACAGCAGAGGCTTGTAGAGATGCGTGGCTTGGCTTAAACATTTTTCCGCAGAGCGGCATTTAGGCATCATGGGGGCCAAGGCAAATGCAGCGTCCAGGATCAAGCTAGACTCAGACTGAGAGCTGATTGGGGGGCCAGAAACCCTGTGCCTCAAGCCAAAAGCCAAGGCCCGCAAAGTACAATGCCCCCAACGTGCAAACCTGGCCCAAAGCATGCACTGGGCCGTGGTAACAACATGATGAAGGTGTGCAGCTTCCTTATTCTCCGTTTGTCCACAGCTGCTCGCCAGACCTTTGCAAAGCAATGCGCGAAGCAAGAACTGGCTGATCCTGGCGACTGAGTGGGCACGCGGACCTGCATCGCTGCGCACAGCTGCGTGTAAACCGGGCCCGCCCATGCATCTTCCATTGGGATCCACGTAGCAAGGATGACGCAGGTTGTGCCAAATCAAGAAGACACATTCTACGCCAGTGGCAGGTTGTCTGCCCGATGCCATGGCGATTCAAGAGCTGCAGCTTCTTGACCGTTGCCAAGTGGACAACTGCACAGTGACGCGGCGCACTAGCTGCAGGGCCAAGACAAACGCCCATGCCTCGAACTTGGAACGCTCGTAGAGGGGTGCCTTTTTCAAACTGGCGCATGTTCCTTGCCTCGGTTGCCTCAGAGAGGCATCCTGGCACCTTCGCAGCATTTGGCAGCCTTTAGCAGAGACTTGCCCGCCCTTGTCGCACAGCAGAGGCTTGTAGAGATGCCTGGCTTGGCTTAAACAATTTTGCATGCACTGGGCCGTGGGAACAACATGATGAAGGCGTGCAGCTTCCTTATTCTCCGTTTGTCCACAGCTGCTCGCCAGACCTTTGCAAAGCAATGCGCGAAGCAACAACTGGCTGATCCTGGCGACTGAGTGGGCGCGCGGACCTGCATCGCTGCGCACAGCTGGGTGTAAACCGGGCCCGCCCATGCATCTTCCATTGGGGTCCACGTAGCACGGATAACGCAGGTTGTGCCAAATCAAGAAGACACATTCTAAGCCAGTGGCAGGTTGTTTGCCCGATGCCATTGCGATTCAAGAGCTGCAGCTTCTTGACCGTTGCCAAGTGGACAACTGCTTCCTTTTTCTCCGTTTGTCGACAGCTGCTCGCCAGACCTTTGCAAAGCAATGCGCGAAGCAAGAACTGGCTGAGCCTGGCGACTCAGTGGGCGCGCGGACCTGCATCGCTGCGCACAGCTGGGTGTAAACCGGGCCCGCCCATGCATCTTCCATTGGGTTCCACGTAGCAAGGCTCACGCAGGTTGTGCAAAATCAAGAAGACACATTCAACCTCATTCTAAGCCAGTGGCAGGTTGTCTGCCCGATGCCATGGCGATTCAAGAGCTGCAGCTTCTTGACCGTTGCCAAGTGGACAACTGCACAGTGACGCGGCGCACTAGCTGCAGGGCCAAGACAAACGCCCATGCCTCGAACTTGGACCGCTCGTAGAGGGGTGCCTTTTTCAAACTGGCGCATGTTCCTTGCCTCGGTTGCCTCAGAGAGGCATCCTGGCACCTTCGCAGCATTTGGCAGCCTTTAGCAGAGACTTGCCCGCCCTTGTCGCGCAGCAGAGGCTTGTAGAGATGCGTGGCTTGGCTTAAACATTTTTCCGCAGAGCGGCATTTAGGCATCATGGGGGCCAAGGCAAATGCAGCGTCCAGGATCAAGCTAGACTCAGACTGAGAGCTGATTGGGGGGCCAGAATCCCTGTGCCTCAAGCCAAAATCCAAGGCCCGCAAAGTGCAATGCCACCAACGTGCAAACCTGGCCCAAAGCATGCACTGGGCCGTGGGAACAACATGATGAAGGTGTGCAGCTTCCTTAGTCTCCGTTTGTCCACAGCTGCTCGCCAGACCTTTGCAAAGCAATGCGCGAAGCAACAACTGGCTGAGCCTGGCGACTGAGTGAGCGCGCGGACCTGCATCGCTGCGCACAGCTGGGTGTAAACCGGGCCCGCCCATGCATCTTCCATTGGGATCCACGTAGCAAGGATGACGCAGGTTGTGCCAAATCAAGAAGACACATTCCAAGCCAGTGGCAGGTTGTCTGCCCGATGCCATGGCATGCCATGGCGATTCAAGAGCTGCAGCTTCTTGACCGTTGCAAAGTGGACAACTGCTTCCTTTTTCTCCGTTTGTCGACAGCTGCTCGCCAGACCTTTGCAAAGCAATGCGCGAAGCAAGAACTGGCTGAGCCTGGCGCGCGCGGACCTGCGTCGGAGAAATCCCTCTGCCTGTGCAGGACTAACGGCATGCGTCGTCTCGAGGCACTCGGTGACAGTCCGCACGCCACCTTTTCAACTTTCCGGTCTGCACGCAAAAGCAACAAATGTGTCCGAGGTCGCTAATGATATTTCCGACTTTCTCATAGCCAGTCGGAGAGGTTACATGCGCAGCTGCTTTGCGCAAGCGGCTTGCTTGGCGCGCAAGGAGGGAGACCTGCAGTTTGGGAAGCCGCAAAGGACGCGCCTTCTTTCAGCAGATGCGCCTCTTGTAACAGCAGTCAGATGGAACAGCAGTCAGATGGAACTCGTTTGAAACACAACAAGTCGCAACAGGCAGTCCCAGCATTCCTGCAAAATGGGCTGATTAGGCATTTGCCTTCAGCCCACACATCCATCCGATTCTAGCCGAGCGAGGTGAAACCTGTAAAGCTGTACCCTATGATTTCCCCTAGCACTTTGCCAGACACCTCTTGCAAGCTATTTGCAGCAACTCGGGGCAGTATTTCCTATTTGGAATCAGGGCCCCAACACTCTTTTTGCTGTGGCTTGCTGGGACCTTGCACCTGTGTGATGCTTTTGCTTGCAAAGCTTGCAGCTCAACGCTCGCGGCGGAAGCTTCCGCGACGGAAGGCGCAGCGAGGCATGTCTCGGCAGGCAGGTGCCTGCTCCGGAATGCCCTGCAGCAAGTGAGTTGAAGCATGGGCAAATGCTGTAGAATTGAGAAGCCAGTTGGCGCTGTTGATGTTCGTGGCCTTTGGCTCCAGAACTAGAGACACCTGGTTGCTAAGATCGCGTGTTTCAGATGGCGTGTGATCGGAATCGGAGAGAGGATTTTCGTGCGCAACCGTATTCAAACTGATCCTGGTGGGTGAACTTCTTGCCCGCTCGCTCAGTCTTGCGACCATCCTCGTTGGATGTGCTTGCTGCGCAAAAATGGCATGAGTCCCCACGAGATCAAGCAGGCGTCGTTGCACGAACCATCCGGGCAAAGACTGCCAGACTGTCACTGGTCTCATGGCAGCCAAATCTCGTTGCCTGTGCAGAAGTACCTCACAATTTCCACATGTAAAGTCAAAAAGAGCGTTGCGGGGTGGACGACTTGCCCAATGAATGGTTCACCAAATGGATGAGCGCAGAATCATATTCGCAGTTTCAGAGCGCATGCGCGCGCAGGGGCAAAGCTGGCCAGGCGCTTCCGCAGCCCTGCGGAAGCGCCTGGCAGCAGGAGTCCGCGGATTCCCCGTAGTATAGCGCGCGAGTCCGCAGAACCTTCGCGCGTTTTTTCAAGACAGCCCAAGCTCGCGGGTCGGTGTGATTCTTCCGTCTGGTGACTAAGTGCCTGGGGCAATCAGCCAGAGACCTGCCCACAGCCAATGACAAGGCAGATCTGCTGCCTCAAAAGTCAGCGTGGCTGAGGCCTGGCGGCCTTTCAATGAGGGGCTGCCAGGATCACGCCAACTGCGCATGTGGTTGCCCCGGGCGCAAGGCAGCCCCCGATTTGGCTGCGGTTTGCGCGCAGGAGCCGTGCCAAAGGAACTGCAAGGATCGGCGAGGATGTGTGTCACGCAACAAGAACACCAAGCCGGCCGGAAACAATGTTTCCGCCGGGAGTCCAGATTGCTGGGGACAGCTTCGCCGTGTTTTCCCTCAGGGCTTATGCGTCCAAGCGTGGATGTGTGTGGAGGTGCATGGCGGCGGCTGACGTACTGGTGCCATTTGTTCTTTGCAGTTGCACGGCTTCCATGCCTTCTGACCCAGCTGTACTCCTCCTCGGGTGATGCTAAACATAGAATTGCTAGCAAGTAGGCCTGACCCTTGAGTGTCGGCTCGCCATAGCGTCAACCCCGCCAACTAAACCATACTAATCCATGACCAGGCCCTGTTCCTCAACCAAAGGCACACAAAGTGCAACGCCACCAATGTGCAAACCTGGCCCAAAGCACGCAATGGACCCCGGGAACAACATGATGAAGGCGTGCAGCTTCCTTATTCTCCGTTTGTGCACAGCTGCTCGCCAGACCTTTGCAAAGCAATGCACGAAGCAAGAACTGGCTGAGCCTGCGACTGCGTGGGCGCGCGGACCTGCATCGCTGCGCACAGCTGGGTGTAAACCGGGCCCGCCCATGCATCTTCCATTGGGATCCACGTAGCAAGGCTGACGCAGGTTGTGCCAAATCAAGAAGACACATTCTAAGCCAGTGGCAGGTTGTCTGCCCGATGCCATGGCATGCCATGGCGATTCAAGAGCTGCAGCTTCTTGACCGTTGCCAAGTGGACAACTGCACAGTGACGCGGCGCACTAGCTGCAGGGCCAAGACAAACGCCCATGCCTCGAACTTGGAACGCTCGTAGAGAGGTGCCTTTTGCAAACTGGTGCATGTTCCTTGCCTCGGTTGCCTCAGAGAGGCATCTTGGCACCTTCGCAACCTTTAGCAGAGACTTGCCCGCCCTTGTCGCACAGCAGAGGCTTGTAGAGATGCGTGGCTAGACTCAGACTGAGAGCTGATTGGGGGGCCAGAAACCCTGTGCCTCAAGCCAAAAGCCAAGGCCCGCAAAGTACAATGCCACCAACGTGCAAACCTGGCCCAAAGCATGCACTGGGCCGTGGGAACAACATGATGAAGGCGTGCAGCTTCCTTATTCTCCGTTTGTGCACAGCTGCTCGCCAGACCTTTGCAAAGCAATGCACGAAGCAAGAACTGGCTGATCCTGGCGACTGAGTGGGCGCGTGGACCTGCGTCGCTGCGCACAGCTGGGTGTAAACCGGGCCCGCCCATGCATCTTCCATTGGGATCCACGTAGCAAGGATGACGCAGGTTGTGCCAAATCAAGAAGACACATTCTAAGCCAGTGGCAGGTTGTCTGCCCGATGCCATGGCATGCCATGGCGATTCAAGAGCTGCAGCTTCTTGACCGTTCCAAAGTGGACAACTGCTTCCTTTTTCTCTGTTTGTCGACAGCTGCTCGCCAGACCTTTGCAAAGCAATGCGCGAAGCAACAACTGGCTGAGCCTGGCGACTGAGTGGGCGCGCGGACCTGCATCGCTGCGCACAGCTGGGTGTAAACCGGGCCCGCCCATGCATCTTCCATTGGGATCCACGTAGCAAGGCTCACGCAGGTTGTGCCAAATCAAGAAGACACATTCTAAGCCAGTGGCAGGTTGTTTGCCCGATGCCATGGCGATTCAAGAGCGGCAGCTTCTTGACCGTTGCCAAGTGGACAACTGCACAGTGACGCGGCACACTAGCTGCAGGGCCAAGACAAACGCCCATGCCTCGAACTTGGAACGCTGGTAGAGGGGTGCCTTTTTCAAACTGGCGCATGTTCCTTGCCTCGGTTGCCTCAGAGAGGCATCCTGGCACCTTCGCAGCATTTCGCAGCCTTTAGCAGAGACTTGCCTGCCCTTGTCGCACAGCAAAAGCTTGTAGAGATGCGTGGGTTAGCTTAAACATTTCTCCGCACAGCGGCGTTTAGGCATCATAAAAGCCAAGGCAAATGCAGCGTCCGGGATCAAGTCAGACTAAGAGCTAATTAGGAGGCCAAAGACCCTGTGCCTCAAGCGAAAAGCCAAGGCCCGCAAAGTGCAATGCCACCAACGTGCAAACCTGGCCCAAAGCACGCACTGGGCCCCAAAAACAACATAATGAATGTGTGCAGCTTCCTTATTCTCCGTTTGTCAACAGCTGCTCACCAAACCATTGCAAAGCAATGCGCGAAGCAACAACTGGCTGAGCCTGGCGACTGAGTGGGCGCGCGGACCTGCATCGCTGCGCACAGCTAAGTGTAAACCGAGCCCGCCCGCCCATGCATCTTCCATAGGGATCCACGTAGCAAGGATGACGCAGGTTGTGCCAAATCAAGAAGACACATTCTAAGTCAGTGGCAGGTTGTCTGCCCGATGCCATGGCGATTCAAGAGCTGCAGCTTCTTGACCGTTGCCAAGTGGACAACTGCACAGTGACGCGGCGCACTAGCTGCAGGGCCAAGACAAACGCCCATGCTTCGAACTTGGAACGCTCGTAGAGGGTTTCAAACTGGCGCATGTTCCTTGCCTCGGTTGCCTCAGAGAGGCATCCTGGCACCTTCGCAGCATTTGGCAGCCTTTAGCAGAGACTTGCCCGCCCTTGTCGCACAGCAGAGGCTTGTAGAGATGCGTGGCTTAGCTTAAACATTTTTTCTGCACAGCGGCATTTAGGCATCATGGGGGCCAAGGCAAATGCAGCGTCCAGGATCAAGCTAGACTCAGACTGAGAGCTGATTGGGGGGCCAGAATCCCTGTGCCTCAAGCCAAAATCCAAGGCCCGCAAAGTGCAATGCCACCAACGTGCAAACCTGGCCCAAAGCATGCACTGGGCCGTGGGAACAACATGATGAAGGTGTGCAGCTTCCTTAGTCTCCGTTTGTCCACAGCTGCTCGCCAGACCTTTGCAAAGCAATGCGCGAAGCAACAACTGGCTGATCCTGGCGACTGAGTGGGCGCGCGGACCTGCATCGCTGCGCACAGCTGGGTGGCAACGGGCCCGCCCATGCATCTTCCATTGGGATCCACGTAGCAAGGATGACGCAGGTTGTGCCAAATCAAGAAGACACATTCTAAGCCAGTGGCAGGTTGTCTGCCCGATGCCATGGCATGCCATGGCGATTCAAGAGCTGCAGCTTCTTGACCGTTGCAAAGTGGACAACTGCTTCCTTTTTCTCCGTTTGTCGACAGCTGCTCGCCAGACCTTTGCAAAGCAATGCGCGAAGCAAGAACTGGCTGAGCCTGGCGCGCGCGGACCTGCGTCGGAGAAATTCCTCTGCCTGTGCAGGACTAACGGCATGCGTCGTCTCGAGTCACTCGGTGACAGTCCGCGCGCCACCTTTTCAACTTCCTGGTCTGCACGCAAAAGCAACAAATGTGTCCGAGGTCGCTAATGATATTTCCCGACTTTCTCATAGCCAGTCGGAGAGGTTACATGCGCAGTTACTTTGCGCAAGCGGCTTGCTTGGCGCGCAAGGAGGGAGACCTGCAGTTTGGGAAGCCGCAAAGGACGCGCGTTCTTTCAGCAGATGCGCCTCTTGTAAAAGCCGCCAGATGGAACTCGTTTGACACAGAAAAAGTCGCAACAGGCAGTCCCAGCATTCCTGCAAAATGGGCTGATTAGGCATTTGCCTTCAGCCCACACATCCATCCGATTCTGCCCAGCGTTTTAGTAGCCGAGCGAGGTGAAAACTGTAAAGCTGTAACCTATGATTTCCCCTAGCACTTTGCCAGACACCTCTTGCAAGCTATTTGCAGCAACTCGGGGCAGTATTTCCTATTTGGAATCAGGGCCCCAACACTCTTTTTGCTGTGGCTTGCTGGGACCTTGCACCTGTGTGATGCTTTTGCTTGCAAAGCTTGCAGCTCAACGCTCGCGGCGGAAGCTTCCGCGACGGAAGGCGCAGCGAGGCATGTCTCGGCAGGTGCCACGTTCGGATAACTCGGGGCAACTTGTGCTTCGGCCATCCCCAAAACTTGGAGCGAGTGGAACTTGAAAGAGAGGCTTGCAATAGCCACGCCTCTCGCTCAAGCTTGTCAAGCTGTGCTTGCAAGTCAGACCGTAGAGGCCGGGTTGCGCAGCCGTCATTGCAGCTGTGCCATCGGTCAAGCATGTGAAGCCGCGCTGGCAGCACAGACCTTTAAGGCCGGGTTAACACAATTGTCATTGCAGCTGTCCTGTCGGTCAAGCATGTGAAGCCATACTTGCAAGACTGACCAAACAGGCCCACGCCGTTGCAGCTGTTCCCTCGGTGAAGCAGGTGAAGCCTGGAAGGCAAAGCAGTCGCTGGCATTGGGCACCCCAGGTGGAAAGAAACAGAACGTGGGAAGCAGCAACAAGCTCACTTCGTCATAGTCGCCAGTTGGAGGCCAGCGGCATCCAGCGGCGACCGACTGAAGGCGCTGCCAGGCAGCAGGCAGCTACCACCCAAGTGTCGCCGGCCAAGATGCTGTTAGGAAAGGCACAGGTGAGACGTCGCCGCATCAGTCAAGGCGGGGTGAGGGCCAGTGAAAAGAGGAGGGGGCCCGGAGATGCCCTGCACCCCCGCAAGTTCAACAAGAATTATGGTGCCCGGTTACCTTTGTTTTTCAGTTGGTTTCCCGTTGCAGTCAACCCACCCAATAAAAAGAGTGTGTCTTTGTGGCATGTGGGAGTTTGGCGACCCATTTTGAAGGACCCATTTCCGACATGTTGGGAGTGTCACTCTAATGGACCTGGCAGAGTGTTCAAATTGGGATGTGTTGGTTCCTCCGAGACTCGCCCTCACCCAGTCCCCCAGTTCCGCCTACAGTAGGGCAAGCATGGTTGACCTCTACCCAGATCACCAAGTCGCTGCTTTTTTCCAGACCTTTTACCCTGAGAACAGTCACAGTTGCTGGAGCCAAAAAACAGCAACTGGCGCGACCAGTTGGTGTTAAACCAGGATTTGCTGCAAATTGCGGATGAAACAACCAGCCCTTGGTCGGAAAAAGTGCAAATGATGATCTTGAAGCAACACTATTGGATTATGCTTTCAACCAATACTTGTTCAAGGGAGAACCGCCGGTTGTGGCCTACCGCGGTTTTTTTGTTGTGGAGGCTTCGACTTCTCCAGATGAGCCAACAGCCCAAATGGGATGGCCAGCGAGCAGTGCACAAAGTGGAAAAGGCCAGTGTGCTTGCAGCATGTTTGCCCAAATTTCTTTCGCGCCCCTGCCCGGAATGCCCAGTGCGGCAGCAGGTTCCAAGGATTTTGAACTCAAGCGAGTTGAACCACGGGAAAACCAGGCCAAGCTTTCAGTCAGAGGTTGTTTGTTGAGTCAGCAGGGTTTTTGAAGCTGCCACAGCCACAGGTCTAAGCGCCTCAGGTGAATTAAGCCAGCAAGACTTCAGGAATTTCGCTGAGAGAGGTAAGTGCAACAAGATTGAGAGCTGCTTTCTGTGCATTTTGACGCCTATGTGTGGGACAAGTCCATGGCGCAGAAAGATAAGAAGAAGCCCGAGGCGGGCTAAGCCCGCGGCTTCGCAGGGCACCGAGGCGATTTGTGAAGGCGTGTTTTCGTGGATGGAGAAGTGCATTGAATTTCACAAACCAAACCCAACCAACAGAATGGGTGTTGTTTGCTGTGCGTGTTTGGATCTCAAAAGACGAATGCAGATGAATGCAGAGCTTTGCGATGCATTCTTCGCAAGCTGGTCTTGGAAACTCTATGGCTTTTACAAGGCTTTTGTCAAAGAGGATGAGAAGGAGACCGTTTCGAAATGCCTTCGGAGCTGTGCTGAAACATGCATTGTGGGTGCCAATCGGCGCATCGTGGAACAGTGACAGCTTGTTCTCATTGTCCTCTGAACATATTCGGAGCACCTCCATAATCATGGTTGTACTCTGGTTTGAAGCATGTTATTCCAAGGAAATTCAATGTTATCGATCTCATGATACATCTTGGCGGTTTTGCCTGGCAAATCAGGATACTTGGATGTTTTTTTCACATGTACCAGGACCGTTCACGCTGAACTGCGTTTGGGCTTGGTGGGATGAATGTGTGCGTGCACGTGTGTGTGTGTGTGTGGGGCGTGTGCGCGTACGTGTTTGTGTTTGTTTGTGTTTGTGTTTGTGTATGTGTATGTGTGTGTGTGTTGCGAGCGCGGGTTTTGTGGGTTCGTGCCATTTCTAAAGGCTGGTTTAATGGGAGATCAAAAGGACAACCACAACTTTTGAAAACCCCCCCCCCATTCTCACAGACTCATACCAGTTGCGTTGCATTCTGCAGCTATTCTGGGATATGTGGGCCGGGAGGCCTTGCTTCCCAAATCAGAACAGCTGGGGTGGTCCTGGTAGAATCGTTGAGATGAACGGATTCTTGGAGCAGGGTTTGCTCCATGTCCCTTTTTGGAACCTCCAGAAGTGGCAGTTTTAGGTGACACCACCCGTAAATTGATCAACGTTTGATTTGGGGACATCCAGCGATCCCAGTGAGCTGCTGTAGAGACCCTTTGGACGACGCTTTGCCACGCTGCTGTCGCCAGAAAAAGATTCCGGACTCCCGGCAGCTGAGCCAGGCCATTCTGGGGAACATGTTGGTCGGGTTCAGCATGCTAAGGGTCAGCCGGGATGAAGTGCAAGCTTGTTTGGCATCTTGTAAGCATTCGAAGCATCTCACGCCTTTGAAGTTCAGATGGCCAAAAAGAAGACATCATGATCAGCCCTGTTTATATGGGTGACATGCTTCCAGAATGAAGCAGGGTGAGTTCTAGGGGGAAGCTAGGGGATTTCGAGAAACTGGCAAGGGCCTAAGCTTTTGGCGGGCTTCCTTTGGTGCCGAACATCACTCAACTTGTGTCTCAGATTGCTCCATGGAAACCCGCCAAGCAGGATCGAGCGTCAACGCCTCGCACAAAACATAAAATAAAATAAAAATCGGATGCTGCGTGGGCTCGCTCTTGTGTGCGCCCTGCGACTCATGAGCAGTCCAACTATGGGTATGGGCCATACGGTATGGGTGCCTCGTGTTTTTTGCTGGGCCAAGGAGTGAATGCCCTCTGCGAGGTAAATGCCTACCCAGTGCTTCCAGTTGCTCGGAACCGCACCCCTAAATACGGGCCCCACCAATTAATACCTGCTGAGAGGCACACAAATCTTTAAACAGCACGAAAAAAAACACCTACTGAGTGACTGTTGCGGAAAGCCAATCCTACTAGCCCCATGTGAGATCAAGTTCCTTGGCCAATTCTTGGGCCTCAACGGTTGCTGTAGGATGGCTTAAAGGCCTAAAGGCAAATTAACACTTCCATTTGCTTAAGAATATTTTATCTGTTCCTTTGTTGGTTTTAAAAGAAATCTATCACTACTGGACATATTTCATTTTTTCCACGGGGCGAAAAAGCAAATGGAAGAAAAGGAACGCAAGAGGTGAGCACCTCGGAGCTGGAGTCCATCGTCTTCGGAGGATCTCTTTTTCCTTTGTTCGGACGACAAGAACGGGGGCCGGCGGAGGGAATTTGTCGGTTCCTCCCTGTGGCAAAGGGTCTGAGCCAGTTCTCTTTGGTGCATTTTGCTTGGATGTTAGGACTTTATGCCATCTAATGGGTTTTCCATTAAACCACTAATGGGTTTTCCAGGATAGCAGAAAGCAAGCGAATTTTGGCACCTACTGTGGCAGTTTCAATGGGAAGCCTCCAGTAAATTGATCAACTTTTGAAGGGGAAGGGAGGTGGCAAAACGTGCACAGAGCGTTGGGCCAGTTGTGTTTCGCCGATCCCTGGTGAGAACACCGTGGGTGTTTTTTTGCAGATGCCATAGAAGCCACGCTGCTTACTGCGCTACCGTTGGAATACTCTCATCACACTGAACAAGTTGGGTGTGTGTTTGTTTGTTTATTCGTTTGCTGTAGTCTTTCCAGGCAAATTGCCTGTATAGTTTCCTGTACTAGTTTCTGTGACTCCTACTTCCGACTATTGGGTTTCCCAGTGTATCGTGAATCCCAGATGTTGCTTGGTGGCCCCATTGTGGAATGTATTGTACAGTCAAGACGTAGATTGGCCGTGCTTCAGTGAATTGATTGCAAGTTGTCAAATGGCCATGGGGCATAACCTATGGCTCCATTTTGGCGTGGATGAGCATCCATTTGCCACCTATTTTGACGTGCACCAGGGTTACAGGGTTTTGACCCGCAGCCAAATTGGTGCAGACTTCGACCTAGATCGGCAGGCGCTGATGACGAAGATGAGCATGTCGAGGATGTAGCGAAGACCCAGGAGGGATTTGATGTACGATGCGGCAGGGTCAGAGGCAGACTTGGTAACCAAGTCTTGGTTGATATTGGTCAATGTTGGTTTGGTTGCTATTTTGTTGATGATTGGTTGATGTTGATTTATGCGGGTTGCTCGCGGTTGCTAGTGGTTAATTTGGATTGCTATTGGCCGCTAGTGGTTGTATGTGTTGATGTTGGTTGATATTGGTTTCTGTGGGTTTCTCGTGGTTGCTGTTTCTTGGTATTGGTTAGTTTGGGTTGCCATTGGTTGCTAGTGGTTGCTATAAGCAAACGGTTGATAGTGATTTAGAATATGGGTTGCTATTGGTTGTTATTTGGTTGATATTGATTGACTTCTTTGTTGTTAATTAGTATTGACTACTATGGGTTGCTATTTGTTGACATTGCTTGATCTTGGTTGTTATTGTTTGGTATTGTTCGATATTGACTAACGTGGGTTGCATATTGCTTGCCATGTCTTGCTATTTGTTGGCTTTGGTTGAGGTTGGCTGGCATTATATAATTGATATTGGTTGACATTGGTTGGTATTGACTAATTATTGGGTGCTATGCGTTGATATTGTTGTTCCTATTGGCTGATCTTGGTTGCAAATGGCCGTTCTTAGTTAGTCATTTGTACTGTTAATTCCGATAAACAAACGAGACCTCAGCTTGCCATATAGTGCTGCGAATCATTGGTTGACACTGGTTATTTTGGGTTGACAGTGGTTGACATTGGTTCGTATTTTCACATGTGTTCATATTGGTCGAGAACGGCTGACATTGGTTGATATCTGTTGCTGCTTGCCGATATTTGTTGACATGATTGTGTGTTGTTCAGTATTGTGGCTGGGTCAATAGGATCTTACCCTCCCACCAACTAACATGGAAGTGCAAAAAGGCTCTTTCCAGTAGGAAAGTAGTCTTTCTACAGGGGTCTGTGCACTTCCATGTTAACGGCGGAAGGGTACATTGGTTGCTCCAGGACGAGCCTGCGGACGCTGCTTGGCCGCACAGATCTGTTTGTGCCGACATAAATTCTGGTTGCCTGCAGTGGCAACCATTGTAAGGACCCCTTATCAGATGGGGGTGTGAAAAGGGCCAAGTGGCAACTTTGTGCTTTTGGCTTTCCTTTGACGCTCATGTATGAGCAGCTGGAAGTTGTTGGAAGTTTGCTTTTGGCTCGGGAGGACGAGAAGCGGGGCCACCCAAGTTTCAACCACAAACAAGTTTCCCGTTCTCAGGAAACGAGTTTCTGCTTGTCGTTGAAGCCCTCGTTGACTTGGACTTACGGATGGTCATGAACCCCAAAGGGGGAACGGTCCTCTTAACCTTGGATTTTGTCCGCTCTCTGAGAGCCCACGAAGGCCGTTTCGGGGGCTGCGCGATGCGAGGCGTGGGCAGATCCCGACGACGCGGCACTGGAAGTGCCCTTGGCACGGGTCCTGGGCGCTTGACGTGAGGCCAGTGGATGCTTGCAAAATCCGTCCAATTTCCCCACGAAATGCAACCAGGGTTGGAACGCTTGTTACGGTATTTACAGGGGAATCATCAGAAACCAGGGTTGTGCTGCGAAATGGAGCTCGTCCATCCGAAGTAGGAAGATCAGCTTCCTGTGAGGGAGGGACCGCCTGTCAGCTTCCATGTTAGAGAGAGGTAGCCTCTTTCCAATCATGGAAGTGGACGGATGGTTTCCCAAAAGGAGGGCGGTAGGTCGCTTTGGGAGCATGGTCTTCACTCTGGCAAATAAGATAGGGAGAGAAGATGTTGTTCTTGGGGGGGGGGCTCCAAACATGCCACCATCAAAATCCAAGTTTTTCAGGATAGTTCGGGGCGGTCACTTTTACCACTGGTTTTGGGGCCATGTCCACAGCAATCGGCTTTGTTTGTGACTCAAATCACTTTCTGTGGATTGTTGGTTTAGAGGTTTGGGATGGTTGCCCATCTACCCCAAACCACCAATCCAAACCACCAACTAGAAGTGAGCCTCGAACCTGCCGGGTGATTCGACTTGGGGGCTGTGGCTTCCAAGGTGAGGGGAAGACACAAGAAGCGGCTGCGAGGGGAGGCGGAAACGCAGGTCAATGGCAATGAGCTCTGAACTCAGCTGGCGCAACCTGACCGTGGAAAAACAAAAACAAAATATATACCCCCTACTTCAAATACCCTCTTTTTTTCAGGGTATCATGTCGACCCTGAACGAAAAAGGAGGTATTTACCAAGAATGCCCAGAAAAAAGAAGGTATTTTGAGTAGGGGTATATATATATATATATATTCAGCCAGCGTGCTGGGGGTCGGCATTTTCTCTGTCCAATGGAATCCTCTTGAAACTGATAAAATGACTTGGTGAAAGGTTCCTGATTTACCAATGGTTCATGGAGCTCCCTGAGTTTCAGCCACAAACACCAGACGAGCTCGGCAGCAGAGTTCGCCTGAGGTCTCAGGGATCCATTTGGAGCTTCACTAGGCGACTGTAGGCCGTAGGTAACATGTCAATAAGGGAGCCCGCTTTGAATCGCCAATTTGAGGGTCTCCAGACTGAGGTACGAGAGGATTCTCCGGCAGAGATTCAAGGAGGTCAATGGAGTCGCGCGGGGCATCTGAGAAGCACATTGCTCCGTGCCAACCAGCGAAGCGTGCCGACGTAAAGCCAGACCAGACCGCATGTGCAATACAAAGCGCACGAGCCAGTCAAGATAGATGAAACTCTGTAACATACCGGTTGATGAGCCACGAATCCCCTGTGGTGCCGTGGATTTGGTCGATTTGTTTTATCCACACGTCGTTAAGGCGTTGCTTTCGAGCGCTGAAACGAGCTGAGGCGGTGGACAGATACTCAGCCAGCGGCGGAGGAGGACTCCATTGGACGGATGGGAGTGGTAGCTCTTGGATGCTCAACCTACCTAGGAAGTGATTTGTACCAACATGGCACTCACCAGAGGATCCCTTTCGAAGGAAAATAGTCTTCATATTAATGTTATTGAACGGCAGGGTAAGTCAGTTGCAACCTGTTTAGTAGCTGGAACACCAGAGGTTGCTTGATGTTAGTTGTAGTTACTAAATTGGACATCCGTTTCATCGGACGTGCCAGGCTTCTGACTCGGAGGAGGAGGAGGATGCGGTAGCAGCGCGCTCAGCTTGGCCCAAACACGGATATCGACCTTGGATGATCGGGTGGAAAGATGAAAACCACTTCGCATCGGGTGGTTGGCGCATCCAACTTGTAGGATATAATTTCCGTTTCAACTGGCGCACAGCGTGGATTATGGTCAGTTGCACGGATGTTCTGAGCCTCGTCGTCGAGGCGACGAGTACTTTGCCAGTGGCAGCTGGAGGTGGAATGCTCAGAGCCAAGCAAGGCTGAAAACACAACCAGACACGTGGCCCTTTTCGTTTTTTGGAGGGGGCAATCCTGCTTGAAAGTCAATTGTGAAAAGCGTGCCTTTTGCTTTACTGTGGACATTCGCGGCAAGCCCTTTGAAAAAGACAACGTGCCCTTTGCTTCTTGTTTTTTCGAGGGGGCAACCCCCTTGAACATAAACTACACAAGCATTTGATAATTTGTTGCCCTTTTTCCCCATGGCCGCTCTGGGGGCAGAGATTTTGCGCAAGGTGCTCTCAAGCCGACAGAGATCTGCGCTGAGTTCGGCAAGCGTCACGTCCAGCCCATGTTTGCTCAGTTGTTCAAAGTCCACATTTAGCAAAGGTCCCAACAGGCGCTGACCTTTTGTTTCAATGTCCCGAAATAAAGAGGAATTTGAGAAGCACCCGTTTCTTGAAGCCTGTGAATAAACATCCGGCAGCTGAAATTGGTGAGACCCGTGACTGGGATGAACTGGCACCGAAATCCACGTGGATCGTGGGAGGTTGTAACCTTGACTTCCCTTGAAACTCAGAAACTGGGTCCTTCTGGATTCTCCTGGTTTCAAATGGAGGATCAGCCAGAGGCAGCTGCTATTTCCGGTGAAGATTTAGGTAAGTGTATAGCACATGTGCGAGGATAGAGATCAAGCGCGCGAAGGAGCTTCCGATGCTTGCACCTGTCCCAGTTACGCATTGCCTGGACTCGGTCAGGTTTTCCTGTTTGGTTTCTTCGTTCGTTTTCACCAGGGGCAAACTGTGTGTTGAAGCATTCTAAACACCAGTTGTTTACACATCCCGTGTTTCAGTTAGGCTCGGGGGCAACAAGGATGTTCGTGTCCAGTTTCACTGCAGGTGGCTGGTCAGAAGAAGGGCCCCTCGGCGATCGAGGCGGCTTTCGGAACACCGACTGAGCCCATTTGGGAGTTTCTCAAGATGAATATCGGCCATTTCGGCCCCTGCTTTGGTTGACACTTAAAGGAACCCGTTGCCATTTTAGGGGAACCCACCTCCCCCCGAATAGACGGCAAAAACAGACACATTTTGGCGGCCCCCCTCACTTTCAGAGGACCGATTCCTTTGAGAAACCATCTCCGAGCCGAGTCGAGCGGCAGGCGCTCCAGTTCCACCCCAGCTCCGAGCTGCTGCTCACCGGCGGCCGGGACAAGACGCCAGGGCCTCCAAACCCAAGGGCCCAAGGCTCGCGCAAGCGAGCCAGGCGACTGGAGCTGTGGATGATCATCCAGGTCCCAGGAGTGCCCTTTTGCCAACTTTTTTGGGGAAAATTCCCCTAAACAAAAATCGACTACAGAAAAAAGGGTACCCTTATTCTAACCTCTCTACTGGAGGACCTAGTCATGAATGCTCCGAATCGCTAAGCGGTTTGTAACCCTCAGCTGCACGTGTCTCACTACACCCTTTTCCTAGGCAGCATTGGGCCACTCGAGCGGCGGGGTCAAATCGGACCTCCATTGGAAGGTTTAGGACCTGAAGAAGGCGACAATTTCGAGGTGACGGTCTTTGGGTTGCAACGCCTCACAAAGGTAGCCGTTTAGCCACCTCCAAAACACTCCTGTGGCTCCCTTAGGCTGCGCTTGTTCGCCGTGGATGGCGAGGAGAACGAGAAGGCGCTGAGCGCCTTTAAGCCCCGATCCAACCCGTGTAGCGACATGGTTTCACACCAATTCTCGTAAGGCCTACGTGCGGGTGTCAAGTTGTTTGGTTGAATGAACTTATTCACAAGTTCTTTATTTTAATGGCAGACCCAAAGCAACGCTACCTCATTGGGGTCCCTTATGTTGAGGCATCCCCCACATATAAGCCTTTGTAGCCATATTGGCACTCTACTACCTCAAGGGTTTTTGGGCGCTCAGGGATCATCAGGTCGTTTTCCCCGTGCAGCTCTCGCCGAGTCGCGCAGGTGGCATCGTACTTCTTCAGGTCCTTTCCGATTCTGTGTGCCAGCTTCACCCCGACGGGCGACCAGGCCGGAGGCCTTTTTTTTTGGTCGGCCGCCAATCGTTTTGATTTGGATCTAGTTCCTTGAAGCTCCGTGTGGTTTTCCCGCGTGCTGTCAGAGGTGCTCCTGACGAGCAGCAACAGTCAGATGTGGGGCGCGGGCCGCGAGATCTTGCTTTCGAGTCCGAGTCTCCTGGACCCCGGGGTTCAACCGTAAATGATGGATCCAACTTGGATGAAGCAAACTTCTGGGTAACTGGTTGTATTGACCTCACCTCCTGGACTTTTAACTTTTGGGGTTTGGACCATTTTAGTGGCAACCCAGAGGTTTGGCTTCTTTTTGGCCTCGATCGGAAGTGCGTAAATACAAAGGTGGTTGTACAGTGGATGGACGGAATCCATTTCGCACCACCTAAGAGACCCTGGTTTCTGCTCATTCCCCTTCAAATATCAGCCATCATGGTTTCAACCATGGCATCAAAGTGGTGCAAAATGGATTTCGCATCCATCCACAGTATGACGTCCCCTTCGTCTCACTGGCAACCGGTACCCCCCACGGGAAAGCGAGGCTTGGACGTGAGCAGCGGCGAGGCTTTCGAAGTGCGCCAGGCCCTCAGGCGCTCAGGCCATGGCTTTGAGGGTTTTTCCCGTAGTTTTGCTGGGTTTTTGGAGAGAACAAAGGGAAACCAGCAGTTTGTGGGAGAAGACAGAGTGAGACACACCCACACACCTTTATAACCATGTTTCTAGGACCAACTAGGGGCGTAGCAGAAGGGAAAACCAGATCCGTGAGGGGCGTAGCGCTGCTTTCTAGCATGATGCGAGGAGCACCACAGCCACGCTGAGTGCACAACCTTGTGGATTGCCAACTCGTAGCAATTTGGGGGACAAGACAGAGTAAGACACACCATTCAGACCTTGTTTTCACCAAGCTTCTGGGACCAACGATCAATCGGTTTGGGGCACTCATGAGCAACTAACAAAAGCACTACGAGTAGTAGTCTACATGGTTTGGGGAGGAGGAGATGAGACGAGAGGACGACATAGAGGGGGGCGCGTTTTCCAGCACAAAAAACGAGGCTTCATTGTTCCTCTTGGGGCAATGCTGTTGGACGTTTTGCAAAACGGCTGGCCCCATGGGTGGACAAATTCCTTCACCGGTTGACAAGACCTTTTTATCCCAACTATATACCAAAGATTCAAATCAGGTTTTGCGAAGTAGAAATTTCTCGGACAGTGTGTCGATCACACAGCTCGTCGACTGAAGGCAACATTTCTTCGGGGGGACAAGAAGCTCATCGATGCTTGGCCATGGGTAGCGCGCTCAACTGGATGGACACAAACAAGAATCGACGGGGTGGTTCAATCGGTTTTGAGAGAAAGGATTCAGTCCCAGAAACATGGGCCCTTTGGGGCCCCTTTTGGGGTTCCAAATTGATCTGGGATTTTTTCAACTAATATGGTCCTTTTCCAAGGGGCAAGCCAACTCCCAAGAAAGACGAGCCACCCATTAGCAGCACTCCTTGTCTTCCTGGCCACAACCCGGCCGTTGCCCCCATCTACGTGAAGGTTTTGATAGATGGCGCAATTCCCCGTAGATGTGGGTAAAATGTGGGTAAACGGGATGATTCGACCAAAATGTGGGATGGGAAGTGTGCCACTCTTTCTTTTGATTGAACCGTCGTTCTTTGCCAAATCCAGCCGTTTTTCCTGGGTTTCTGGGAGGTTTCTAAGAAGAAGGATTCCTGGAAAGAATGGGGAAGGTACCCCTAGAATTCTACTTTCGCCTGATTTGGGGTGCCCAGAATTCATGGAATTTGTGGAATTCCTCAAAGAAACGTCCTTTTGACACCTCGAAAAACGACACTCGGGGCGTGGTCCGGGGATTTCTGGGCTCTGCATAAGCCCCGGGACGCTCAGGGTATGTATTGAGTGCCCACTACCCCCAAACCAGTCCCCCCCAGGAGAAAATTGGAGTAGATACCTTTTATATCAATGGCTAGATAGTGGCTGTATATCCCATTTGATCCCTGTGCGGGCAGCTTTGGGGGTAGTGGACACTTAGTTCCCACCCCACCCCACCCCACCCCATCCCACCCCACCCCACCCCACCCCACCCCACACCACAACTAGCTGTGGCGCATGTTCCGCTGCGAGGTCCCTCTCCATCCCGAGTGAGCGGCTTGAAGTCCTCGCAACTGCGCGCTACATGCTTTGCCGCATGTTTGTGTTTGTTGGTTTTGTTGTTTTAGTTGTTGTTTTTTCCTTTTATTTGTTTCCCCCGCATCAAATACCGGGTTTCATGTGCATGAGCTCACTTTTTTGGCAGGTTCATTTTCCTGGGTTGCTGGGGGGTGCACTTTATAATCAAAGCGGTTCTTCATTTCCTGGCCTTTGAACGGCAGCCGGCCACATGAAACCCCAGCGCGTTAGAACCAGCTCGGATTTCGCCAGGTACGGGGTGTTGGGCGATGCCGGGGCCGTCAAGATTTGCGACCTGAAGACCAAGCATCCCATCCGGACTGCTTTCCACGTTCGTTTCGGAATTGAATAGCATGCATGTCCCAGCGATGTCAGTGATGCTGTGGATGGTTGCGAAATCCATTTCGCACCACGAAATGATACCATGGTTGAAACCATGATTTGCTAGTGTTTGAAGGGGGATGGTCATTCCAGGGTCTCTTAGGTGGTGCAGGATTCCGTCCATCCACAGTGTCATTTCCCTGAGTAGAAGTGAGAGGAGAATGGATGCTTACCTACAAATTATGGTCTATCCGGCTTGCCTGGGATCTGAGAATCGCACGCACGGCCTTGAAAACCAACATTTTGACACCCCAAGCCGTATCAATAAATGTTCATGGGTCAGGGGTATGCTCGAAAGGTACGTGGGGTTCTTGGATTTGCTTCAGGACTTTTCGGATGAGTTCAGATGGAGCTGCGCTGGTCTTTGCACCTCGACAGGCCGGCTGACGCGGTGCTTTTGCTGAGTCGCAAACTTCATTGGACCAAGGATCTGATCTACTCCGCAGATGCTGAGATTGGCGCTCAGAGTGTGAACCAGAAACAAGTCCGAAACGGAGGGTCGATGCATTTGTGCTCTTGTGGTTTCAGCGTCTGGTTTCCTTCTGGCCCCATGGACCGAAAAGCGTGAGTCAACGTGAGCCCGTTCGCCGGGTTCCCATGGGGCCATCGTCCGGAGCGATCTGGTTTCAGCGAAGCTAGGTGCAACATCTACGAGTGGGATCTCAGCACTGGGCGATGCCGGCAAAAGGTGAAGGACGGGAAACCTTTCGCCTGCAAATCTTCCAACGAAGTCCGGTGCAAAAAGACTCAGAGAAGGGTTGCCCCCCCAAAAAGAAAGAAAGAAAGACAGAACAAGAAGAAGACGCACAACAAACCGTTTTTGTTTTGGTTGTTTGGTTGATTTCCTTTCTGACTTGTTTCGCTTGTTTTCAAACACAAAGGACACCTAACTAAGCTTGCAACCCCTTCAAGGTGGATGTGTTGTTTGGGTTTGTGCATTGCAAGAGACAGCATTGATTCTTGTTTTGGCTTGCAAAGCAAACACAATCCAGTTCCCTCAACATAGCATGCTGGGATGAAATGCTCGGATAAATACAGCATGCATCTTCAGAAGTTGGGCACCCTGGTTGGGGTTGCTTTAAACGGAGACGAAACGGAAACGAAGTTCGATGTCGGGTGATGTTCCACATCACCAAAATCGGTTGCCATACAGAACTCACTGGAGTCATTTTGGACAGGTTGGAACCTTGGAGCAGCAAACCCTGGAATCCAAGAAGCAACCCAGTAGCGTCAAAGGGTTAAAACCCCTGACCCCGTCAACAAACAATCCATATGGCCAGTGGCTCAAAATTAAAGAGCTAGGGTTACGCAGGTTTTGGTCCATGTTTCCACTTACCAGGGTTCCATTTTGGTACCGTTTTTTTTAAGCCATACCCATATATAGAAAAGCCCAAATCCATGTTGTTTGTATTTCGCAACTTTGAGGAACCATCTCAAAAGTGATCGGTGCACATCAATCCCCACAAAATTATGATGTCCATTTCGGGTCCAAGCACTTAAAAGTTTTTTTGGGGGTGCCCCTGTTTCTTCACCATAGGTGTCCTTTTAGATTAGATTTGGTTAAAGATAGAGGAATCCCATCTTCGTTCTTGTTTTTCAGGACACCTATGGTTTTGGCGACACGCCCGGAAGGGAAACTCATCTACTTTTGTTGAAAGCTTAAAGGACACCTATGGTTTTCACTCGACCTCCCCGGGCTGCAAGCGACTCGAGCGGTTCGGTGCAGGAGCCCTGGGCCACGCGGATTCTGAATCTGGCCGTCGCGCCGGGCCAGATGGCCGTGGGCACCTCGCGCCGGCCTCGAGGAAAAAGCCTCGGGACCCAATGGCCCAAGTCGTCCGAAGTTTGCCAATTCCACTGCTGGATTTGTGGATGGGATTTTTGACTTTGGGGAGCAGTCAGAAGTTGTCCAATGGATTCAACCCTGCTTGATTTGTTGTTTCTGGGATTTTTTGATGACTGGGGGGGCCCAATTTTGAGACCAACTTGTTTGGGGCGTGGATAAGACAAACAAGGAACACATTCAAAGACCCTCCTAGACCCAGTCCGAAGTGTTGAGTTTTCACTCACCCGAGTTCCTGGACCGGACTTGTTTTCGAATTTTTGGGGCTTGGTTACTATGTTGGTGGCAAAACATACTTAGAAAGTTCGGCTTTTGTTTTTGTGACCTGGGTGTGGCTCAAAATTCAAGAGTCAGTGGTGACGCAGGTTTTAGTCTTTGGTGGCATTTAGCAAGGTTTCGGTACTTTGTTTGAGCGACAGCCATTTGTTGATTTGGTTGGATGTTTGGGGAGCCCGAGAATCTTGGCCAGAATTCGGTGGGGATTCAGGAAACCCCCAACCACTTTTGAGGGGTTTCCAACTCTCCAAACGTTAAAAGCCAAGCTTGAGCTTTGGAGGGGCTTTGAATGTGTTTCATGGCCCCCCGTGGTGGACATCAGAAACTGTTGAAACTTGTACATGTTTAGGAGTTGTTGTTGTTGTATATATATATATATGTGCATATATACATATATATATATATATATGTATATATATATATTATATATATATATATATGTATATATATATATATATATTCGCAAGACAACTGCCACCTTCACCAGGGAACCATAGGGAGATTAAGCCATTGGCGTTGCTCAGCATAGGTTCCCAGCTGTCCAAACTCAACGGGGGTGGAGAAGACGACTCATGAGTTTCAATTGAATAACCTGCTCATGGGAATAAGAGATCCAAAATCGGAATTTGCGCAGTGAAGTATATGGTCCCTTTGGGGATGTTGAAAAGCCAGAGGCTCTCACGTTTTCCCAATCTCAAGGCAAAGGAATCTAAGTGTCCCAGGACCGGCAATGTGGACATCCTGGACTTGAGCGGCCCAAAGTTGCTCGGAAAGCGTGGAGCCTTAGCCTCATATAAGATCTATGACTTGAAAGGAAAGTGATGGGAATCGCGATTTGGCTCAGCTGTTGAACAATTATTGGTATCAGATAGCCTGCAATTGCTGGAACCCCGGGTTCTTGTAGGTAGGGAAGCCGCCCCCTAACCTCCAAACCACTACTCCACCTTTTCGAAGGTACTTGGGAAAGGCACAAAAGCATGTACCAAAATGGCTCCTTGGCAAATGGAACCGATGACTAAAACCTGCGTCACCCTAGTTGTTTAATTTTGAGCCACACCCACTTGACCAGCATGAATTCTCCCCATGTAGAAACAACCCTTTTGGTTGTCCTTTGACCGGGGCCGAAATGGGTTGGTTGTTTAAGCAGAAAAAGGGGGTAGTCGCAAGATAGCGAAACGCTGAAATGGGTTGTGCTTCCTGTTGGTTTCCGGTATACCCTCAAGACACCACACCCATTTTGGTCACCAACTCGCAAAATGGCGCAACGTTGTTCCTTTTGGTTTCCCTTTAAAATCAAGCTGAAAAAGGTCGTTCGTTCAACAAAGCAAGACAAACACACACACACACACACACAGCCACAGCCACAGCCACAGCTGTGGTGGCTCAGGCCGGCCTTTCCAACCCCAGACCTCTGAAGATTTGCCTTTCGTTCCGAGGCCGATGCACAGCATCGACAACTTGACGACACGAGCGGATTTGGTCAGGTGCGAGCCCTGTCGGCTTGGCTACATGTCCCTCCCATATAGGGTCCGCTGCGACAATGCAACGAAGAAAGGGTTCGCCGCTATTGATCAAATCAACTTGGTTGCAAGAAGCAAGCAGCTTGCTGTGCCCTCTCAAGCTTAGCCTGCACGCAGTTCACCAATCACAAGCGAGACCATGCCGTCAAGTTCGCTACATACCGTCAAGTCCTCATGTCCTCTTGTCTCAGCCCACGTGGAGGTACAACCACCAGGATGAGATTTTGGCTGTAGGCTCGCGCGTGAAGGCGGATGCGCGGAGATCTCAGTCCAGGGGAACCTTCAGAAAGGGCTCATGCAAAACCTGCCAGGTGCCCTGTGCACCAAAAAAAGCAACTTGCAAGCATTCCGTAAACGGGGATCACTTCCGTTTGCTGAGGGAAGATTTTCCCCTTTAGGCGAACCTGTGACTACTGTTTTCTGCTTTTTCTAGGGGGCAAAGAAGCAAATGGCTGTGGGTCAAAACCAATGGTATTTTGGGGTAGGTGAATTCACCACTTATGTTGGTCTATTTCACTGGGGATTGGGATGTTCACTGGGGGCTGCGGTATTTTGACCCACAGCCCAATGGATTGAAGATCTGGCGCTCGCTGAGGCTGAAGCTGATCCACGTTGCCACCGGCACGGTGTTTCAGAACTGGCCCACCGCGCGGACGCCGCTGAAAAACGCCGGCGCCTCCAACGGGACCTTCCCGTGGGCTGGTGAGGTTTGAAATTGCCTTGTTCGGGGGCGGGGTTTGCAGGCTTTTTGGTTTGAAGGGACGTGCAGGGACACATGTCTGGAAGATTCCCCTATTTGGAGACAAACCCAAATCATCAGGATTATGCGTTATGACATTTCGAGGGCGGGACTTGAAAGCAGCAAAGCCCAGTTGTTGAGCAAAACCCTCCCAAAGTTGAGTCTCTTGTCCGAGCCACCGAGCCATCGGCATGTGTTTCTTCTACTGGCGCCAAGGTTTCGGCGGTGGACTTTTCGCGGCAGGGCATGATGGCCATTGGCAACCAGCATGGCCGGGTCTAGCCGGCGAGGTTCGAATGACAGTGTGCCATGGTGAAAGCCGGATCCTGGGGCTGGTAGGGGTGGACTGAGCAGAGGCTTGAGGTTCAGGGAATGACCAGACCCGGAGTTTCATACGCATCTGACGTTTTCGTTGCCCCATGTTCCATTCTTAGTCATGACCCCCAAAGGTGATTACCTTCTGGGTCCCGGGGCAAAGAGAGGAAACAGGGAACCACCAGGACCAGTTGAGTTTTGACCAGTGTCCACCGCAGCCTGGTTTATGGAAGTGGTGTGGGAAGCAAACTCAAAAAATGCGAGGTTTGACCTTATTCATTCAGGCGGGATGGCGCTTTCGGGGGCTCCTTCTTTATCAGGTGCTCATCTACCGCTTGACGCACTACGCCTGAAGCAAATCGGTCCGGCAAAGTTTTAACCGGCATTGCTTCAGAAAAGGGAGATTGCTTTTGGAGTGGACATGCTCCGTGGCATAGGGAGACTTGGTTTGGGACTTGTCTTTTGGGGATCAACTAGGCATGTCTTAAAATAGAAGAACCCCAAAAATATGTTTTGTTTCCCTGTTGGTTCCCTTTAAAACCAACCGTACCCACAACAAAAAGCATGCCCACATAGTCCGCGTGAAGGGACTGCCAGCTGAGAGAGTGCGGCCAGTGCGGGTCTTTCAACTTGAGACTGTGGGGGTTCGCAGCTTCAGCCCAGTTCTGGGGTTGGCTCTGAAAGGTACAGAAAAGCCAAGATTCAGCTGAAGTGATCTGACGCGTTTGCGTTATCAGACGTCAGCATGAAGCACAGAACTGCTAAATAAACAGAGACATGAGAGCACTAGCAGCATTTTTCAGGCCAGGCAAGGTCGAACGTCGACCTTCACATGCTTCATGGCATCTACGATGAACAGGCGAGCTCGCTTGAGTCATTGATCATGGAGGCCGTTTCTAATAATTACGCGGGTTTCGATTTGTTAGCACCAGGACATTTCACTGTATTTGCTGCATCCTGGAACCCATTTACTTAGAACTCAACACCCATTCAACGTTTCCCCCAAACTGAGCTGCGCAAGGATCTGTCAGCTGAGGAGAAAAAAACCTTGCACTTGCGAGGCTCGCCTGACACCCTCGGCACCAGCGGTTGTGGCGTACAGGCGAGGCGGCCTTGGTGTGTTCTCAACAGGTGAGCCACGTGCTCAAAACCCGGGTAGATGAAGGCTAGTAAGGGGCAGTCCCAGCCCAAAATAGTTGCGGCCGCCTTCTTAAGTCTTTACATGGTTCTGGGTAGACCATTTTAATACCGGGTTTTGATTGTGACTCAGGTCCCAGGTGGTCTCTGAGATGGTTAGCTTTCCTTCAGGCGAAATGTTGGAGGGCTCTTATGCTGGGGGCTTCCTTGCAGTACCCCCCAACAACTGCGTTCGTCCACGTAAAACCCCGTGGTACTGAAAGCAAAAAGCAGTGGTTGGGGGGGTGGTGGTGGTTTCCCCATATCAAACGTTTTGTCAATGGACCAAAGTTTGGAAGCTTCCTATTGGCTTCAGACGAATCGCGCTGTGCTTCGGCTTCGCATCGAATCGCCTCGAATCGAAATCGAGAGGCCCGGAGGGCGATCAGAGCTCACTTATGCCGGGCTGCAGGAGGGATATTGGGGTGACACCTCACGGTTTCCTCAACTGAAGTTTCGTGCTCTAGGCAATAGGCGTCGATTCTTCCTGGCGGGTTCGCTTAAGTATAGATGGCACCAGAAAAACCTGGTGGTTGATTCATCTACCAGGGCCACTTGTTTCCAAGCAGCCAAAACGGACACTCAATGCATCGTGAGGAGCGCTCCACGCTTTTGGCTGAGAGCCTGAGCCGATGGCGTGATCGCCTCGATGGGGTGATTGCAGCTGTGTGGCTTCCTCGCACTCATGAGGATCCGATGCGAATGTCTTGCCTTGTTCCCAGCCATCCGAAGCTTCGTAGGTGTTAGGGTTCAGGTGGGGGTTCATGTTTTTGTGGGGTTGAGGATTGCCGGTTTCTGTGGCAAAAAAAACCGTCTCCTTGGCGAGGACTTCCTGCCAGTGCTGCTGGCACTCAGTAGGTGCGGCGTGTGCTTCGCCTTAATGAGCACCGATTTGAAGGACAAGGACCCTGAAGCGAGCTGCGCGAGCCGATGGGGGGGTTCTCAGCGGACCCTTTGGTGGGTCGGAAACCAAGAGGCAACCAATCGCGCGGAGGGGACTGTATGACCAACCGTCCTCGGGGTTTAGGATGAACGGCCGCAACATTTTCGGCTTATAGCTCGTGCTGTTTGGATGGCAGGGCCGCTCTGCCTGCGCTGTGGCCGTTGGAGTCCGGAGTCTCCTTCGTCGGGAGGCGGGCTCTGCGGCCTGTGCAGGGCGGCCCTTTTTGTGGACGGGGTCGCCACTGATCCCCGTCTCACTCCGGCGCTCCACTTCCACGTGGAGTACGCCTTGAAGCGGGTGGTCGGTGAGGTCGCCCTGCTTCTTGGCCCCCTCCAGGCCGGAGGGAAGGGTCCGAGGCCAGCTCCTGAGTCGGGAGCTGAGGACCGCAAGAGATCAAGAGAGGCGAGCAGTGAGGAGCCTCTCAGACGCAAGAAGGACAAGAAGGACAAGTCCAAGAAGGAGAAGAAGGAGGCTAAGGCTGTCAAGAGTGGCAAGGAGCTCAAGCAGCGCCCTCGGTCAAGAGGGCGGGCCCCTAGGTCTTCGGCCAGGGAGCGGGAGGTCTCGGAGAAGAGGCTTGCAGTCAAGGAGGAGTCCTACGAGTACACCAGCGTCTCCCCTGACCCGGAGGCGGTTTCTTCTTCCTGGCGGCCTAGCCTCTCCAGAGGGGAAAGGACTGCAGAGCCCCACGCTTCCCGGATTATCCTCCGGGGGCGCATCCCAAAACCTCGCCAGTTGAGGCTCCTGCTCCGGTGAGACCTCAGGGGGAAACCCCTCGGACTCACTGGTCCTGGAAAGAGATCAGAGAGTGGGAAAAGGCTTGAGGCATTCGGAGAAAGAAGGCCAACAAGGGCCGTAAGCGAGAAAGGCAGGAAGAAAGAAGGTTGAGGCCTCGGCGTGACTCCTCGGAGGATCCCGGAGGCCCTCCAGAGGAAAGACCTGAGCTACATGCCCCCGAGGATCCGGAAGAGGCCGGCAGCGAGGACCGCTTGCCGCAGCCCAGCCTCGAACGCCACATCATGATGATCATGACGTGAACAAACTTGGAGCATTGGCAACCAAGGAAGACTTGCGCACTGAGTCTGAAGCAGATCACAAGTTTGAATAGACTAGTCAAATCCTGTTCTCTGCGTCAGTGGGCACGGCGAGCAGCACGAGCACGGAGGCGGAGTTGTCGGACACGTCTTTGCCAAAGGCTGCTGCCATGCAAGGCCGTGGTAGAGGCCGTCAGCCCAAGCAGCTGAAGCCAGCTGCGGCAGCTCAGACTCAGCGCGGAGGCCAGCTGAGGAGCGCGCGCTGGAAGGGTTCAGCGCAAGCAAAAAGACTTGACAACAACCTCTGCAAGAGCCGTGGCAGAGGGAAAGTCGCCGGTGGCTGATACAGCAGGGACATGGATGTCAATTACCAAGGCAGACGAGTCTCTCCTCTTGATGGCCGAGGCAAAGATAGAGGACGAACTGGGCCGGTGGTTGAAGGTGCAGCTGTGCGGCACTCCCGACGCAGGCCTCAGGGAGTGGGGTCTCAGGAGCCGGAGATTATTTATATCTCTGAGGATGATACCGCGAGACCAACACCTGGGGGACGAAGAGCTCTTTTACACAGGTGAAGGAGGTGGGCCCGGAGTTGGAATGGAAGAGCAATTGCCTCCCCGAGCCGAGTGGCCCCCATCAGAGTTTGGGGGAACTGGGAGGCGTGGCAGAATTGGCAGAGGAGATGGGTTTTGGCTCTCCAGCGCGAGGGCGCTGAGCGGGACGAGCCCAGGAGAAGGAGGGCACAGCTTTGCCTCCCGCTGCTCCCAGGAATTTCCCCATGGACGGGAGAGAGTTGTCTTACTCTGTGCAGAGAGCAGACGAAGGCGAGAAAGAAAAAGGCAGAGAAGCCAAAAAGAGGAAGAAGAAGGCCAAGGACAAGGTACGCGTGCTGGAGATGCTGAAGCAGTCATTCGGGGGGCGGTCCAGTGTCCAAGGTGCTGGATTCGGACGAGGAGCTCCTCTTCCCAGAGGAGAGCCAGGCCAAATACGTGGCCAGGCGATGTCCCGGGCTGCTAGCCAAGATAGGGCTCCAGCGGTGCAGGAAGACCCTGTGCGATGGGATGGGTCTTTCGCTTGCCAGCAGGCCGGGGCTTGGTCCAGTACTTCCGCCAGTCTCTCTCGCGTCTCAACCCGTCGCGCCCATTGGCAAGAGAGGCTTTGTCGCTCTGTGCGGTCATGGACCAGCTCTTCGAGGGGGAGGTCGTCCGCGCGCTGGATGTCAGCATGCAACGCCTGAAATACCTCGAAGCCATCATGCGAGGGAGACGCCCGGAGGTGGCATCAAGGATGGAGTTGATCCCCGAGATCCTCAACAGCGTGGCCACAGACGAGGAGCTCCGTACGGCTGCAAAAGAGCAGAAGCAGGACGAGCTTTTGCAGGCCTCCGCGGGGAGGCGCCCCTGGACAGGGGGCAGTGGGTCAGCAAGCGGAGTTCATCAAGACCAAGGAGATCATGCCACCCCCTGGCAGGGAAAAGGGGGCGATCGCGCCAACAAGACTTACCCTCCCAAAGGGAGGGGCTGGTGGAGCAAAGGCGGGAAGCCAAAGGGCAAGGAGAAAGTGATCTCCTCTTCGCCTGAGAGGAGAGATGAGCCGGATTCAGACTTGGTAGCTAAGCCCCACGTGCCTGACCTTGCGCCCCCGTCGCATTTTTCCGCGTCCGATAGTTCCCTTGAACTGTCACTCGCTGCAGCTGGACGCTGCTTGCAAGAGTGGTGGTTTGGAAGTAGGGCCGAGGTTGTTGCCTTCACCGCGAGCAAGGCGGCCTGGGAAGGGGAATGAAGCCTGCCGTCAGACTTGTTTCCCCTGCCCTCGCGGGGGGGTGGTTTGGGCACGGAACATGGGGAATTTTCCTTTGATGCTTGGTTTCAAGGGGGTGGTCACGGGCCTCAACTGGATGGCTGGTTCCCCCCCTGTCTCTTCGGATTCGATGCCTGGACATGAGGGCACTGCGCTGCAGCAAAAAATACTGCGGCAGTCCATTTCCTGTGTAGGTAGGTGGAGAAAGGTTCCGCTACCTAACCCCGAAGGGGAGGAGGATTTTTGGAATGCTAAGGTTGTTAATTCCTACGGGATGGAAGCACACGTCCCGCAGAATTTGGGGTGGGCCAACATAGCACATTCCCTGCCCGCCAAAGGCAGTGCAGGAGTCGTAGATGCACTTGAAGTGTGTTCGGGGGGAGTCAAAGACTTCCTCAAATCCCCCCACAAGTACTTGAAGCCACAAGGTTCCCGGAAGTGGCTGAAAGGGAGGAAGATTGGGGGCAGGTTGCCCAAAGCCTTGGCCCCTGGAAGAAGTTGAAGGGGAACCCCTTCTTGGTGGGCTTTTTGGGGTGCCGAAGCATGAGGTTGTCGGGGGCGTGGAAGTCCTGACGCTGATTATGGACCTCCGCCCGGCCAATCTTCTTTTTGAACCGTTGCAAGGTGATTTAGCAGGCGCCTTTGCAGGTTAGAGAGGGTGAACATGTCCTCATCCCGCATACGCGGGGGTTCAAGCGGGTGCAGGAGGTCAACCCAAACCTTAGAAAAGGCCAGTTGCTTGCGTGAAAACTGCATCTGCATGTCTGACAGTACAGCCAAAGAGTCCTGAATATAGATCCTGACTGTCCGTTCGGCGGACCAGCGACCAGCTTGGCAGACTTGTGAGTAGCTTTTAGTGGTTATAAAGAGGTGAGTAGCACCACCTCTCCTGAGACTGTACGGCTTAAACCGGCAGTCTGTAAAACCACACGCGACACAAGCTCTCTGGAAGGCTGCACGAAAAGCATGCGGGCGCAAATTCACCCAAAAAACGTCCGGGCGAGCACGCAAAAGCCACGCTCTGAGCAACATGGAAACCTCCAGGTTCTCCAACGTTGTTGCATCAGCTCCCGCATTACGATACGACATTTTAGTCGACGACGACTTCCCGACATGTATATGCTTAGCTTGCAGCTGCAGAAGCTCCCCTGTGCGAAGAAGTGCCGAGAAAGCCAGCTGCAAGGCCAAAGCCAGCTGTGGTTTAGATCCTTGTAAATAGCCACACAATACATTCAAAGTGGTTGGCGTCAACGGCTTGGCCCGCGAGGGCAGTTCATGCCGACCCCAGGTCTTCAGAAGCCGCCATGAGATTGGCAAATACGACGCAGGTTGGGCTGAGCATGCTGCAGACCACAAACAGTGTCATTAGCTTTGTAGCGACTGTCACCTTCCTCCCAGAGATGAGTGATGTACTGCCCTAACTGCGCATCGAAGGCTGTTTTTGTTTGCGGCAGCTGGAGCTCCTCATACTTAAGGTGCTGGAAAAACTCTCGCACAGAGTCACGATAACGCTTCAAGGTGGCGGGTTTGACTGTAAGGTCCTGCAAAGTGCCTAAGTGTTTGCGTCTTTGTTTGCGTTCTGCCCGGCTGCGCCCTTCCACTACCTGCGCTTTAACCATCGTCTCTTGACCGGCCGTCGAGGCGGCCGGTCTGCCGGGTTCTGGTCTGTGTTGACGTAGCCGAGCAAGCAAACATTTCCGGACGCTAACAAATAGGCACACATGCGTTGTAGGACCAACCGAAGCTTTCTTGAAGAGGACCTCCCTTTATTGGTGACTAACAAGGAGACCATTGAGTCCGTCAGGTGAAGGAAACGGTGGCCAAGCCTCTGCTGCTTCTGGACTCGCCACTTCAAAGCCGTGAAGAGGGCCCGCAGCTCAAGCTTGTTGATGTGCTCGGGCCGCCCAGGAGTCCTCCTCCACCGCCAGCCACAGACAGTTTTCCATCCCCACAACCCAGCGGGGACCGAAGACCTAAGACGTTGAAACTTTGGAACACACATGGTGGGGGCGGTCAGCAAGACGTCGGTTCCGCGCGCTGACACCAGCGTTGCCAACTTCTGCACCAGCAACCCCTCGCGCTCCGCGTCCGAGACCACACCTGAACGTTGTGTCCAAGCGCGTCTCCAAAGTTGGCTTTGGAGAAGCGCCCCCCTTCCTGGCTGACATCGCTGAACCACCTCCCGAAGGGAGGGTGGGGGATAAGCCCATGATCTTCCAACAAGCTCTTCAAAATCAAAGCCACCACAGGCACCGACCATGTGTTTCCCAACATTGTAAGGCGCTTGTTCTCCCAGTCTCCTCTCTTTGCCTTCCTCTCATGCTTCGCCATGTACTCCAAAGGAAAACCTAAAATCACTTCTCGCTCATCCACTGAAAGGAGGCGCCAGCCTTTTTTCAGATGATGCACCCCATTCTCACGTGTGTATTGATACGGCGGGAAGCGATGGTTGTCCGCCGCCCAAAGCTCCAACTCCTGCGGGTGCAGGAATCAATCCCCGCCGGCCTCCACCTAGGTTTGGCACTTGGCTGGGACGTTGTAAACGTGTTGAACTTGCGATCTGGCACGCCCGCCAAAGCCCATCCAGGCTCCAGATAGCGCGAGGCTTCAACACCGACCTCAAAACGGATCTCCCCATACTCATGGCGGTCAGGAGACCCTGGCAGCGTGATGTGCACGCCGTCTTCACTTCGGATGGCCCAATTGAACCACCACAACCGAGGCCGCTTCGCGAGTGAGCAGTGCTTGGCATCGACCAAATACGGAAGAACCTCGATGGAAGTAGAATAAACTGCTCGATCCTCCCAGCTCATTGAGAACACACTTTCAACAAAAGAAAAACACCTTGGCCCAATTGAAGACACTCCTCACGAGGTCAACGATACGCTTGACGTGAGAATGCAGAGAGGACCTCGGATCCTCAACGGCTCCTTTGCGCCCAAAGTTCAAGCCGGACACCCCCTGGCAAGGGGGTCCCCCTCCTATGATGACTAAGTGAACGCGGGAGAACCGGAGGGCCCACTGCCTGACCTCCTCCTCCGTCACCTCCTCAACAGAGGAGAGCTGCAGGACATCAGCAAAGTTCACAGCGATGTAGCCCCCAACCAGGCATCCAGCGCCACCCTCAAGGCACCTATGCCATCAAAAAGCCCAATCCCCAAAACCTGACAGTCATCAGGGAGCTCAGAGGTCTCACCTCTCACTGCGGCCTCAACTGCAGCAGCCCCCATAGGCTTGAGCCCCGTAGACATAACCAAACCACCCCCCGTCTCAGAGGGTGACAGAGTCAAAAGGAAGACGGAAATTGGTCACTGCCAGCGGAAGGAGACTCATCCCAAGCCACAGCTCAATCTTGACTTCCAAGGGGATAGGTTTCCACAGCCCTGTTTTCCCTTCGAAAGAAGAGATGAAAACCCAGATCTGGTTGAGGCACGACATCAAGGGTCGCCTGTAACTAAAAAGGTAAACCAACCCCCCAGCGACAATTTGCAACCTCTTGAGAGAGGTCCTCTTCGACCTTAGGAGGAAAAGTCCTCCCTGAACATATCGAGCGGTTTTCTCGTCTTTTGCCCTGATGGAACCTTCAACCCCATCAAACAACGCACCCTGCATCTCTGCGACCAGCTGTTGTTCGACAGTCTTCTTCACATTCCGGGGAACATTGAACTCCTCATAAACTGAACGCAGTGCCAGGCTCGCCCCATTTGGTCGCCCCTCCAAAAGTGCCGCTGCGGAAGGGTTCACCTTTTGCAAAGTATCGAAGTTGTCCAAGTAGACCCTGTAAAACAAGGGGGAGCGAGGAACAGCCTTATCACGTCTGAGCTCCGTCTCTTGACCCACGCCTGCCAGCTCCATCGCCCTCGTGACCAGTCCTCGATGCAGGTGCTGAGCAATACTCACACTGTTGATGAAGCCCATTGGGAGCACTGTAGCAGACAGCACATGTGGCCTCCTATCCCCACCCGGATTAAGGGAGGCCGGTATAACCTTATTGAAACAAAGAAAAGGCCTCCAAACCTCAGGAAGGCCTGGATCCCGGATCGCGATCAGGGAGGTTGTTTCTCCCTCTTCTTGCCAGGGCCAAGCCTGGAATGGCCACGTGTGTTTCCTGGCATCGGTTTTTTGTACCAACTACTTGCTTGCGGTGAAAATTGAAGGCCCTGCATCCTTGACCAACCGTCCTCGGGGTTTAGGATGAACGGCCGCAACATTTTCGGCTTATAGCTCGTGCTGTTTGGCCCACCCACCCTCACCTGTCTGCGAAGGGACCATGGTTGACCCCTCTGTGGGGGGCTGTGTTGTTTGTTTTGGTGTTGGTGTGGTTGCTTCTTGTTTTCTTTTCTTTTTCCTTGATGAAATCATGGATTCCGGATCGCGATCAGGGAGGTTGTTTCTCCCTCTTTTCTTGCCAGGGCCAAGCCTGGAATGGCTACGTGTGTTTCCTGGCATCGGTTTTTTGTACCAACTACTTGCTTGCGGTGAAAATTGAAGGCCCTGCATCCTATTTTAAGGAACACCTACATGTATATATGATACGCATAAGCGGAAGAGCAAAAAGAGAAGAGATGCGGTTGGTGGTGGACAATTACTGCCCGCCTGTGTTGAAACCATGTTCGATTTGTTCAGGCACCGCCTTTCGGCTCACTTGCTGAGTTCCTGAACTTTCTCCCTTTGGGGGGTTGGACCATTTTGGTAAACAAGAAGCTTGGGCATTTGCTCACTGAGTTCGTGACTTTATGTTTATTTGGAAAACAAGCATGAGTGGTACATTAAAGGTTCATACCTTTTTTGGGCCATTCCACTCAGGAAGTGAGTTTGGGCAATCCATTCAGGTGAGAAGGTCACAGGTCTGAGAGGAGGACGTTTTCACTTGTTCACCGCGCAAGAGTTTCTGTTTTCCGCGTTTGGAGGACTTAGAGCGGCAGCGCAATCGGCAGATTGTCGAAGTGCTGCAGCCCAGCAGGGGCCTTAAAACCGGGCTTCGGGTTAACCTTCTGGTGTTTTGCTGTTCTTGGGGAGTTTAACCGCCCAACACGCTAGCGCAAGCCTCAGGCTTTCTGGTCCTGCCTGATGGAGGCCGCACTGTCCTGCGAGCTGAGACTTCGGGGATGTGACATGGGTCCCGGGAGTCGCGCAGGTTTGGAAAGCGCGCTTTGCAGTTGCACCGACTCTCCCGACTCCCAAGTCTACTGTTCATAGTACCGGCCGGCAGCATAGACAATCCCTGCATGGGAACATCCAAGTTGCTGAGGGGAATTCGTAATGCAAGAGACGCCAGGCCTTCCGGATCCGGAACTGGAAGGGGTCGGAAGCCCAGATGGCTGAAGACCCTCAGCAAAGGTGCGTTTGTTCCTTGTGTTTGTTTGTTTAAAAACTATATATATATATATATATTATTGTTTTTCGTGACAAAAGCTGATAGTTGGACACTTCAGAGCAACCACAAATGGCGGTTTGATTTGATCAGCGTGTGACTCAATACCCTGTTTGATTGCAATCCGTTGGTCCGGATCGCGGAGGTCGGACGAATTGATGGTCAATTGTCAAAATGTGTTCTGTTTCTTGTTGGCGGCATTCTTGCGTCTTTCGCAGAATCTACGCGTGGGTTTCCTTCAGTTTGATCGTGACTCGCGTGTTTTTGACGCTTTAGGTAACAGAGAACTGTGCGAAGATGACGCCGAGCTCTGCTGGCTTTGCTCATCAAGGCTGACGCATCTGGGTCATGTGTGTGCGTGTATGCGTTTGTTGAGGCTGCCCTTTTTGGGTTGCTTTCCAGGGAAGCCAAGGGAAAGCCACATTATTGGGGGCCTCTGGAAAAGCCCAGGAAAAAGAAGCAATTGGTTTGCTGCCACCCTTTCCTCTCAGTCGCTGTCTCTTGTCCCCCTCTCTCTCTCTCTCTCTTTCTCGATTTGTGTGGTTGTCAAGAACTTGGGGTGTCTCCACCACTCCACTCGATCTCAGGTAACCCCTACTGGTTTGGATAGGTTTGGATAGGTTTGGATTTGGATTTGAGAAGCCACCCGCCCTCCAAACCACCGAGTCGGCTTTAAGGCAGCCATTTGGGGATTCTTTTTTCGGTCCCTCCCGTTCCTTCAGGCCCGGGCAACGCAGCCGGTTCGGCGGGGAAACCGCTGAGCGGGGCGCTGTGCCTGCTCTTCACCGGCGGCACCTTCCGTAGCCGCTGTGTCGCTGGGGGCCCCAGGCGTCGTTTGGGCCAGTGGCAGTTTGGCAAGGCATAGCTTCTCACGTCTCGCGGTCGCTTGTGTTTTTTTTTTGGCAGGATGACGGGGGGGGGGCAACTGAGTCCCTTAAGGTGGTTGCATTTTGAGGGGGCCGTTTTTCAAAAAAGCAGTTTGGGGGTGAAAGCCTCCTCAAAGGACAGGGTATCTTTCAGGACGTCGCTTTAGGAAAACCCAGTTGCGCGATTGCGGATGGAGATCACTCGTGGCATTTGCGCAAAGAAAGAATGGTTGCGCAGTTCTAAGAATGAGGTTTGGAAAATGGCCTCACGAAAAGGCACCTTCACAGCAGCGGAGTGGGTCCCTTCCTCAATCAATCGGATATCCGACTGTCCAGGGGGTTGGCCAAGAACATTTGAACTCACAGAATTCCTGGTACTCGAAGAACCTACAAAAACTTGGGGTGGGCAGCAAAAACCAGGTTTTGCACCTGCCACTCGTCGAAAACCGGGTTTTCGGTTGAAGAACCTGGTTTTGCTTCTTGAAACCCGTACAAAAACCGTACAAAACCCGTATAAAAGCAGTACACAACCCGTATTTTCCGTATGCTTTTTGAAATCCAGGTTTCTTCTCTGAAAACCAGGTTATGATTTGGAACCCGCTTTTTTGTAGGATTTTGGAGTAGCAGGTTTGCGTGCAGGGCGCACCCAGATTCCTGACAGAAACAGAGGACTAGTAGCCCGCTGCAAGGCCGCAGGGGGCGTACCCACTTTTCTCATCTTGAAGCAAACCATTTGTTTGGGGCTCTCATGTCTCAACAGGTGGTGACTCACCAGATGGTGCAGCATGAGCGGGTTCACTACTCGGAGGTCGTGGCTGTCAAGGCCGGCGAGTTGGGTTGGGTCCGAAAGAGGTCAGGTCACGCCTCACATAGCGCCCATGTTGGTGTTTTTGTCTCAAAGAGGCACCACGACGCAATTATGCAGGTAAACCCCAAAAGATTGCCCATAGGGAAGGAGGATTGCGCACCCCAAAATGGATGGGTTTTCCAGAAGCCGTTTGCAAGCCCGGAAAACGCGCTTAAACCCAGACCTCCAGCTTCATTTGGGGGGTAAACCCCGAAAAGTCAACTACAAAAGGCTTCATCCCCTCACATGTTACCTCTTGTTATCTAAAACCAACGGCAAACAAACAACACGAACCTTTGGTCCCTTGTGTTCTAAAGGTTCAAACACATACCTTAAACACGTACGTACATACTCCAAAATAAGTTTTCCCCGGTATTTCTCCACTTGACGTTTATCTGGGGGTTGACGATATGTCCCGAAATAATTGAACAAGTTGCCCATGGTCATTTGGGGGCCCTTTCGGAATCTTGATATGCAGCCCCACTTGACACCGGGTTTTGACTCCCCCCCCCTTCTTCGCCTTCTTCGCCTTCTTGGGTCTGGCGGCTTTCGCGAGGGCCTGCGCATGGCCTGCCACACCTCGGTCTATTGGGGCGCCTCAGCCCTGGGCCAGCTGAGCATCGCCCTGGCGCTCGCTGGCACGGCCATCCTCTGCGAGGTGCAGGAGACACGGCACCAAACGGCACCAAACGGGGCCCTGTTTGGTGCTAATTAGCACTCTTCTTGGCCCATATAGCCTAAGGGTCGGTGTTTGTTGTTCTTCTTTGTTTCGGGTTGTTTGGCCTTTTTTGGCAAAAAACAACGAACACAAACGGCCCTGGCCGGAAGGCCCCATTTGGTACCAACCGTCACTTTTCTTGTAGCAAGGTTGTAGGGGCGGCAAAGCAATTGTAGTTTTGGGAAATGTTCGGAAACCAACAAGCATAGGTGTCTTGATCGGTGAGTTTGGCTAGAGATAGATGGGTTCCCCTGGTTTAGATTGGTGTTATTTGACTTGGCTGGAAGTTTTCGGAAACGACCGGAAGCCTCGGAGAAGATCCCTGGGCTTGAGCTTCGGTTTACCTGCGACGAGTTAGCCGCGTGCGGGTCGGAGGAGACCGAGGACTTCCGGCGGGTGATCTCGGAGGAGAAGGTGAATGGCATCGGCCTGGTGCCGGACCAGCTCAAGTTGCTGGCGGAGGATCCCCAGGACTTCCCGGAAAGAGTAGGGAGGGACACAAAAAGGTCCCTTTGTGGCCCTTTGTGGCCCTTTGTTTTGTGGCTTTTTGTGTAGTGCACAAGTACGGAAAGAGTAGTTTGTGGGCCTTTGTTTTGTTTTTCGGAGGTACACGAAAAGGTCAGCTGGGTTGAAGGGGGAACCAAAGGGAGAATCAACGGCTTGTTTATTTGGTCCTTTTTTTTGTGGGGGGGTCCCCCCTATTTTGACGCCACCTTTGTGTGGGGGTTTCTCAACATGTTGCCGTATTGAGTTGCCTTTAAAGGAAAACCAACCAAAACAACCTTGAGCCCCCTGGGTATAGGCCCCAATTTCAAGAAGCACCCATGAGGATGAATGAGAGGATGAATGATGTTTTGCAAGTGAAGGCATCGAAGCTGTCAAACGTTTGCAAGGAAATTAATCTGTCGCAAAGGGGCTTCCTCAGGGTAGGGTTCTAGAAGAATCAGGGCGGGCACGCGCCGCAGGTTGTGTTCAGAAATCCGGGGAAGCCTTTGGCTTTGTACAAGCCCACCAGAAACCGTGGCCACTCCTTCCGGTTGGACCCCAAGCAGGCGTTCCGTGATTCGGTTGGTATGTGCAAAGTTCGGGGTTTGCAACAGTCGCGTCCGGACCCCGAGTCTTTCAAAGTTCACAAATCCCCACCACTCGTTGGGTGTCCTTTCAGTTTGTCTTCTCTTCAGATCCTGAAAGGCAATTTCCAAAAAAGACAACACCATTGGCTCCCGGTTGCAACCTAAAATGGGGATACCATTGCCCCCAAAGCTCGTTTTGACATCATGTTGACTTGAGCGAAATGGGCTCAGAAAAGGTTGCCATATGGGTCAACAAAGCGGGACTCCACAAATGGGCTTCGGATGTCCTTTTGATTTCCCCATACACAAAGCACGGCCCCAAGTGAAGCCCGACTCAAGTCCTTGACTCCGGCTCGCGTGGCGTGTCTCGGGAGGTGGAGCTTCCGGACCTGAAGGCAGTCTTCGTGTGGGGCGAGAAGCTGCCGCTCACCGTGGCGCAGCGCTGGAGGACGAGCTCCGAGCGTCGAGTCGACGCGTGGGGATGGGAGGTGTCCGTCTGCGGCCTGCGCCTTTGTTGGGAGTTGCACCTGTCCGGGTTTTTTGGGATGGGGAGAAGGGGAACGTCAACAAAAAGGCGCCGGAGCCCATTTTGCGGAAGTTGGCCTATCTTGGGACAAACCCATCTCCCACGCCAAGAGCACGTGGATTTAGAGCCATGCTACCTTGTAACATGTTCTCGCCCAAAACGGCCCCTGTCGAAGAGATTTTCCCCTCCAAACAGTTTGGCGGTTCACCGGTTCACCCACATTTGCCGGTGTTTTGTTTGACGGCACGATGGGGAGGAACCATCCGGCCAGACTGCTGGAGCTGCTGGTCTCCACTGCCTCCTGGCCGCACGGGTTTCGCGAGAATTCCGGGCCCTTGGCTTTTGGTATGCTGCTTGTCAGATGTCCTGTTTCAAGACCTATGTTGGAAAATGGGGCTACGTAGAGGAAGGCCTATTACCTACTAAACCCTCAAGGCAGTTTCAAATCCCGCTTATCCTAGGGATAGCCCGCATGGCCTTGGTTGGAGGTCCAAGATTGCAACGAATTCCTTGGAGATGGACCTAAAAATACCCACGCACACGATTCCACGAGATGAAAAGGGGTTGGAGGCAGCAACTTGAGTGGGATTCTTCCGTTTGAAGGGATTCCATTTACCTGTATAAGCTACCACTCAGTTGTCCAAAGCGAATCGACCTTTTGGTCTGACCAAAATGAGGTTTTCCCTTTGGGGTTCTCATTAGTCAAGGCCCCAAAAGGTGATCACCTTCCAAATCCAGGTCCTTTGGGCAAGTGAGTGGGTTTCCTGTTGGCACCTTTTTCTCAAGCTGGGATGGGCGAACCCCGATTTGAATGGGACAAACCACGAATCCCTGGTGTGGGGCGGGTTTTGTCGAGAAGTGAGAAACGTGCCATGGTCCAAATGTGGGCCACGACCAGGTTGATTTCCTCATGGGGCGTTTCTCGAAATCGAGGGCCCCTAAACATGGTCCGCCTTTTTGAGGCTTCCGTCTCTATGCAACAAGATGTCTGTTGCGAAAGCCCACATGTGGCTCGATGCTTGAGGGTACCTGTTTCAGCTCAAAGGAACTCCATCCATTTTGGCCCCATATTTGAGACGTACGTTTCCCTGAAATGATTTAAACCAACTGATTGTATAGATATATAGTGAACCCTTGTTGCCATTTTGGACCCTAGGGGGCTGATTTCCCATTATTAGATACCTAACGGACAATTAGCCCATAAACTATGGGTTCATCCCAGGGGTTCACATCTATGGGTATATATTTCAGCACTGGAGAGCCATCACCTTCCTGTTGCCATTATGTTTGAGTATGCGCCACTAGTTTGACAGTGTCCGGAGGTTATCAAACTCAGAAGCTGGGGGTGTTGCCCTTAACCTTCTAGCTTTGACAAGTGTAAAGCAATGCGGCCAGCAAAACGACTGTGCTTTTTAGGGTTTGGAGGCACACCTTGAAAGGGCGGTCGCTTTCATAGTGCTTCATGACGGGAATCGACTCTACCTGTTTCGAGCCCCTTCTGGGGCCATCATTTGGGAGTTTCTGTCCGCCAACGCCCGAACATCATGGTCATCTCGCCCTGGTGACACATTGAGTTCGTGGAGGGCCCCGACGTTTTAATGGGGAGCTTGGACGAGTTTGACCAGAGGGTAAATGGGAGACCAATCTCCCACGCACAAGTGGTAGTTTCAAGGGAAACAAACCACCAATGCGTTGATCAACATGGTTCGGGGAACTCCCGTGACTGGCTGGGGCGGAACCTATCCATTTTGGGGTGGAACATCCACTTGCCTTTGTTCACCAGTACGTTTTGCACGGCTGAGGAGTATTGGCTCTCCTTCTACTCGGCGCCTTTGGAAGGTTCTGGGCACCGGGTGGTGGGCGGGGTGGAGCTGCTGATCGTGGACGGCCAGAACCAGGCGCCCCGCGGTCTATACTCTGGACTCTGGATGGTTGAAATCGGAATCCATGCAACGCACCGTTCAGAGACCCTATGATCATTCCCCTGCAAATCCAGCAAATAATGGTTTCCCATGGTATCAAAGTGGTCCCTTGAAAAGGACACGAAACAGTGGGAAGCCTGAAACAAATCTCACCCAAATACCAATTTGGGGAGGAATTTCCGTACGGTTGCAATGGATGGGATCACCGCTTGGGGTCGATTTGTTTTTTCAACCAAGGCCCTCGCCTCCGGTGTGGGGGAGCTGCTGCTGCGGGGTGACATGGTGACCCCGGGGTATTTCGGCTCGGAGTCCCAGGAGGCGCACCAGGGAACCGAAGGTTTTGAGTCGAAGGTTTCCTTTCCTAGGTCCCCCAGTAGTGCCCTTTTACATCCTTTTACCATTTCTGTTTTGCGGCGGGTTCTACTAGTTGCTAACTAAAATAGACTACAGACAAAGGGGTACCTTTATTCTAACCTCTCTACTGGAGGACCTAGTTTACTTTAATGTTGACCCAGGATGAATAAACCGCCGTCCCATTATTAGGGGGGTGTTCCCTCCAAAAGTGGTCTGAATCCCCACTAAAAGGGGACCCCCCCTATTAATCAAGCAGGGGTTTATTAATCCGGGGTTGACATTACTATTCAGCCAAATTACCTTCCACTAACATAGCACCTGCCGGTCCCTTCAGGTGCCTCACAGGCGCCATGATAGTGGGGGAGAGTGTATATTTTTTGGAATATACCCATAGGTCAAGTAAAGGGTAGCACCCATGGGACAAAAACAGGTGTATAGCCACCAGCCCTTTAAAGTCGTGAACCTCCAAAATTGCGACAGCTCCAGCTCCCACTGAACGATCGCCGGCAGCTCGCGCGCGTGGCGCGCCTCGCGCGCGCGAGGAGAGCTTCGTGGAGCTCGAGGGGCGGCGCTACTTCCGCACCCGGGACTTGGTGCAGCGGAAGGAGGACGGCACCTTGGAGTTCCGGGGCCGCGCGGACGCGCGGCAAAGAACTTAGCCCGGGGCCCTGTAGCTTTCGTTCTGGGTAGGGATGCTTCGAATTGAAGGAAAAACCATCTTGGGAATGAAAGATTGTGTTTTTTGTTTCTTCAGGGATCCTTCTTCGACAAAAAATGCAACTCTTCTGGCGGAGAATGGGTGGTTTCCTTCAGAGAAACAATGAATCAACCGTTAGACCGTGAAAATTCCGAGGGGCCCAGTTTTGAATTTCCAGGCAAGTTGTTTTTTTGTTTACAAGAACCGCTGTGTTGTCCTCTACCGCATACCGCAGAGAATGGAGCCCTGTTTTTTGGACAAGGGCAGGGAACAGTCCCTTAGTATTCATGCGGATTCGTCCTTCTTTTGGAACAAATGGCTGGGTTGCTTTGTCTTTGCCTTTCTGTCTCCCTTTCTGTTCGACTTTCAGGATGGGAACCCCCCTTAATGTCAAGCAACCAACCCAACTTCCCCATTGTTTGTTCTTGTTTTACTTGGTGGTTCCCTGCCATCCCCTTTAGGTTTTGAGCGTTTCGGGGTCAACCACTTTTAGCAGGGGATGCATTTTTTTACTGGCCATGTAAAGTTAACCAGGAGGCATCAATTTCATCATCTGAGGACATGTCCATGAAGCAGGGAGGTCAGTGGGTGGACCTGGGAGCCAAGCTAAGTGCACTGGAGGCGGGGGGGTGGGGACGGGGGCTTTGCGAACACTCAAAGAGATACAAACCCAGGTGAGCCAAAAATCAAAACCCGGGTAGATGAAGGTTGGTCAGGGACAATCTTAACCATAAATAGCTGCAGCTGCCTTCTAAATTCCTTACATGGTTCTTGGTGGACCATTTTAGTACCGGGTTTTGATTGGGACTCAGGTCTTGTCCAAAGGCTTCTTTGTTTCTTCATGTGGGGGTTGATCAAAAGGTCCTTGCAAGGAGTTATGTATTCGGTGACCATTCGTCTTGGCTTAAATCCCTCCGCGAAAGATCGGCGATGGAGTTCGCGAAAGAAACTTTTTTTTTCGCGAAAGATTCCGCGTTGGATTCTTGGAGGCATGCCTGTGCACTTACATATTTGCAGACCCCGCTCCCTTGTAGAGGGAGATACGCAGCACCTACACTTGCATTATTGATTCCCTGCCTGTGTTAGGAATGGCGCAAATCAATAACGTTGGCTGGGCTATTTTGGAGCAAGTTTCGCGAAAGACCGGCGAAAGTCCAGGGAGCTTGTTGCAAGGTTCCGCACAACGCCGGCAAGCGCAAGTGGCAAGGGCGAATGACGGTGACTGCTTGCACTTAACACTACGTACTGCACGCAGGTGAGCTGCGGCTATCCTGTGTGCAAGCATAACTGCAGCAGCCGCAATGGCTCCAGAGCGCACGCTGCAAACAAAAGGGCAAACAAAAGGGCTTGGCGATGGAGTCGCGAAAGATTCGCGAAAGAAACTTTCTTTCTCGCGAAGATGGCGTTTTCCGGAAACAGGAATATTGATCAACTGCCATGTCTTGTCTAGTTATTGCGGCCATGTCCTTATGTCCCTCGTTCTTTCTTTATTTCTGTGTTTATTTGGTGATGTCTTTGTTTCTTTGTGTGGCCCTGAACACATCCCTTCAGGATCCCAACATTTTTCCCGAACAGTCGCAAAGACACCCCAAAAACATGTGTCTTTGCCAATCCCAATCCAAAGGGGATCCCCTTTAACCCCAAGCTACGGATCTTGCGGATTGGCTTTGAGCAGCCCATAGCCGGTTGATGACCCATGGCCAACATGTTTTCTGAGAAATTGCAACGATAATAACTAACCAAACAAGGCAGAACAGAACAACCAAACACTCAAACAAACACACAAATCAAAGAAGCAAACAAATAGACAAACAATCAAGTTTAACAATCAATCCAACAAAAGCAAAGACACAACGAAAGGAATAATGAAAGATAGAAGCAAGCACACAAACAAACACAAGTATTATTGGTTTGGATTGGTGATCGAACCCATCTATGGTTATGGAATATCGTCTTTGTATTACCAAGCTGAGACAAGCCCCTTTCAGGTTGCTTTGGATCATCTGCCCAACAGAAGGATGGCAAAGTAACGACCAAAGTGCTAGTTGACCCCGTCAGATGATCACAAACAATTCAGAAGGCACCGAGCCCAACTAATTTTAAGGCGCAGCTGATTCTTTCTGGTTGAATCGAAAAGTCGACCAACCTTCCAATAATCCTGCACACGTTTTGTGGTACCCTAAGCATCATTGAACCCTCCATCACAGCGGTGAGGACCTCCATTCCGACGCTTGGGAGCTCCAAAAAGACCCATTTTTGAGGTACCAAGATTCTTTTGCTGCAGTTGTTTTTTCTTTTTATTTGTGGGTAGTTGGCCAAGTGTATCCAAATTCCTGTGGTTCTGAAACCTCGACAGGCCCTCAGCGGCGTGGAGGACGCGGCCTTACTGCCGGACCCGGGCGGCGGCAGCCGAATGCACGGGTTCCTGGTGCTGAAGAGCTCTCTGCCGGCAGAGGTGGCGGCCGTGACGCTGGAAGCCAAACGCCGCGTGGCGAGATGGAGGCCGAGGTATCGACGGAGGGACCACGGGACTGCCCGAGTATCTCACTTCCCGAGTTCCTGGACTTTTAGACTTTTTCGGAAAGCAATTTTGATGGTAGATATCTGGACGTTTTTTGGCCAATCCACTCAACAAGTGAGTTAAGGAGTGTTTCTACCCTCCAACTGCACAGGAACTGGTTCCTGGTTTGTACCATTTTCCGTTTCAGGGGGCTGGTTCCTGCGCAGGTTCCATGTTGCCAGGGGACACTTCTAGGGGCTTCCGAGACCAGGGCCCAGAGGTAAACCCTTTGGATGCACGGCCTTTTGGTATTGTTCTTTCTTGAGGGGCGAAAGCGTCGAAAATGCATCCCATGGTGTTCCATGTTTCGGGATTTTTGCCGTTGGAGGGCTTTCATGCTCAGCCAAAATGGGTTGCTTCCTTTTTCTGTTTTTTTGGGGTGGGGTTCCTTGCTTTTGACTGGAGCCCCCTTAAAATCTTTTGAACCGATGGAGCGGGGGCTAGCCGAACTTGCTTCTAACTTCTAAGTAAGGAGCCTTTCAGAGCTACCAGGAGTTCTGTAAGACATGATAGCTGACTTTGAGGGTACCCTCCAAACCTTGGACGACTTTCAGAGAGGGCTTTGGAGGACTACTCTTTTTGGGGGAAGCCCCAAAAAAACAGAGAAGAACACCGATGCCGAGATCCGAGGCTTGCTGCCGCAGGCCACGATCCATCTGCTCAGCAGCTTGCCCAGGCACCCGGTCACCCGCAAGGCGTGGGTAGGGATTCGGAGCTGGGGGCGATTTGCCCCCGCAACTCTGGACGAGCCGACGGCAAAAAGATGCAGGAGCCCGGCCAGTGGCTGTCAAATAGCCATTGGGGGTCCTGATTCAATTTTTTGGGAACACTTCCATGAATATGGGACCTGACAGGGTCCTGGAAGACCATTTTCCTTTTGAAGGGATCGGGTGGAGGCAGGGTATGCTTGTTAAGAACCTGCTTTCATGGGTGCCTTTTGCCTCAAGAAACAGACGCACATCTATGGGGACCCTTTGGCGGACATCATTTACGTAGCCATATTACCATTGTAGATGATTCTACTTAGTTTCATGGGTAGCCTGAAAAAGGCTGGTTTGGCATGAGCCTTAATTGGGTTTCAAACTGGGTGAAGCCCCCTGCAAAAAAGCAATCAAGAAGGGGTGCTTTGCTTTAGTGTTCCATTTCATAGCAGCCACCAGGGCGTGTCTCAAGATAGGTGACCCTCAAGCAAAACTGGAGGTGTTCTTTTTCCCCTCCCGAAAACGGGGTCTACCACCTCGAGACCCACAGACATGGCTCCTCAAAAGAGGGGGCAACTCCAAAAAAGACGCCAAATCACAGCCCACCCCAGGGGAGGGTTCACATCAGACGCGGGCTGCCGCTTTCTTGGTGTGGTTCCCCTAAAAACCCTTTGGTGCACTTTGCTTGGATGTCAGGACTTCAACTTTTTGCCAACTAATGTGTTTTTCCGTATTAAACCACTAGAAGTTGAAAACTTTTGGCAGGGGAGCAGAAAGCAACCGAGAACCCACCCCAAAAGAGCGGAGGTCCCACCTACCTACGAGAACTTCCCCCCAGGTGGACGTGGGGAAGCTGACGAAATTGGCGCAGCCCGCGGAGGAGAGCTGGCCCTACGGCTCGTCCGTTCCGGCGCCCTTTACGGAGCAGAGGGCGACTCAGAAAGCCCGGGTTCCAAGGGAGTCCTAAACGGCGCTAGTCTACCGGGGGGGGGGGGGGGGCCGGTTCCTGCAAAAACCCTTGTTTTTGTTTTTTAGCCCGACAGGATTTATTTGGTGGTGTGGAATCCAACTTGTTTCGCAACTCATTTATATATATATATATATATATGTATATGATAATATTCACGGCGGTGGTCTACGGGGGGGCGTCCCTTTAAAAAAAACGGGAATCCGAGGGGTTCCCCCAAAAAAACAAACTCGGGAATTCTGCAACGGTCCCAGGAACCCTTGAAACTCCCCCCTTCTACCTACCTTCCGGTTGGAAATTCCACATTCCCATGAAGCTAGGTGTAGTTGGCAGTCCTTTTTTGGAGTCGGAACCCCTTGTTGGGTTTTAAAGGAAAATTGAGAACAAAAGGCAAACCAAAGCTTTTCGGGGGCCCCCCAAAACAAACACACCTATTTGGGCTGGTGAAAAGGGAAACCAAGAGGAACACCACTCAGTTTGGGGGTTCCCTAAACCACACACCCAGGTATCAGGTAACTTTTGCCCTGCAAATTCACCTTCAAGTAACACTGAGTTGGTGATTTGGAATGGTGGTTTGGATTTGGATTTGAACCCTGGTTCTTGCAGAGAAATTGGCTCCCATGAGTCGAGGCAGCCTGATTGGTGGGTTGGATTGGTGGCTTGGGGGGTTTGAACCTCTGGCTTTTGGGTTGGCTTGGTTTGGATTTGAATTCAAGCCAGGCATCAGCTCCTCCAAACTGCAAAAGTGTGGTTTCATGTTTGGCATTTAGGGTTCTACACAAATGCGCATTTCCTCAAACGGAGGTTTCTCAGACAAGGGTTCCATTCGTCTAAGAGTTCCGGGTTTTGGCAGTCTTCACATCTTACACTCCTGCGAGGTGAACATGGTACCTGGAACAGCCATGCTTTTTAGAGGATCTTGGGGTGTGAACCCCTGGATCTTGGTCACGGTGAATGCGTATGTGTTTGTTTGTTTGTTTTGAGTTGGTACCCTGTTTGGGGTTGGTTCAAAGGAACACCAAAACCAAGCACGGTTTTGGAGGCTTTTTTAGCCCCCCCTCTTTCGTTTTGCGAGGGCAGCCCTTAAACCAGGTAGAACCGCCTGCAAGAATGGACATGTTATGTGTTGGCATTACTATTAGGCAAAAGGTACCCCATGGCTCGGTCAGGTTTAAACGGACACCAGCATGAAGACAACGTGTTAGCAGTTGTTTTGCCGATTTGAGGTGAGTTTGATTCGGTAGGGTTAATGTTTGTAGGTTGGAAATATAATCAGCATTCCTCCCATTGGTGGTTTGGAGGTTAGAGCGGAGTTTACTCCAGTTCCCCTCTAGAAGAAGGAGGAGTGCAAATCCCCAACGAACCATCATTCCGTACCAGTAATGGTAAACCTTGATATCCTGGTGGTTAATTTTCACCCATGCCCCCCCCCGCCCAAGCCCCAAAAAAGAAGAAGAAGAAGCACACTCAAACAAAGACACCCTCCCAGAATGTATTTGTTTTTTGGTTGGTTTCCTTTAAAACCTGCCAGAAAGGGCTCAACAAAAAAAGAAGAAAGAAAACGACACCCGACTCCGGGGCGTTTGGGGGGTCTGGGCTAGGTTTGGGACTCCTGGCGCTGGACAAGTGCCGCGCTCTTGGCGGCACGTGCCTACGGCTGGAGGGACCAGGGGGTGAAGGCCTATTTGGGGCTGCTGCTCCTGCCGTACCTTGGCCATTGATTCGGGTTTGGGATTTGGCAGATAAACAGAAACGTGTTTAAACAAGGCTCGACCACAGCCCTTCTCGTTTACCACTTTTGGGCGTTTAAACCCTGTGTTTTGTGCAAGGCGGAGCTAGTCCCAGTTTCAGCATGCCTGAGCAAACCGGCCACCTGGCTGCCTTTTGAGTGGTGTTTAAACGGCTCCTGGGTGCTTAAACAGCCCCCATGTGTAGACTGGTTGGGAGATTACACATCTGGAAACCTCCAGTCATGCGTTTTTTGGAGTTTCAGCGGCTGGGAGTTCAAGCGGCTTCCGGCCTACCTTGTTTCCGGGTGTTTGGCCGGACCCCAGAAGGCACAGCTGAGTTTTTGGCCACTCCCTTCATGCTCAAACATTCGCCGACATTTAAGCATTTGGTTTAAACCTCCACCATGTTTGAACATGTTTTGCGTGTTTAAACAATCTGCTTCAGTTGTTTCGTTTAAACATCGACATTCGTTTGTTTAAACGTTCAGAGCGCCCGCGACTCTTTAAAGCGTTTAACATCGTTGAGACATGTTGCCCCGAAAGGGCCATATTGGAGCGTGCGTTTCGTTTCATCGAAAAAGGAGGGGTAAAGGGAACCAAGAGGGCACCAAGTGCTCTTGGGGCTTGGGTCTTGTTTGGACCCCCGCTTTGTGGACAGTACTTGGGATGTCTGACATGGGAGAAAGCAGTTGTTCGGGGGTGCTGGATCCATTTTGTTTTTTGAGGGTCTCATGGTTTCAAAAGCAAAGTCAGGAGGAAACCACCACTTGAAAAGCAGTCCCTATCTTTCTGAGTGCATTTGCTTCAGCTTTCACTGTTTGTTCAAATGTGTGTTCCCCGTTTTTGTGCACAAGCATGTCACAACTTTTTGCCGGGGGCCGGGGGGCCGTTTCCTACGCCCAAGTGCCGTATCAAGGTACATGCACCTGGCCTACCTCCACATCGCGGAATCGGTGTCACAGCCGTGGCGGCTTTGGAGCGCCCTGCTGCGCCTCGGCTGGGAGCGAGCCGCGGTTCCCTGAGTTTTTGAGAGGTTTCTAGCTGCCTTGGTGTTCCAGGGGTTGATTCCTTTTCCATTCTTTTCAATCACTGTTTTGTTTTTTCAAAAACCTGCTGTTTTCCCTGGGTTTCTGGAGGTTTTCTGGAAAGAAGGATCCAAGGAAAGAATGGGGAAGGTACCTCTAGAGGTTTTGAATTTCACCCAGAATTGATTCACTCTGAGCAGATCAAAAACGGACAGTCCGCAAAACCAGATTGCTCAACCACAAAACCATACATCACATGGTTTCCATAATCCGTTTCGCACCACCCAAGAAACCAAGAGAGGCTAAAAGACTCTAATTTTCGCCTTCGCAAAAGAGTCTCTAATGTATATCGGGCTGTTTTGAAGGTTCTCATGATTGCTGGTTTCGTGATACTTGCGACCGCGGGCGGGCCCCATTTGCATCGCGATGCGCCATAGAAAAGCAGTTCAGGGCAGCTTTGCCGCTCCAGACACATCCAGTTTAGTTGGCTAATTTGCTGTGTCTGCAGAGTGTACGGCTGCTCAAACAGTCAATGTGAGTTCACCGTTAGCGCGCGCAATCTGCCAAGAGGGATTCCGAGGGGTTCCCCTATGTGTGCCAAGGGTTTGGGAACACATAATTGACCGTGCTCGCTTGCGCAGCGAGCCCAGCGGGGGAACTCACGGGGCCCAAAACGAGAAGGGGAAACCCTAAGTGTTCGAATTGTATTTTGTCGCGCCGTGCCCAAGAAAACGTCTGTGCTTGTCACAGGGCCATTGCAGGAAAAGACTTTCAGAACGGATCTACAAAGCCTTTTTTTGATGCATCTTTTTTGTCTGCGCTTGTGGAACGCACAATGTAGGAAACAGTATTGACAACCCTGGACATTCAGTTGGGTGGCGGTTCGTCTCTTGACCTTGAATAAGTGCGTTTCAAGGCATGTCGGCGCCGTCGCGCTTGCGGGATTCCACGTCCACTTGTGCTTTTGCATGGCCGCATTTCACGAAATCCCGGTTCGCCAAAAGACTGACAGAACTCCACGCAGTCTGACAATTCAGACCTGCAAGGGCCTGCACGAATGTCCTGGACACGCACGACCAATTTTAAGGGGCTTGCGCGCCAGAGTTCCGCGTTCCGGAACGATGTTCTTGGCAAGATTGCTTGCAGTCAATGGAGCCACGTCTCTTCACTAAAACCCGGAAATGAAGCCAAACACAAAGAAAGCCGGGGTGCTCCTCGAAATCAATTTCCACTTCTTCGGGACCGCAAGCACACCGTTAGTCATCAGTGGCTTGCAGCGCTCGTCCCAGTCGCGCTTCGCAAATTGCCTGCGGCAAGTTCACGCGGCTCCTGTGCCTCAAGCTCTCAAGTTTCAGGGGCCATCTCTGGGATTGTGGTTGGCCGATTTTGGGCGTGAACTTCTGAAATTTCAGGACTGGCGACCCCCGATTCTGTTTTTTTCCGGCTTTTCGTGTTTTTTTTTCTTGGGGGGTGGGGGCCCGTGATTTTGCGTGAACTTGCGTGAAAAAGACTCTAAACTACGGTGTTTTGGCGTGAACTTGCGTGAACTTTCGTGAACCTTGGAATTCGCATTTTCGTTTGTGTAAAAAAAAAATTGCGGCCAGCTGTGGGGTTTTCGCGGCCTATTCGCGGAATTTCGCGGCCATTTCTGCTCGTGCCCATGGCTTCACGGCCATTTCGCGGCCATTTGCTAAAAACGGCGCACGACCCCGCACAAGACGTTCGTGCGCATGTCCAAGTTAACCCTTTAAAGCCTTCCACTCCTACCCGAATTCGTGCACATGCTTCAGCGCGACTAAGACCTGTCCATGCATCCGTGAGGAGTTGAAACTTCGTGAATTAAACTTGTCCAGCGTGCGAACCCTTGAAAACCTCAACGGCCGTGAAACCCATTTCTAGAGATGAATGATTGCCCAATCGTGAGGAAATGAATAACCGGGAATTGCGTAGCAATCCCTGCGCCTTTTCGCAGAGTGAGAGTGGAAGACTTTTTAGAAAAAGCGCAGACAGCCTGAGCGTTTTCCAAGAAAACGATGCGAGAGTTGATGGCTTTTGGCTTTAGCGCCAAATTCAAAGAACATAAGCCTTCACGAGTACCTTGATGAAAGTTGGAAAAGAGGAAACGCATTGAGGACAATGGCTGGGAAAAATACAAAAACATCGAAAGGGTCCATGGCGCCGAAGTGCCCCCCAAAGGTTGCGCCACTTTTGGGCCCTTACAAGCTAAAGGCAAATGAGACGGGCGAGTCGCTTTAGAAGTGTTTAGAATGTCCGCGCGCCATTCTTTCTCAGGATTGTGTCGATTGACCCCAAGGCTTGCCTTTTGCGCAGACACAAGCTATCAGGGCAGGTGTGCGAGCTAACCTCCCTCAACTTCTCCCCCCTTGCCTTCCGCCTGTTCTCGTTTTGTTGGCTGCCAAGGTTGCAGTTTAAAGGTATACTTGCGTTGCTCGCTGGCGCTCACAGCCTTGCACTCATGCAACTGAACTCGGCGCGCCCTATACGACACTGGGTTCTCTACAAGGATAGATCCAGCTTGACAAGCGTTTGGCCTTGGACATTGCATGACGTCATCTTGCGTCGGCGCAGCCGATTGCGGCTTAAATTGTCATTGCGCCGCGCCTCGGCTGCTACCATTGGAACCAGCTGGCCCATCCATTGCGGCCAGTCGCCGAATAACGACTCTTCGGCGCAATCTGCAGGATCGCAAGAGTTTGCCACTTGACCGGCTCAAACACAAAAGCGATACATTAGCGCCTCGGGCTCTAAGCTATGTAGTTTAGTGTCTTTTAGCCTCTCTTGGAACCCTGGTTTCTGATGATGTCCCCCTGGTAAATACCAACAAACCTCCCCTGTAAATACCGTAGCAAACCACGGCTCCAGCCACGGTTTCAAGGTGGTGCGAAACGGATTTCGCAACCATCCACACGGGCAGTCAACATTATAGATCATATGGTTTCAACTTGTTCCCTTACTTGCAATACTGCGGATGGTTGCGAAATCCATTTCGCACCACCTAAGAAACCCAGGTTTCTTGTGATTTTCTTTGGTAAATACCAACAAACCTCCCATGCAAATACCGCAGCAAACAATGGTTCCAGCCACGGTTTCCAAGTGGTGCGAAATGGAGTTCGCAACCACCCACAGGGCAGCAACCAGGGAATCAGACCACTTTTGGAGGGCCCGCACCCCCCCCTATTGATAGTCTTGTTGGTTGATTAGTATGGGTCAGCATTGTAGATCAGATGGTTTCAACTTGTTCCCTTGCTTGCAACACTGCGGATGGTTGCGAAATCCATTTCGCACCACCTAAGAAACCCAGGTTTCTTGTGATGTCCCCCTGGTAAATACCAACAAAACATGGTTCCCCATGGTTTCATTTCGTGGTGCGAACGGATTTTGCAACTGTCCACAGTAGCTACTTCCTTTGGAATATGTATCTGTGTTTGAGGCTCACTCCCCCCTGGTTTGTGCGTGAAGAAAAAAAACCATGGGCTTGTCACAACATATCCACACTAGGGCCGCTTCAGGCACGTCATGCCCACATTTTAAATTCATTATTGGTTTAGTAATGTTGACCCCATAGTAGCAACGGTTTCTCTCTATCAGATGGTTTCAACTTGATCCCACGTTCCCATGTTCCCATGTTCAACCAGATTACTCAACCGAAAAAAACCAATGGCTGGTTTCAACTTCTTTCCTTACTTGCAATACTGTGGATGGTTGCGAAATCCATGGTTCATGTCAAAAGACATGCTCCCTCAACCAGAGTACTCATCCATAAAAAAAAACAATGGCTAGTTTCAACTTCCCTTAAGCCAATGGTCCTAGTTTCAACTTCCCCCTATTCAATGGTCCCTTAAGCCAATGGTCCCTCGACCGTTCCCCAGGCACGGCATGCCCACATTATACATACTATTATTGGTGTAGTAATGTTGACCCCATGTTAGTAACGGTTACCATACATCAGATGGTTTCAACTTGATCCCATGTTTCGATGTTCCCATGTTCAAGCAGAAGACTCAACTGAAGAAAACCGCTGGTTGGTTTCCACTTAGTAACCCATGTCTCCATGTCCCCATATTGGTTTAGTAACGTTGACTCCATGTTAGTAACGGTTTCCATGTATCAGATGGTTTCAACTTCTTCGACCGTAGGCACGGCATGCCCATGGGCGCCTGGGGTGCCATGCTGCTGGCGCTCCTCAGCCGCCCCATGACCTCGCTGGACCTGGCCAGCGCCTGGGCGGCCGCGGGGGCGGCGCTGGCGGTCAGAAGGTGTGCTCGCTGGTCATTTGGGGGTGCCGGGACCCTCCCCAAATAATATATATATATATATATATATAATATATATATATAAGTATAATATATATTATATATATAATATACACACATTTACATTGTCCAAATTGTATATGTACATGTATATAGATCTATATACATACATATAAGAAATATACAGTGTATATATGTGTATATACGTGTGTATATGGAAATGGTGGTTCTCCTTTTAATTTTCCTTAACCTGCCAAAAGAGCACAAACATACACAGATGCTTTTCCTTTTGGCTTTCTTTTCGAAAACAGCAGTACCCTCCAAAAGAAGGCATGCCCATCTCAACTTTTATTTTGGAAGGGTTGCTATTTCCCTTTACATTCTGCCAAAGAAGGAAGCTTGACCTGTTGGGGGAAAAACAGCTACCAAAAAGGTGCGCCAATCCGATGTTTCCCGGAAAGCCATTCTGCTTTGGGTGCTCCCCCGACTTAGTACACAGCTGAAACCCTGGTTTTAAGGGGACTAACCCCAGCTATCCAAGTTATCACCATGGTTGCAAACTTATTAAGTCGGTTTACCACCCAAGTTTTGCAAGTTGGTTAAGGACATCAACTGTCGCCATGGGGTTATGACTTGAGTAACTGGGGTTCTCCTTCTGACCGGGGTTTTAAGCCATTTACCTGACGTAGGCAACGTAGGCAACGCACAGCCAGCCGCTTCGATCGCAGGGGTCGGCTGCTGTCCTTCCCGCTGATCTTCTGGTGGGGCGCAGGGCACCGCCTGCAGTACGAGCTGGAGAGATGGTGCACCTGGAGGCGGGCGTTGTTTTTTTTTGTTTTTTGTTTTTTTTTTTAATTGTGTAAAAACATAAACCTACGTATGTATATATATATATATATGTAACACTGGACATTTGTGTATTGCTGTTAATTTTGTTGTTTTTCTCCGAACACCAAACAAAACAAAGCAGGCGGCTTCTGGATTGCAATATTGAACTGTAGGAATGTGTTGTTGTGTCTTTCCGTAGTTGGTTTCAAAGGGATTCTATTACTTGGAATATGTGCATGTATTGTCTCCGGGGACTCAAACACATGGAGGTGGAGTTTCGATTTGGGTTTTCCAAGCCCAAACGCCACGTACTTCGGATCAAAACTCCTCGCTTTCTGGGACCCTGGGTGAGTGCCCGGGGGTGTGCCTTTGGCTCCGAAGGGACCAGAGGGAACAGACATTGCCTGCCCGGACCCCCAAAGGACCTCGTTTTTTTTCTTTTTCTGCCTTTGTGCCACTTGGTTCGTGGAATGTCAGTCAATAGGCGTTCAGGCGTCGACTCCGCGCCTTTTCATCCTCTAGGGGTAGCTTCAAAGTGGAAAGGCTTGCTTACAGGGGCTCGCTTGAGTCTGGCCCAAAAGGGGCAAGACTGGTGACTGACGAGTTGTTTTTTCCGCTTGCGGAATTTGCTATGATTTTGGGGTGTCCGATTTTTTTGTGCCTAAATGGATGGTAGGGAAAGCAACAGGAAGCAGCTTACGGCTTACGCCATTTCTAGGGCTCCAGCTCCCAGATGGTGGGATCAAAAGCGTTTGACTTGTGAGGTACTGGTGCTGGTATCTCACCTCCTGGCCGGAGTTATTCGCATCGAGCGACAAAGAGCAGCCCCGGAGGGAAGCCAAGAAGGTGGAACCGCAGAAGGAGGAGGCGAGAACAGCCGAGCTAAAGGGGTTGGTGCCAAAGGACCCCGTTTGTTTCTGCCTTCCTAAGGCTTGTTTATGCGTCAAAGGCAGAAAGAGGGGTCCATTGCGGGGCCGGGGCCAGGGACTGTGAATACTGCGATAAAAGGAAACAAACGTACCTACCAACTCATGCAAGATTGTGTCCAGTGTCTTTTTGAGGCCCACTGGGAGAGCGCCCTTTTAAGCTTTATTGGTGGCTGCTACGAAGATTTCTTGAAAGGGACACTAAGAAGCCATCTCCATGTCGATTCGCTCGGCCAAAAGTATCTGCCAGTTCGTGGTGAGTTTGTGTTTTGGAGCAGAGCAGCTGGAGCGCAAGGGGCTCGAGGGTCCAGGCAGTTTGAGCCGCTGACGGTGACGCAGCGAAGCCCTCCATCGCAGCATTTGACCGATCGCCCGCATGTGATCTGACCCAAAACCGGGTGGCAAGGCCGTTGAGCCTGGCGGGCTTTGAGGGTACCCGTTTTGCCGGTTCAACCGACCTCGGAAGTAGGTGACCTCGGTTATGCGGGACTGACCCCAGTTACGCAGGCCCAAGGTTCGAACCATGGTTGCAACCAACTTACCAAGTTGGTTGAACGCCAAAATTTTGCAAGTTGGTTACCAAGGGCTATCAACAGTTGCCATGGGGTCTCCCTAGTTTGCCCCCTTTTGGTTTCCCTTAGCAACAAGGGTCTTGACCTGTTGAATCCAAGCTTGCCCATCCCATGTGGGGTGTTACCCTTGTTGGGTGGTAGTGGTCTTAAGGAAAACCATGGGAAGCCCGAAGAAAAGCTGCAACTTTTGGGGTGCCCTATTCAGTGACACACCCGTCAGGTCGCCCAGTTGGTAGTTTGGATTGGTTTTTGGGGGCTTTGAACCCCTAGTTCTTGTAAAGATCAGCTGGGCAACCACCGAACTCCCAAAGGCTGAACCCATGGGCCCATGGGTTTGCATTTCCCGACTAACCGCCAGGTGGCAGAGCATCAATGCAGGTGGTGTTCTCGCCCGATGGCGCAGGAATGGCCACCCCCCTTGCTTGTCTCCCGCAGCGTTCCGCTGCAGGCCGAATCGGTCGGCCAAATCTGTTTCAACAACCTGGATCGCCAAGTTGCGCTCACTTTTGTCCAGACACTTTTGCCAAAAAGCAGTCGCCAGTTGCTGTGAAGCAGCAACTGGCGATCCAGGCAGACGCTTATTCCCTGCGAACTCAAAGGAGGCTGCTACAAGTTTGTCTTCACAAGCACCTTTGAAGGTGGCCAACCAACAGGAAGTTCTTCAAGCAAGTTGGTTTCAACAGGTGTTTGATTCAGCTGGCCCAGCAAAATGTGTTTCAACCAGAGGTTTGACCCACCAGTTGCCTCGCCGAAGCCCCCTGTTAGGACCCTGAGGCCGTTTTCGGGTGCAACGACGGGGAGGGGCGTCCGCTCTGCTGGGCCTGCTGGGTGTTGGAGTCCGAGTCCGCGGCGCGCCACGCGAGGAAGGGGGCAAATGGGGCTTGATGAAAACAACAAATGAAAAAACACCTGGGCCCCTGAAGATTTGGCGAACCAGTTGTAATTACAAAAATATTTGGCGGGAAAAAAGAGAGGAAAAAAAGGCAGCTGGAATATTTGGCGATGAGTTCATGGGGAGTTCATGGGGTGCCCAGTTACTCAAGTTACAACCCCATGGCGACTATTGATTTGTGTTCAACCAACTGGGCCCCTGAATGGACCCATTCCATTTTTGTCGGCGACCCCCCGATGGATCCTTTCTTTTTTTTCTGCAGAAATGCTGAATACAAGTGGTACCAAGGCAGGAACAAGGAATCGGTCCTTTGGGGGTCAAGGACTATCCTGCTCCACGATTCGTGGTATGTGTTAGTCTTTTTAGTTGTTTAGTTCTGTTCAGTTTTAGCGGGGGCCTGCAGCAAAATCACACTATGATTCCAAGGGACGGCAAGCCTGGTTCCCGAGGGAAGCATAGGGAAACCAAGGGGAGGGTGACTGTAAACAGCTTGGTGGCGCGACCATGTTGAAGCAAGGCGTTGAATGGCAAAGGAGAAAGTCTCCCAAAACGGAGTTGGCTTCCCGGATATGGTTTCTGCTTCCAGATACAGTCTGAGATATGTCCCAGCCACAAGGAGAGTGGTTAAACAGTTTGATGGTCACATGGGTGGGTCTTTTTGAGGGTACCTTGTTGTGGTTGGTTTTAAAGGAAGGCCAAAAGGAACCCCACTAATTATTTCAGGGTTTCCCAAAAGAAAAATACACTATGCGAATCGCCCTGAGGGGCCTGGCAGATCGAGTTTTGGCCGAGCAAAGAGAGGTGGTCGTTGAGGCGGACGACGAGAAGAAACAGGAGGCATCTTGGGCCACCGACGGGACGAGCCTCGGCAATTGGTTTGGTCTTTTATCACGGTCCTCTCAAGGTATGGATGTCTTTTTTGAGGCAAGTATGTTGGTTTGGTGTTGTAATGCAAAACCCCGGGGCAAACCAACCATTTTGTAGTTCCACTATTTTGAGACAAGCCCGTGTGTCCCGTTTAAACATTGCCTGCTTGGCCATGTTCAGATGTGGTCTTCTTTCGGTGTGGGATTTAGTGGGCACGTGCTCCGGATCCCCATCATGCCCCCCCCTCCTGATCCCCCGTTTTTCAGCTTGCGTCCTGTCCGTAGGGCGTTACGGGAAGTTCCTGCTGGACTTAGGGTGTGGCAGGAGGACTGGAAGCGGCGCTACGACAAGTGGTGGTGGGCCAACAAGACCGTGGACCTCGTGGAGCTGCCGCCCCCCGAGCCCACCGCCAGAGCCGCCGACCTTGGGGGATCCGAGGGCCGGGATCCCCGGCTGCGGAAGCTGCGGAAGTGCCTGGAAGACGTGCTGCGAATGGAGGCGCCCATGGGAATGGCTCTTCCGGTAGGTTGCTGGTGTGGTTCCGCATCCCATGGCTCACTTTAGGTGGTTCTACTACCTGGTTTCATGGGGGGTATAGCTAGTAACGCCTCTAGAAACCTGTATAACCATGTTGCTAGATCCAAACGTCAATGGGTTGTTGGCGCTGCTTATGTGTGGACTAGATGGTAGGTGGCGATGCGCACCACTTGGTAATGTCCACCTCGGATTTACAACTAGCCCCCCCCGCACCTCCCCCGAATTCCAAACTCGACTGTTTTCCCCAGTTTAGTATTCGAAGTGACCCTTTTTGGAGTTGGGGTCTGAATTGTTTTGTACGGTCAGGTTCTAGGACGTCTGGCAGTTCTACTTTTGAAACGATTTTGTATTGCGGTCAAATTCCAGGATACTTCAAAAGGGGCAATACTACTCTTGAATTTGTTTTGTATTGCGGTATAATTCCAGGAAGCTTGGCGGAACTCTTCAACAGGGACAGTTCTACTTTTGAATTGCTTGTGTTGGGATGCATTTTCAGGATGACACAGATCAATAGCTTGGTTTAGGGACAATGCTTTGTCGCAATAATACTAAATCAACACGGGCAATACTATGTTTGATTTGGTTTGGTATTTGGATCCATCTCCAGGAAGTGACCCAGATCATTAGCTTTATTTAGTGTATGTTTTACTTATGCAAATGACTTTGTGGGTACCCTTGTCTGATTGTTAGGAATTATCATGAAACGCGACTCCAAGATATTGATATTCGGTTGGCGTTAAAAAGGAAAGCTGGCAATGGCACCAAACATTGAAGTCAAGAGGGCGATCAACAAGAGTGTTTACGATATTGTGAGATATTGTGAGAAGGTATTTAACAAAGAACTCGTCATAAAAATAGACTAAAAGATAGGGTTTGGGATGTTGAAAAGAAACAAACATATCATATTTATTTAGTGTGTTTTCTTACTTTGAGAATTGTCTTAGGGTAAAACTCACACACACACAGCTTAGCTTGATTTTAGTTTGGGAACTTTCTCAGGTTTAGTAGTTCAGGGGTCGTCTACTGATCGTAAGTGGACATGTTTTGGTTTATCCCAGTCTTCACACGGGTGACATCCCATATCAACTGGTGCTTCTTTTTTCAGCGGAGGTGTTGCGCGATAGGGTTCAGGTCCAATGGTTGGAATAACTGAATCCGCTTGTGACGAAGTGGTCAGAAGAATGGGAATCCCCACTGTGTTTTCCAGGCCGTTCTCCTGCCTTTAGAGGAGAACACAAAGCAGGTTGTGTCAGCCATTTGTTCTTCTTTTTCCTCCCTCCTGGCTGAAGAGCAACTTTTGCCAGCTCTCCACTTACCCCAGAACCCAAAACAATGAAAGATGAACCCTAAAATCATGTCCAACCCCGACCCAGTCCTGGATCACAGTTACCACTATAGTAGACAACCCAACAAGTTTCCTCTTGGTTTTTTGGTTAGATGCCAAACCAGATGAATATAATTGGTTGCTAAGGAACTCCTCCCCAAGCCCACCCGAACTCCGAACGCTTGGCGAACGCTTCGAGGTGTCGGATGACATGTCCTTCCGGGGGCTGGACAGCCTGTCGCTGGGGTTGTTGGCCGGAAGGCTCCGAACAGAGTTCGGAGCCACACTGAGTATCCCGGCTGCCCAGTGGATTTTGGTTGGAACGGATTTCCCTTGAAACTCCACCAACCAACAAACATAGGTGTCCCATTTAGATTAGTTTGATTAGAAATAGATGGCACTGGTTCAGGTGGGGTTTCTTCCATTTCCCAGGGCCATCTATTTTTCCAAAAGGCCACCTACGCCCACAAAGTCTCACTCCCAATTTTCTTTTGGGAGGTGGGGTCTTGAGCAATGTGGCGCAAAGGAAACCAACCCACAAAAAGCGGATCTCCATCCGCCCTTGGCCCTTTTTGAACCCAACCAACCCACCAAAAAACGGAGGAAGACATGGCAAACAACGTCTGCCTTGTTTTTCTTTACACGGCACCAACCCCAAAAAATCGGATATCCATCCGCCCTTGGTCCTTTTGGTTGGAACCACCAAAACAACAAACACGAACACAACAAAATCTTTGGGTTGGAACCACCAACCCCCCCAAAATAAAAAGCCGGAAAAACTGCAAAAAAAAGATGCCGTATTTCGTCCATGGAAGAAATCTCCACTCTGAGGTATCACCCAGCTGCGCAATGGATCGCCCAAGGAGCTGCTGGAGTTGCTGCAGGCGGAGCTTTGAAGTTCCACCCAGTGGGTTTGTTGTGCCCGTTGTGTTTTAGGGGGGCTGATGTTTTTTTTTGGCAGAGGGGAGGGGTTGTTTTCCGTTTTTGTTTTCTTTTTGTTTTTTGTGTGTTTGTTTTTTTGTTTGGTGTTCTTTTCTTCTTTTTTTTTGGGGGGGGGGGTGTTTTTGTTTGGTTGGAGGAAAACAAACACATGTTATTATTGTTTTATTGCTTTTGTGTTGTTGTTTGGCCGTCAGAGGGAAAGCTGAAACGGCATTTTGGGGAATTAGACTGGGGGATGGGGGTTCCGGGGGTAGAATGTGCAGTTAGAGGAGCAAAATAACGCATGTTGGAACCTCCCTCGTGAGGTTCCAAAAGACATCGATTCAACTGGCTAGTTTGAACCCTTAGGGGACCAGAGGGTGGTTGTTTAAACAGCTTTTGCCCAACCCTGCCACAAAACAAAAGCAAAGCGCTATGTGTCAAAATGGGATTGCAGTCTCAAACAGTGTGTGTGCTTTGGTCTCTCTTTTGAACGACTACTAATCAAGATGTGCACCCAAAGAAACCTTGACGCGAGCCAATACTGATTCAGAGCCCGAGCATGGGAAGCACAACAAGTCCACAACAGAAACCAGGCCATGCCCCAATCTTCTCGTGTCAGATCCGGATTTTGACCTCAGGCGGGCGTTCTGGAGTCGAGCCAAAATGGGACAACTGACATCACTGGCTCGGAGTATGCAGCTTGGCGTTCTTTTTGTTGCCAGACTTTTTGACTGATATGCATATCTCAAGTACCCTAAGAATCTAGGGACTCAAAATGGTTGCAACTCAAGGTCCGAAACCTTATGGTTCTTTGTGGATGCTTACATTCAAGTCCTGAGTGACTCAGGCAATCTGGTTCTCCCCTGGCCAGTTCTTCCCCATGGGCGGCTGGGTGTTGCGTCATGACGATGATGTGTCGCTGGACAGGTTCCGGCAGGCGGCAAGCCAAGTGGTGCGGAGGCGGTCTGACGCGAGTTTTTTTGCACAGGGGGTTCATCAACAGGTCCTGACATAGGATGACCACGAGGGAAAACCGCCAAACAAAGTGACTATCCCCACTACATTCACTACATGGAAAAGTCAAGCATGGTCATTTGGGGACCAGGACTATTGATCAACGTCCGCATGTGTCTACCCTTCTGGAGGATACTCCTTTTTGTGGCCCCTTTGGGATGCCATGGTTGCTTGTAAACCGCCGTTTCAACAACCTACCTTCAGATCTTCCCTTAGTTCCGCAACAGCTGAAAGCAAAGGGGTCTCAGCCCAGATAAGGTCTATTTTGCAACCTTCATTCAGTTTGTTTGGGGGGTTCTTGGTGTTCTAGGGGTACCTTCCATTTCCATTCTTTCCAGGGATCCTTCTAGAAAACCTCCGGACACCCACGGAAAACAGCCGATTTTTGGAAAGAACGATGGCTGAAAAGAATGGGGAAGCAGCCAGTTCCCCAACGGGTCTTAGCTCCTTAAAAAAAAACAAAACTCCCTTGAACCACTCCCCTCCAACTGCAAAAGGGGCACCGCTGTCCTATGCGTCCCAACATCGGCCATCGGCCATCAAGTCTTAGAGGCACCGGTCTCTGTGCGCGGTGCCGGCGGATCCCTTGCGACTTCTCTCCTTCGTCTTGGACTCCGCGGTGATGTTCACGCTCTCCGCGCGGCTCCTGGACCGCCACGGGCTGAGGTTCTTGCGCCGGGTCCTGTCCTGGGCCTTCAAGAGCTGCTGGCCCCGCGTGAAGGTGAAGGATCCGGAGGTCTACAAGGAGCTGGTTGGGAAATGGAGTCAAGGAAGGGTTTAACCCAAGCAATTTAGGGATATGGATGTCTTTTTGTTGGGAACCCAACCAATTCAGGGAGATGGATGTCTTTTTGTTAGGGTCTTGTTTTGAGGACTGACTTGTTATGTGTGTTGTCCCAAGGAGCTTCCAGTCGAAATCATCGTGGAAGACCAGCCTTCTGCCGAGTGGCACTGCAAGGACCGCCGGAAACTGCTGGCTGAGAGCGGCAACGGAGTTGACATAGCGCTCATCCAGATCCGCACCCAGCTGGAGGGGCTCTGGGTCTATGGACTCACTGGTGGCATGGGCGACTTCGTGATCTATCGCGACGAGGAGCGCGAGAATCGCTTTGTGTTACTTGGTGGTTCAACCAGCCATCCGGTTTGGCGGTTTTTTGGGGTTAGTTTCCACTAAACCACCAGAAGTGTTCGACTTTTAGCAACAAGCTCAGGTTAGTGGACCGGGCTCGTCATGAGGTGGCGGTCTTGCACGGACCTGCAGATGACGAGTGGATCCCTCCACCCTATGGCTTTCCAGCTTTGCTCTCGGCCCGTGTCAGGCCCACGGGAGTCTTGTGGCTTCGCATCAAGTCCTCCCGGCACCTCACTGTGCTCTGGAAGCCCTGCAAGCAGTCGGCTCTCTTTTCCCTTTGCTTGAGAAGCGTTTCCCCTTCTAAAATGAATAGTGATTCACCAACAAGCACCGGGTTCCCTTCTTTTTCCCATGCAAATCTGAGGAAGTCCAGCCGAAGCGCGACTCAGTACCGTCGCTTCGATGCTTTCCGCATGCCCGGAAGCCATGTGAACAGCGTATTCAGCTATTTGGTGGTGCATGCCATGCACACGATCGCTGATGGGGGCAGCTTTGAAGCCGCAGCTTGCTCAAGCAATCAGCACCAAAATTGGGGCTCCATCCTGGTGTTTATCCAAGAAGGGACCTCAAAACACGTACTCACTTTCAGGACACCCCACTGGCTAACAAATGGTTTGGTGACCTTCTTTTGGCTATTGGGACATTTAACAGCCAGAGGGTCCTGCTTGGTGTCCGTGTGGAAGCGACAACTTGGGTGGCTGCTGGTTGGAACGGCTCGTCGTTGCGGAGCGGATCGAAATATGGTTGCCTTTAGATGCAGGGGCCACTCGGAGCTAGTGATCGGAGTTCTGGTTAGGGACGTGGTCAAAAGCAAACATAGAACCTCCACAAAAACGGGGTCCTGGAAGACTTCAAACCGGCATGAAAGCAATGGGCGGTTAGATTAAAAGCCCTTGCACAAATAGATCCTAAATCAGACAGGATGCATGTTTAAAATGTTGTGTGGCCCAACAATCAGTTCTGTTCGGACATGTTCCTTGGGTCTCATATCGTAGAAGTGGTTTGCTATTTTCATGGTTTCTGCGGATTGGCATCATGTGACTTGGTCCAGTTCTTTCGATGGGGGTTGAACCCTAGCCCAGTGGATCCCAGTTGCCACCATAGCAGCTCCGCGGTTTTCCTCTTCATATTTTCAAGGGCGGTTCCCTTGGTTATCTACTGTACCTACTATACAGTGTAAATGGATCCACTGGGAGGGTTCTATGTTTGTTTTTGGGATCCAGCTGCTCCAAGTGTCTTCGGCCATCGGATTTCAGGTAGTGGGCGACCTCTTGGCGCTCTATACCGCCGCCCAGCGAAGTCATGGCATCGCACGAAATCCGAAATACCCATGAAGAACTCCCATTTGGGTGCGTCTTTTTTTGGAAGTTGCCATCTGTTGTCTATGGCTCTAAAGGGAACCAAACGGACACCACCACATTGGGGTCTCCCACAAAAAGTCTCCCCTATTTTGAGACACATCCTTTGGTCAACCATTTCTCACGAGCATTTTCCTGAAACCCGGTGTTCCTTTGTTCTTCACATGTTCCTGCTTTCCACCGGATACTTTTTTCGTCCAAGTCGCCAAATGGTGGTTGGACCCGACCCTAAACATCGCCTTGGCCACTTTTCGTCGAGTAGTTGGAGTGCCGAAGGTCGTGTCCCTTTATTTGTCTCAGTGCTTTTCCACTGCCTAGGCCTTCCAATTTTTCTCACTCCCTGATTTACTTTAAACTTGGCCACTCCACTCAGGAAGTGATTTCTCCACATATAGGTGTGTTTGTGTGTCTTTTCAAGGTTGGACCCCCCCAAAGAAGACAAAAAACAAGAACTAACACAAGACCAAGCTTGTGTTTTTTGTTTGTTTCCCTTTTGGTTTCCCTCTGAAGGAATACCCAGGACCCTTGGATCGCTTTCCCTGGGTTTTGAGGCCTTCGAGGATCCGCGGATGGCGCCCCCGCCGGTGGCCCACAACTCGCTGGCGCTGCTGCAGCGCCGCCTCTTCGACGCCCTGGACGCGGCGGATCCCAAGGCGGCGCCGCAGCTCACGTCGCTCCGGGGGTCCCAGTGGCGGTGCCAGAAGCGCGGCCCCGCGCCCGGAAATCGAAAACCGAGGGAGGGGGTGGATTCTTGGGGTTGCGCCTGGAAGATGAGATGGAGAGAGGTGGCGTTTTGGGATAAAACCAGCACCGTTTTCCTGGTTGGGGCCTCCAAAAGTTGCAGGCGGACTGGGGTTCCGGCATTTTCCTGAAAAGTTGGTGACCTCAGGGTTTGCTCCGTTTCCCTTTTTGGAACCTCGAAAAGTGGGAATCGTTTCAATGAAAACTACCAGTAAATTGATCAACGTTTGAAGGGGGAAGCCAGGGGCCCCGTGATGGATGTAGAGGTGTTTGGTAGGTCTCAGGGAACTAGAAGAATAAGTACCAGTTGTTTCAAGCAGACATTTTCTTTTGCATGCGTTTTCGGTTTCCCTTTTGGTTCCCCTGCAAAAACAAAGAAAGACAGCAGAACCATTTGTTTTGGTTCAACCTGTTCACTGTTTTGTCATGAAGAAACGGTTCGTCCTTTGGCTCGGCAAACATTTGGGTTGGGTCACTTGGACGCAGAGGACACTACCTTTTAAGGAGGTACTTACCCCCAAAAAACCATCCTAAGGAGGTACTTGGACTTTCTGGGTTTGGATAAATTTTCAATTAATCCATACATGATATCGTTGTTGTTCATACCTTTTATTGGTTCGACCTTTGTTGTTGTGTTTCATCCTACTGGCGCGGAAATCTGGGTGAAGAACCTGGGAATTGCTTGGTCTGTAAGTCGAAACCGGTGTTGTGTCTTGTTTAAACATGTGGGCCGGCAAGCAGAGGAAGAACTTGCCTCAAAAGATGTTCATCCACTTTTTAATTGTTGGCCTTAAAGCGGATCCTTTGTTGTTTTGATTTATCCCAACTGGCATCCGAACTGGCTGGAAGTTTCAAATGATGTCCATCGAATTGGTGGATCAAACGGTTGATGAAAATAACTTCTTCCCTGCAAGCATCCTCGTTGTTCTTTTGTCTATCCTGTTTTGTCTTTCTGAGAGCCTTTGTTGTTTTGGTTCGTCCCTTTTAGTCTTGGCTCAACTTGTTTGTTGTCTTGCTTCAAGAAGCTTAAAGACGAGCAGCCAGCATACGACAAAGCACGAACAACACGTAAACGTTCAAATCACATCAAACAGCAAAATTGAAACCAGGGACCTCTAAACACTCAATGGGCACAACCAATCACTTGTGTCGCCCCTTTTTTGGTAGAAAGTCCATTGGAGTTTCGGGCAAAAACAATTGTCTACGGCTACGGTCCATTTGGGAGGGGGATAGGGGACTCTAGCTTTCAACCACAGAACCAGGGACTCTTGGACGTCCAGTAGGATAACATTTTCATATTGACCGTGGCTCATATCCCTTTTGGTCCATGTTTAGTCAAGGTCCCAAAGGGTGAGCCTTCTATTTTCATGTCCAAACTGGGCAAGTGAGTTGTTAGACGTCATGTGATGCAGAAACAAGGAATCTTGCCAGGTCTTTGGCCGTAGTGAGGGTTGGCTGGACAACAAACCGCCTTTAGCTTGGCGCTCCAAATCGTTTCCATGCGCCAAAATTGTTTGTGAAACCTGTTGGCTTCCCTTCAGACCACCAAACCCAATGTTTGACAGAAGCCTGATGAGGTTCATGCAAATTTCTGAAGACCGCAAGGATTTGCGCGGATTGGTGGGCCTTCTTGGGATTTCTAGGAAAATCCGGTAAAATGTGGGTTTGGATTTGGTTTTGGTTTCCCGCAAAACCAAGGTGACAAGGGTCACATCCGCACAACGCCACACCTACACACCCACACCCGGGCGCGCACACGCACACCCACAAAGAAACCCACACAACATACACACACACAGCAACCCCATCAACTTGAGCACCGTTCTGGACCCTCGTTTGGTCTGAAAGTCACCCACATACACCCCGTTTGCCTTTAAATGGGGGTTCGATGGTTTGCGTATGTTTACGGCTTGGCGGAATGGACACCCACCTGTGTTTGTGGTGAAATCCCATTTGACAGACACCCAAGTGTCGTTTGGCAATATGCGCAACACCCCACTTTCATGTTTCTTTTGGTGCCATATTTTGAGAACCTTCATTTTCGAATACAGCCACTGTTTTTCAAGTCTTCGTACTTTGTTGGACTTCTGTGGTTTTGCATGTTCCTTTTGTTTACCATGAAAGATAATCTCATGGCGCATTGGGGCGAGGGGTCACCAGGAAAACCCACGACTTGACACTCATGTCCACATCGAAATAAGGAGACCCACATGGCGGGTGTCCTGGTTTGCCCTTTGCGGGTTCCGGCTAGTTGGAGATTGGAAACCTTCCAACCAGCCAATTGTTGAAAGGGAAACCCACTACTTCTTGCGTATGACAGAAAAACATAGGAACTTCGGAGCCTCCCCCCTCCAATTTGAGCTGTGGGTCTCCCCCCCCGTGCCTCCCCCCCCCCTTTTTGGATCGAAATCGCAAAAGCTATGCAAAGGCCCGAGTGGTATGTCTTGCGCGGGGCAAACTACCAGGTTCAGGCCTGAGGTATTTCTGGATTTGCGCTTTGGATTGGTGGTTTGGACCTGGATGTGTCTTTTTTGTTGCAGGTACCCTTTTTCGGACCCATTTAAAAGGAAGACGAAAGTGCCACCATTTTGGGGAAACGGGCCCCTACTTTAAGACACACTCATTTGGGTTTGAGCCTAGGTCCCCCAGTAGTGCCCTTTTACCGTTTCTTTTCCTACACAAATAGACAAAACTGAGAACACTTGGGTACCAACTTAATTCTAGCCTCTCAAATCTGGAGGACCTAGGAGCCTCTAACGGATTTCTTGGGGGGTCCCCTATTTTCAGACACACCTACCAGGTCCCCTGATGGATTTTGGTTTGAGCTTCTCTCACGGGTTTCGATGTCAAGTGCCACCATTTTGGGGACATGGTCCCCTATTTTAAGACACACCCATTTGGGTTTGAGCCCCTAACGGGTTCCCCCCGTATGGTAAATTGAGGTATCCCTTGATTGGTGGTTTGGGTTGGTGGAAGCCTGAGGTATCCCTTGCGCAATTTGTTTGGATTTGGGTTTGAGCTTGGGCTTGAGCTTCTCTAACTCACTTCCTGAGTTCATGAACTTTAAACTTTTTGGGAAGACCATCTTAGTGGGAAAATAAGGTTTGAGCCTCTTTTTTTTTGTGGGCCATCTCTAGCTCAGCCAGGCTAACGGGTTTCGTTTTAAGGCTATGGCCACCTCCTGGGCTTCCGGCAGTCGGTGCTCGGCGCGCTGCGCTGCGCGGCGCTGCGGCACCTGGTGCCCTTCGACGCGGCGCTGCTGGCGCTCACGGCCATCATGGTGGCCAGAGGCGGGCCGCCGGCCGCCGGCCGCCGGCCGCCGGCCGGCCGCGCGGACTTTGGCCCCGGTGTCTTCATGGGCTCGAAACTATTTCTATCAGGGGGTTGTCCCTGGGTTTAGTGGTTATAAACATGTTGGGTCCAGTAGTGATAGATTAAAAGCCATGGTTTTGCGGCCATGTACCAGGGCCTATGTTAAAAGGTGACCGGGGGTTGCGGAAGTCAATGGATCTAAGGGTTGATTCCTTTTCCATTCTTTCCAGCCTCCGTTCTTTTCGAAAACCGGCCGGGAAACTGGGTTTCCAGAAATTTTCTAGAAAGGGAATGCCTGGCTCCCAGCCATCGCCTTAGCTTTTTAGCAACTTTTAGTGTTTAGTGGTAGTTTCCACTTAACCCACTAAAAGTTAAACTTTCACCTCGTGATTTTGCCACCCAGACGCTTCCGATGGATTTTGGGCCTTCAAGGTTTTGAGACACCAAAACCTGTCCAATGGAGGGCCTGGGTCTTCCATTGGAAGCCCCAGGAGCGTCTGGGCATGATCAAAGCCACCCGCTAAGTGGTGGTTTAAAGGGCAACCACCCCATGCTCTGACTTTGAAAACCCCCAGAAACAGCCAAAAGACCCCATAGGCACGGATGTGGAGGAGGTGGAATTCACCCTGCACCTTGGCCGTGAGAATTTGTCCGGACATCGTAAGTTGGCGAGGGACATTTGTTAGGGCGTTTGGTTCATTTTTGTGTAGGCGGGTTTCTGTTTGAGGTCCTGGAATTCAGTCTCCTGACGTGAAATCACACTTGGGTTTGTCTCAATGCGCTCACAGGGAAACAAAGAGGAGACCAGTTGCGCGACATGAAAAACATATACTTGGGCTTTGGTTTACTCAAAACAGGGCACGGGCCCCTTTTCTTGGATGCCTTTAGAGGGAAGCAAAGAGGAGACCCAGTCACCTAGAAGGCCCGCCCCATGTTTGAAACGCTACGACGTTCCTTTGATTTCTTTTGAGTTTTCCCAGAGTTCGCCCCGCTCCCTGGCTGGAGGAGTTGAGAAAGACATGTTTGTTTGCTTGGTAATTTGCTTTGGTTGGGTTGGATTCGTTTGTTGGTTGTTTTGGAGTCCTTTGGTTTGTCAACATTTTGTGTGTTTTTTTTTGGGGGGCAGTGGTTCCCTGTTGCAGAGACGGGCGGACTTCCTTTCCCCTTCGTTGTTCACCCTGCGGCCTGGTTTCTTGTTGTTTTGCCAGAGGGGGAACAAAGGTAGACTCAAAGGGGGGCGGGGTTCAACTTTGGTTCCGCGCATTGCCTCAACGTTTGGAGTTTGGCTCTTGCTTGTCCTTTGATTTGTTGTTGATTTCTGATTGGTTCTCCCGGGGAAAACATGTTCTTTGGGGGCAGCTTTACGCTTTGTGTTTGGTTGTCCCTTTTCCTTTGGGGGTCCTTGGGCCTCAACTTTGCGATTTGTCAACTTGTGTTGGTTTCCTTTTTTTTCTGGTTTTTCTTCTTCTTCTTTTTTCGTTGCTTTTGTTCCTGTGGTTTCTTGTTGGTTTTCCTGGAATGTACGCAAATTCTGCCTCTTGGAATTTGAGAGTGTGGGGTGGGGACGTGCCTGTTAGTAATTGCGTTTGTGTTCGGCTTGCAAGTCTGGCTGTTGCCCTTTGACTTCCCTTTTAGACATCCTTAGAATTTGGAGACAATGCGGAGGTGCTTGCTTTCATGTTTGGTCTCCCGTTCCTGTTTCGGGCTTTCCAGTTTCCATTTCAAACCCCAAAATGAAACTGTTTCCTCGGCTTTTCCGGGGTCCTCCTAGAACCCATGTTGGGACTTCCGCCCTTTGGCCTTTCTTGTGCTTGTCAGCTTCAGCTTTTCAGCCATAGGTGTGATGTTTTATGCGTTACTTTGGTTGGAAGTAGATGAGTTCTGCTAGTTTTGTTGTTCGGTTTGCTTAGTTTGCTTAATTTCACCACTGGCCTTGAAGTAGGTTAGTTTGTCCAGGTTTGTGTGATTGGTTTGACTCCACTTGCCAGGGCCAGCTGGTTTTCCTGAAAGGACACCCATGTTTGCACCTCTCACCTGTTGTATCCAGCTGTTCATTGTCAGTTCTGATCACAGGTCTTTAGCAGTTCCAACATTCACATTAGTGTTTCTCCTGGTTACTTCCATTTGCTTAAGAGTCGTTGTTTTCCCCTGTTGGTTTTCAAGGGACTCTATAATATCACCAATCGATGATTTTTTTGGAGCTGACTTCAGCAAAGTTAATTGAAGTGTCTCAATGTCCTCCAAAGTTTTTAGTTTCCTTTGGCATCCATTCCAAGCATGCTTTGGCTTTCCCTTCGTTTTCCTAAGGAATCCCCGTTGAAGCCGAACTGGAGGCACCTGTCAAGTTAGTTGTTTTTCTCACCCTCATGAGACCAGGGTAGAGGTTTGTCTTCTTATAGCCAACAAACTTAGTCTCCAAAACCCCTGGTTGCTAGGGCAACATGGATTAGTCGCCTTGTAACTTCCAGCACCACCAACTTGCCTGTTTTTAACCATGCAACCAAGATCCAACTGGTACGGCACCACAAAACAGTGGTCGGGACCCGGGTGCTGGTTGTAACCTTTGTAACTTTCATCAAGAAGGTCTATGGGAAATGGTTCTTTGCTTGACACTGCCATTTCTAACTGGTTGTTTCAGGTTCCAGGAATCATCTCCCACCATACAACATCCTGTTTGCTGTCCATACAGCAGCTCCTTGGGATTGTAACCATCGCTTCTAATCTATCACTACTGGACATAACATGGTTGTAACCACTAAACCCAGGGACACCCCCTACTAATAAACTGCGGTTGTTTTTTTGGGGGGTCAACATCAATTTTCACTATCAGTCACTACTTCATGGCGGCGAAGAAGCAATTGGAAGGATTAGTTTTATGGCCATTCATCAGGGCCATCTATGTTAAAAGGCGACCCGTGGTGCGAAAGTGAATGGATCTAGGGGTTGATTTCCCCGTAGTGCCCTTTTACCGTTTCTTTTTTGGGGCAGGGTTCCCCTGCTAAGATAGACTACCTCTCTACTGGAGGACCTAGGGGAAGTGTCCCCTGGAAGTAGCCTCCACAAACCGACCGATTCCGCGGATCCCAGGTACGTACCGCTGAGGGACGGGCCCGGGGAGGCCAATCTCTGCGGGCTCTTTGCGGATTGGCGGGAAATCCAGGCGCATCGGCACGCGTGTCAAAGCGTTCCTCCGTTTTTGGTGGTGTTTCAAGGGAGACAAGAGGGACAACCACTTTTTTGGGGAGTTTGCGTGATGTTGTTTTAAAAGTGTGAGCCTTTTTAGGGTAGCTTTCGCTTTTTGGTAGTTTTGGAAGGGAGACTAAAGGGAATACATTTTTTAGGGGGGTGTACTTTTTGAAAGACACACCAATTTTTGAACATTATCCAAGGGGTTGCTTTCCCTTGCTTGATTTGTCCCTTGGGGTTGCTTGGGTGACAAAAACGTTATGGTAACCCTAATCTGTGGTTGGATTGGTGGTTTGGGGGTTGAACCCAACGGAGAAAATTGTACTCAGGCTTCAATCACCAACCCCCCCCCCCCCCGATGGTGCTATGGTTTGGTTGTTAGGAGTACCTCCCCTGTTTGGTTTCAAAAGGATGCGCGGTTCAAAGATGGCGAGAGAACATACTGAGAGATGGCCACCAACGTGCTCGCCAGAAATGCGAGTGGTGGGTTTCGGAGGATTGCCGCAAGTTTCCTTGGATGTTTACATGCAGCAAGTCCGCTTTCTTCATGCTGGTGCCAGAGTCATTTGAGGAACTGACAACATGATTACTATTCTACTGTTCGCTTGGGGAGGACTGGACGGGCAGGACGGGCGCCAAATTCCAAACGCAAAATTTATGGGACCGGCCCCAATCTTCCCATTGGGGAACCAGCAATCCGGGGCTCGCATCATCTTCTGGGCCATGCGTTCATGTTCCTGTTGGCCTGTTGATGTTTCTTTCTTCCAACTGGCGCATGGATTTTGTCCATCCACCGGTATGAAGGTCTCTCACTCCCAAGTTCTGATGGCACAATGAGTTTCCTTCTGCGATGTCGAGCAGGACAGAGCTCTCGATATGTTCCTTTTTGCTCGTGGTAAACATATTTTCTTGGCCGTGAGTTTCTCTTGGTAGGGGTGATGTTTATACTTAGGTTGGAAATGTGAGTATATTTCTCAAAAAGTAGGGCACTTTTACGAATGGTTAGGTCCAGATTGACCCTCCGTGGCATGTGTTCTGGTTGGACAACTAGGAAGGTACTAGACGCCAATCACCTTCAACAAATCCTCCGACCATGAACTCGCATCCGAAACTGGAGGTTGGATTGGGGAGTTTAGACGAATCAATTCCCAGCCAACTTGCTGGTGCTCAGTAGGGAATGACCTTCCGGGTATTGGGAAGAAGTCGGGGATTCCCTCAAAGGAAACCACCAGTTGGATGTATTTTGTTGGTCATTCCATTTCTCATTCCCTGCCTATCGGTTACCAGCACAAAGCAGACAGATCGGTCCCCTGAGATCCGCATCGATCGGGAGAGCTCGACGGTGCTGGGGGTGGTGCACCAAGTGGCGGACAAGATCAGGCTCAGGCAAAGCGGAGTTGGTGGGTTGGTGGGTTCGTTGGTTGGGTCGGTGGGTCGGTGGATTGGTGGGTTGGTGGGTCGGTGGGTCGGTGGATTGGTAGGTTGGTAAGTTGGTGGGTTGATGGGTTGGTGGGGTTGGGACGGTCCAGGCTTGGCCATTTGTCCCGGGTGGGTAAACCCCTTTGCAGATGAAATTATGTTTGTCCAAGTAAAAATGGAACCAGAACCTTCCCCCTCCAGACATCCGTTTTGTTTAGAGCCACCATTTACAAAGGCAACACACGTGGAAAGCTATACCGTTTGGTAACTAAGAAGTTGGGTTTGGGTATCCACTTTCTGCGATACCCACAAAAAAACGAAACAAAAGGTAGTCGTGGGAATGAATGACCGATATATGATATATATACATATATATATATATATATATATGTAGATATCCCAGGTATTTGTTTCGCCATGTAACAACCTGTTTAAGCTCGACCCATGGCTTCACAGCTACTGTTTACAATTCCCTCCCCAGGCGACACTTATTCGGCGGTTTGGGGGGTTGAGGCCCCTGGTTCTTATAGAGGGAAATTGGAAGCCACCAAGGGACCCTGTGGGTCTGGGTCTGAACCAAGACATGTCCATTTGTTCACGGCAAGTCGCAAGAGCCTCGGCAAGCTTCTGCCTTTGTTAGAGCGAGGCAGTGGGCGGTGTACAACCCGCTGAAGAAGCCGGAGACCTTCGTGGTGAACTTCCAGCTCATGACGGAGCATTCCCGCAACGGCTTCGTGCAGATTGGCGAGGAGCTCTGGCGCATTGGGGAGTGCATGCGCGAGGACCGAGAAACAAACCGGCCCGCGGCTTTGCGCCAGGGTGGGGGGAGGTGGGGGGAAGGAAAAAAGCTGAGCCTGGAATATGACATGCAATCATAGGTGTCCTTTTCAGGTTAGTTTGGGAAAAAGATGGCACTGGTTTTGATGGGTTTTATTTCATTTACCAGGGCCTTTCATTTTTCCAACAGCCAATTATGCAACCACCTTCTTCTTCTAGAGGGGTTGTGCTGGCATGGGGGTTCAGGAGTGCTTGGATGGTGCGAGAGTCAGCTAAGTGGTAGCTTTGCCAGCGGATGCTATTCGGCTGCCATTTGGCTGCCATTTGGCTAACTCACAAACAATCTAAGCGATTGCCCAGACGATTGGATGGCCCCGGATTCAGTTGGGCCTGCTTGGTTTTCCGGACCCGCTCCGATGTGTTCACCAAACCCCGTCCCAAATGGGTTGCCTTGTAGGTGGAGGAGCCATTGACTAAATTTCACGGGGACCCTTCAAAAGGAAGGTGGACGCCGTCACGTGAGGTCTAAAGGGTCCATTCAAATTGACACCCAAATCAAAGCAACATGTGTTTGAACACTGTTTGGTTGTGTCTTTTCGGGGGGGAGCCGCTTCTGGTTGGCGTTGAAAAGAAACTAAAAGGAAAGCCGCCATTTTGAGGGTCAATTTCACGCCCATTTGTCATCACATGTCTAGAGGTGGACATATGAACGAGAAAGGTAGCACCACACTGCAGCCGCGGAAGGTTTGCGGAAGTTTGTCTTTCCCCATGCAGTGTTTGATTTGCTCTGTCCAGAGTTTCATTGTGATGTCGCGTTTGCTTTGACCAGCGCAAAATAGGGCACAAAGAGCGCGAGGTTCCATGCAGAAAGTATTATGAACTCCCCTTTAGAACTACTAGTAAACGAGGGAAGGAAATTGCTGTTGCTACCTGAGATCTATGCTCAGCAATCCTGGCTCAGGCCAAATCACCATGCCGTTGCGGGATTGAGGAGGTTGCTCATCAGGCATGTTGAAGGTCTTCAGGCTCACTGTCCGCCTACGTGTTTGTGTGTGTGTGTGTGTGTTGCTTGCTTTCATTCCCATGCTCAACTTGTAGCATTGGATGGGTTTAAAACCCCAAAAGTATAACTTTGTCTCAAACTAGGGCACCGCACAAGTGACTGCTGTGCTTTTGTAGGCTTTCCCAAAACCCAACCCAAAAAACCCAGGGTAGCTTCAACCAAAGACGCAACCTTTGGGGTGGTTTCCCTAAGCGCAGGAGCAACGAGACGATAAGCTGCCCTGGGCTCCGCAGCCGCTCTCCTTCGCCGGCACCTCAAGGGCTCCGGGCGGGTGGAAGGTGGAAGGTGGCCGTGGTTGTCAAAACCAACGGGCTAGGGTTCTTTGCTTTGGTTTACAGGGCTCCCTATATTTCCCCTTGCAACATCACCCCCAGCAAGGGACACTCGCCTTTCATGGGCCAAAAAGCGATGTTCAAAACCACCAACAAGGGACCTCTGGCTGTGGGTCCAAACCGTTTTGGTCCCATTTTGGTTGGTAGGTGAATTCACCACCCATTTTAGGACCTATTTTAGTGGTTGGATTGGGATGTTCACTGGGGGTACGATTTGGATTTTGACCCATGGCCAGATGTGCCCAGTTGGGCGAAAAACCGACGTGCAGAGGGTGAAAAACCATGGCACCTTATGTGACTCGAGCGATCGTTTTTGGTTTTCCCCAAAGCTTGAACCTAGACCTGAGTTGGCTGTGGGTCAAAATATGCGTACCCAAAATGAAACCCTAAGTGGAAACATGGACTAAAACCTGCGGTCCAATTCCTGGTGGTTTGATTTTGACCCATACCCAGTTGGGTGCGAAGAACTCGTTGGTACCTTGGGTGACTCAGGTGATCGGCCCCCTGATTTTCCCAAGGTTTTTCACCTAGCAGACCTGGCAAGCGTGGTGAGACAGCTGGGCGTGTAACATCATGTAACTGGGGAGATCGTCCCCTTACCAGAACATCCAGGAGTATAACCTACATCAGGTAGATTGTTGTGAGCATGGTAACTTGGGTCACTGAGGTGATCATCCCCCAGACCAGGGTTGTAAGCTACCAAGGACCCAAGTGCCCTCAATGAAAGAAACGTGCCTGCCCAGACACTCCATGTAGGGAATATTTGCCCACATTTATCCTCCAAATGGGTATGTTGGTATAGAACCTACAATGTGGGCGATCGGGACTGGTGGCTCTTTTGTTTGCGTATTCAAGCCTTAGGCAAAGATAATGTTTTTTTAGCAAATTGGAGCCCTGTTCCTGCAACGCTGTCGCCCTGTTGAGCCATGCGTCTTGGTTTGGTGAGAGCCTCATGTGCTGAGGTCATCGAGCAGGGCGACAAAGAGACGTGGTGGCTGCTCATCAACTGCGCCTACGATGACTATCCTCCTCCGGTGCTGAGGCGAATGCTCAAGGCGTTCCAGGATGCCGCTGAGGCCTTTGTGCTGAAGCCCACCGCCAAGGCTCATCTGCCTTATCCCAATACCTTCTACTGATGGACATGGTTCCGAATTGATGCGGTTGGCCCAGATCGTTTTCCCCCGCATCCGGTGCTCCCCTGGCGAAACGTTCAACCTCCCGGCACGCTGAGTGATCCCGGGGGGTGTTGGGTTGCGCGATGGCTTCCTGGTCCAGGCAGCCCAAAGAGGCGCGTCGCTCGGGGAAAAAGAAAACCAACGACTCGAGCCCGACGCCATTTGCGTGCCAGTGTGACTCCTTGATCCGGGGGGTTGGAATGGATGCTGAATCGGCAACCGGAATCCCTTTGGTACAGTACGCAAAAAGCCGTGCCTAGACTCTCCATGACCCTTAAAAAAATGGAGTCATGGCCTAAAATTAAGGGGTCATGACCCCTTTTTAGGGTCATGGAGACTCTAGGTGGTTGGCTCGGACCCAGGACCCAGGTGATGGAGTTTGGACCGCTTGCCATGACCTCAGCTCTTGTGGCTTAAGTCAGCTTTCCCGTTGCCTGGCTGCGGCGCTGGCACCAGAGAAATCTGGTTGGCCTCGTCGCTTATTTTCCGTGGACGACTCTTTCTTTATGGGAAGGACTGGGCGATTGCAACTCATTTTCTGGACCCCCAATCGACCCCTTTGTTCTGCCTTTGACCCATAAGCAAGTGGTACAAAGGCAGAAAAATGGGGTCCTTTGGGGTCCAGGTTGGTCAAAGCGAATTGGAGAAACCCATAGATAAACAGACTTTCTACTTTGATTAGCCATTGTGTTGATGTAAAGCATGACCTTGAGTCATCACAGCAGGCAGTGCAAAGACAGCACCTCTATCGTCAAGGCTCTCTTGCCCCCTGGATCATTCTCTGGACGCAGACAATAAGGGTTGCCACAGGAATGGCATGTTGTTGCCGCGTGTTTTGATAAAGGCACACCCAGAGGATCCCAGCTTGCACTATAGTAGGTGACCAGTAGTTGTCCTTTTGGTTCTTAAAGGGTTACCTTGGGTACCTGCTCTAGAGGTAAATGGATCCAAAACGCGAGTGATGAAAAGACGAGCTTTCTTTGCGAGGACTCTGACAGGACAGAGACATCTTCATCGTTGAGGAATCCTCGGTGATGAGATTCTTTGCCGCCTGACTCGAGTCAGTGGCCAGTGGCAGTCGGCTGTCGTGCCTGCGGTGGTCAGATCCTGGCAAATTGGTTGCCGAAACTGGTCACACGCGACCCTTGCTATGCTAAAGTGGAATTCCCATCTTCATGGTTTGCTTGGGTCATTCGGGTGATTCTTTGGGTTGAGGAGTTGGTGGCCGTTCAGTGCGGCAGCTTCTCACTCGAAAAGCGCGTTCGATCGAGGCGCTTTTCTGCGGCCTATGCCAAGGTTTGGAAATCCGTCAGGCTCGGAGAGTCGAGAAAGAGGAAAGACCCAGAAAAACCCAAGTCCAATTCCCACAGGTTGGTTGGTGTTTTTGAGGCTGCAAGGATACCCCTTTTTCGTGGATTAAAGGGAATCCAAAAGGAAACACCATGTTGAAGGATTCCTCAAAATGACACCCGGCAAGGGGAGCCCATGCGAGAGTTACGGCCCGATTCCTCAAAATGACACCCGGCAAGGGGAGCCCATGCGAGAGTTACGGCCCGCATGGCCCCAATTGGTCACCAGTTAGTTAGGCTGCAATGCCTCCTCACAGTACAGCTCTGAATCAGCAGCATGAAGAAGGGAGCGGACTGATCGCCCCCTTGGCCCCTTGACACCTTAACATGTTGCCCCTATATTAAGAAACCCCCATATTTATTAGTGAAGCCCTGGTCGATTTGGATGGGAGGGTGTTCCTTGGGGGTTCAGACCATACGGCGAAATGCGCCAGGGCTCCAAAGAAGGGCTGCTGGATGAAGCCCCCATCGCCGAAGACTTCTTCGCTGCGCAGGCGACTGGGGACAAACGGCTTGGGGAGCCGTGTTGTTCGGGCACATGGGTGTTCTTTTGATCGGTTAGTTTGGTTAGAAATAGATGGCAATGGTTCAGAGTGCATTCCATTTGCCAGGGCGATCGATTTTTCCGAAAGGACACACATGGCAGCTCGTTTTTTGGTTTGTGGGGCGGGAAGGGGAAAACTCGTCAAAATCAAGCCAGCCAAAACCCCAAAACAGGTGGGCGTTTTTGGATCCCTTAAACTGGTTGCGCTTTGTGTATAAGGAGACCAGGACACTTTGAGGGGTTCTCAAAGTTACTGGGGCGGGACCCTTCGAACCACCATGTTGCTCGGAGTTTGAGGATTTCAACGGGCCCAGTTCTGCTTTCCCCATGGTTTAAAAGCACAAAGCGGTGCCCAGCGGCCAAGAATTCGCGCGAGCACCGAAAGCACCGAACGCGGAGCGCGGGTTTTCTGCGTTCGGTTGGAGGTGAACGGCAGCAATGTGAGCGTGAACGGGAGCCGCATTAGCCGGCCTTCCGATCTCAAGGCAGGGGTGGCTACTCAATGGCTCGCTTCTGGCGATGTGGGTCGTTCTAACATCAATCCTCAAGAACTTGTGAGGGTAGTTTCCCGTATGTTGGTATCAAACCACGGCTTGCGAATTAGAGATCTCCCACTTGAAGCAGTTCATGTGTTTCTCGTCCCTTGGCTTGTGGGACTCGAAAGTGATCCGTTTTCGAGTTCTCGGTGCGGCTTGGGAGGACGTAAGGCATTCCTCGAATGGTGAGTTCGTACAGTTGTCGTTGGGAGCTGCCATGCCGAGCGTGCCCAAAGATGGGTAGGTTCGAAACCAAAAAGTCCAACGTTCAGCACCAGTACTTGGGATGTTGGACATCGGAAACAGCCGTTGTTAGGGGGTGTTGATAATTTAAAGATCCACAGAGTTAAATTCAATCGACATTGCGCTCTACCATCATTGCATGGTTTTGGGGGACATTCCTGGTACACGGTTGACATCATCCCTTTAAACGTGAACTAACCTCAGTCCCTGCATGAAGTAGCCATGGCATGGTCAAGAAGCATGCATCCGATCTTGGAAATCGAAGTCAGGTCACTTCAGATGGCCCTTTCCAGCATACGATGGATGGGCCTAAAGCACGAACCGACTCGCAGGCTAACAGGTGGTGAGTTCAATCTGTCGACATCACTTTCCAAAAGCTTCACCCGCATGCCTGCCACTCAGACTGGTGCATGCTTTCCATGAACAGATATGTCTGTGCGTCGTGTTGGCGCACTATTTCATATCACATACAAATTCACATAGCACACCATTGGTAAACTTTAGCGTCCTATAGCACAACAGTGAGGTCAACACTGAGGTTGAGAGGCGCCTGCTGCCCTGCAAATTTTAACGCCTCCGGCTCAGGCCGCCGACATTACAGGCCTGCTTTCTTATTTGCGTCCCTTTGGAATTATCCCCTTGCCCCCTTCCCCTCTGAGATTTTTGCCCCCCTTTCTTTGTTGAGATCCATTCCCCCTTTCCGCCCTAAGGCCTTTTCTCCCTCTGTTGTTTTCCCTTTTCCTCCCTAAGATGTTTTCACCCCTCTCCCTGTTGAGATCCTTTCCCCCCTTTCCCCCCTAAGGCCTTTTCCCCCCTGAGATCTTCTCCCTTTTCCTCCCTTTCCCCCACTTTCCCCCCTACGGCCTTTTCCTCCCTGGAATCTTTTTCCTTTCCTCCCTGAGATCTTTCCCCCCCTTTCCCTGTTGAGATCCTTTCCCCCCTTTCCCCCCTACGGCCTTTCCCCCCGCTGAGATCTTCTCCCTATTCCTCGTTAAGATCCTTTGCCCCCTTTCCCTGTTGAGATCCTTTCCCCCCTTCCCTTTAAGGCCTTTCCAGATCTTCTCCCTTTTCCTTCCTAAGATTGTTTCCCCCCTGTCCCTGTTGAGATCCTTCCCACCCTTTCCCCCCTCAGGCCTTTCCCCCCCCTGAGAGCTTCTCCCTTTTCCTTCCTTAGATCTCCCCCCTTTCCCTGTTGGCCTTTTTTCCCCCAGATCTTCTCCCTTTCCTCCCTAAGATCTTTTCCACCCCTTTCCCTGTTGAGATCATTTCTCCCCTTCCCCCCCTACGGCCTTTGCCCCCAGATCTTCTCCTCCCTAAGATCTTTCCCCCCCTTTCCCTGCTCAGATCCTTTCCCCCCTTTCCCCCCTCAGGCCTTTCCCCCCCTGAGATCTTCTCCCTTTTCCTCCCTAAGATCTTTTGCCACCTTTCCCTGTTGAGATCCATTCCCCCTTTCCCCCCTAAGGCCCTTTCTCCCTCTGAGTTTTTCCCTTTTCCTCCCTACGATGTTTTCCCCCCTCTCCCTGTTGAGATCCTTTCCCTCCTTTCCCCCCTAAGGCCTTTTTTCCCCCCGCGATCTTCCCCCTTTTCCTTCCTAAGATCTTTTCCCCCCTTTCCTTGTTGAGATCCTTTCCCGCCCTTTCCCCCCTAAGGCGTTTTCCCCCCCCAAGATCTTCTCCCTTTTCGTTTCTAAGATCCTTTGCCCCCTTTCCCTGTTGAGGTCCTTTCCCCTCTTTCCCCCCTAAGGCCTTTCCACCCCTGAGATCTTCTCCCTTGTCCTCCCCAAAATCTTTTCCCTTGGTTGAGATCCTTTCCCCCTTTCCCCCCAAGATCTTCTCCCTACTCCTCCTCATCCTTTGCCTCCTTTCCCCGTTGAGATCCTTTCCCTTCTTCCCTTTAAGGCCTTTCCAGATCTTTTCCCTTTTCCTTCCTAAGATTGTTTCCCCCCTGTCCCTGTTGAGATCCTTCCCACCCTTTCCCGCCTAAGGCCTTTCCCCCCTGAGAGCTTCTCCCTTTTCCTTCCTTAGATCTTTCCCCCCTTTCCCTGTTGGCCTTTTTTCCCCCAGATCTTCTCCCTTTCCTCCCTAAGATCTTTTCCACCCCTTCCCTGTTGAGATCATTTCTCCCCTTTCACCTCTAAGGCCTTTGTCCCCAGATCTTCTCCCTTTCCTCCCTAAGATCTTTCCCCCCCCTTTCCCTGCTGAGATCCCTTTCCCCCTTCCCCCCCTAAGGCCTTTCCCCCCCCTGAGAGCTTCTCCCTTTTCCTTCCTAAGATCTTTTCCCCCCTTTCCCTGTTGGGCTTTCCCCCCTAAGTCCTTTTCTCCCAGATCTTCTCCCTTTCCTCCCTAAGATCTTCCCCCCCCCCCCCTTTCCTTCCTAAGATTGTTTCCCCCCTTTCCCTGTTGAGATCCTTCCCACCCTTTCCCCCTGAGGCCTTTCCCCCCTGAGAGCTTCTCCTTCCTTAGATCTTTCCCCCCTGTCCCTGTTGGCCTTTTTTCCCCCAGATCTTCTCCCTTTCCTCCCTAAGATCTTTTCCACCCCTTTCCCTGTTGAGATCATTTCTCCCCTTTCCCCCCTAAGGCCTTTGCCCCCAGATCTTCCCCCTTTCCTCCCTAAGATCTTTCCCCCCCTTTCTCTGCTCAGATCCTTTCCCCCCTTTCCCCCCTAAGGCCTTTCCCCCCCTGAGATCTTCTCCCTTTTCCTCCCTAAGATCTTTTGCAATTTTTCCCTGTTGAGGTCCATTCCCCCTTTCCCCCCCAAGGCCCTTTCTCCCTTGAGTTTTTCCCCCTCCCTAAGTTTTCCCCCCTCTCCCTGTTGAGATCCGTTTCCCCCTAAGGCCTTTTTTCCCCCCGCGATCTTCCCCCTTTTCCTTCCTAAGATCTTTTCCCCCCTTTCCTTGTTGAGATCCTTTCCCGCCCTTTCCCCCCTAAGGCGTTTTCCCCCCCAAGATCTTCTCCCCTCCCTAAGATCCTTTGCCCCCTTTCCCTGTTGAGATCCTTTCCCGGCCTTTCCCCCCCTGAGATCTTCTCCCTTGTCCTCCCCAAGATCTTTTCCCTTGGTTGAGATCCTTTCCCCCTTTCCCCCCAAGATCTTCTCCCTTTTCCTCTTTAGGATCCTCTCCCACCTTTCCCTGTTGAGCTCCTTTCCCGCTTTTCCCCCTAAGGCCTTTTCAGATCTTCTCCCTTTTCCTCCCGAAGATCCTTTCCCCCCTTTCCCTGTTGAGGCCTGGGATCTTCTCCCTTTCCTCACTGAGATCTTCCCCCCCTTTCCCTGTTGAGATCCTTTCCCTCCTTTCCTTCCTAAGGCCTTTCCCCCCGCTGAGATCTTCTCCCTACTCCTCCTTAAGATCCTTTGCCTCCTTTCCCCGTTGAGATCCTTTCCCTTCTTCCCTTTAAGGCCTTTCCAGATCTGTTCCCTTTTCCTTCCTAAGATCGTTTCCCCCCTTTCCCTGTTGAGATCCTTCCCACCCTTTCCCGCCTAAGGCCTTTCCCCCCTGAGAGCTTCTCCCTTTTCCTTCCTTAGATCTTTGCCCCCTTTCCCTGTTGGCCTTTTTTCCCCCAGATCTTCTCCCTTTCCTCCCTAAGATCTTTTCCACCCCTTCCCTGTTGAGATCATTTCTCCCCTTTCCCCTCTAAGGCCCTTGTCCCCAGATCTTCTCCCTTCTTTCCCCCCCCCCCTTTCCCTGCTGAGATCCCTTTCCCCCTTTCCCCCCTAAGGCCTTTCTTTCTTCGAGAGTTTTTCTTTTTTTTTCCGAAGATCTTGTCCCCCCTTTCCCTGTTAGGCTTTCCCCCCTAAGTCCTTTTCTCCCAGATCTTCTCCCTTTCCTTCCTAAGATCTTCCCCCCCCTTTCCTTCCTAAGATTGTGTCCCCCCTTTCCCTGTTGAGATCCTTCCCACCTTCCTTAGATTTTTCCCCTCTCTTTTTTCTGCCAGATCTTCTCCCTTTCCTCCCTAAGATCTTTTCCACCCCCTTCCCTGTTGAGATCATGCCCCTTTCCCCCCTAAGGCCTTTGTTCCTCCCTAAGATCTTTCCCCCCCTTTCCCTGCTCAGATCCTTTCCCCCCTTTCCCCCCTAAGGCCTTTCCCCCCCTGACATCTTCTCCCTTTTCCTCCCTCCCCCCTCACCCTGTTGAGATCCTTTCCCTCCTTTCCCCCCTAAGGCCTTTTTTCCCCCTGCGATCTTCCCCCTTTTCCTTCCTAAGATCTTTTCCCCCCTTTCCTTGTTGAGATCCTTTCCCGCACTTTCCCCCCTAAGGCGTTTTCCCCCCCAAGATCTTCTCCCTTTTCCTCCCTAAGCTCCTTTGCCCCCTGTCCCTGTTGAGATCCTTTCCCCCCTTTCCCCCCTAAGGCCTTCCCCCTTGCTGAGATCTTCTCCCTTGTCCTCCCCAAGATCTTTCCCCCGAGATCTTCTCCCTTTTCCTCCCTAGGATCTTCTCCCACCTTTCCCTGTTGAGCTCCTTTCCCCCTTTTCCCCCTAAGGCCTTTTCCCTGCCTGGGACCTTCTCCCTTTCCTCACTGAGATCTTTCCCCCCCTTTCCCTGTTGAGATCCTTTCCCCTCTTTCCCCCCTACGGCCTTTCCCCCCGCTGAGATCTTCTTCCTATTCCTCCTTAAGATCCTCTCCCACCTTTCCCTGTTCAGCTCCTTTCCCCCTTTTCCCCCTAAGGCCTTTTCAGATCTTCTCCCTTTTCCTCCCTAAGATCCTTTGCCCCCTTTCCCTGTTGAGATCCTTTCCCCCTTTCCCCCCTAAGGCCTTTTCCCTGCCTGGGACCTTCTCCCTTTCCTCACTGAGATCTTTCCCCCCCTTTCCCTGTTGAGATCCTTTCCCCTCTTTCCCCCCTACGGCCTTTCCCCCCGCTGAGATCTTCTTCCTATTCCTCCTTAAGATCCTTTGCCCCCTTTCCCTGTTGAGATCCTTTCCCCCCTTCCCTTTAAGGCCTTTCCAGATCTTCTCCCTTTCCTTCCTAAGATTGTTTCCCCCCTTTCCCTGTTGAGATCCTTCCCACCCTTTCCCCCCTCCGGCCTTTCCCCCCCTGAGAGCTTCTCCCTTTTCCTTCCTTAGATCTTTTCCCCCCTTTCCCTGTTGGCCTTTTCTCCCCAGATCTTCTCCCTTTCCTCCCTAAGATCTTTTCCACCCCTTTCCCTGTTGAGATCATTTCTCCCCTTTCCCCCCTAAGGCCTTTTTGCCCCAGATCTTCTGCCTTTCCTCCCTAAGATCTTTCCCCCCCCCCCCAGTTCCTTGTTGAGATCATTTATTTCCCCCCTTTTCCTTCTAAGGCCTTTTCCCACCCTCAGTTCTTCTCCCTTTTCCTCCCAAAGATCTTTCCCCCCCTTTCCTCCCTAAGTCCTTTTCCCTGAGTTCGTCTCCCTTTGCCTCCCTAAGATCTTTTCCCCCCTTTCCCGCTTAAGATCCTTTCCCCCGTTTCCCCCCTAAGGCCTTTTCCCCCCAAGATCTCCACCCTTCTCTTCCCAAAGTCTTTTTCCCCCTTTCCCGATTGAGATCCTGTCCCCCGATTGCCCCTTAGGGCCTGTTCCCCCCGAGAAAGATTTCCCTTTTCCTCCCAAAGATCTTTTCCCCCCTTTCCCCCTTAAGGCATTTTTTCCCCAGATCTTCTCCCTTTCCTGCCTGAGATCTTTCCCCCGCTTTCGCTGTTGAGATCCTTTCCCCCTTTCCCCCCTTCATTTCCTTCACCAGCATGGGCAACATCCCCAGCATCACTTGCATCATCCGCATCCTTGGCAGGCGCTGATGCGGATGATGCAGGTGATTCTGGCGATGTGCCGCTGGAGCTGCTGAGGATGCGAAAGCGCACCCGGGAGGAATCGAACACCCCAATGTTTCAAGCCCGCACAATGTGAAGCGTCTTCGAATCACCGCGTGGTACGTGGACCCCCCCCCCCCCCCCGCAATAGTCTGAAACGGTGGTCCTGGGGAGGGGTAACAGGTAAAGAGGTAAGGAGCATTTTTTGCGTCCAACACGCCGTCTGTTGTCGGCGGATTTTCCTCTGGTCCACGGCAGAACTGCTGCAAACAAGATTTGCAGACAGTGACATGGCGAACACTCTACTGCAGAAGAGACAAAGGAGCTGGCACTAGATGTAAAGATCGGCAATGAAATGGAACTCCAAGTCTTCAGTTGGCTCAGACACAAACCCTAAGTTCTAGCCATGGCACTCTCCTTCCAAGTGGCGCGGATGAGTGGAGAGACGGTGACGGTGAAGGCCGACCCCAGCACTGCTCTACTGGATGTACGGAAGAGGGCGGAGGAGCTGCTCAAGGTTCCATTAAAGCTGGTCAATGGCAAGGATGGCAGTCTGCTTGAGGATAGCAAGACCGTCTGCGAAGCAGACTTGTCTGGTGGAGAGACGCTGCAGGCAGTCGCGGCTGATTTGGATGACATCGTGGACAGGATCAAGGCAGGGCTTGTCACGTCTGCTGAGTGCTGGTGTGGTGTACAGCGATCCGGTGACTGGGCCATCGTGAAGACGGAGGATGAGGGCAGGAGCACTGATGACGACTACTTCAATCAGAAGCTCTACCACCTCCCTTCCTGGGCACCAGGCTCGAAACCCGTGATGTTTACGTACTGGAGCGAGCAAGGGTGGATGCGCCCTTCCGGTCGAGGCTTTCGATTCGGAAAGCCTGGGGTGCTTGAGACCATCGACAAGTCATCTAATGAGCTTGTGGAGACCACGGAGCTCGCCAAACTCTGCTGAGCTGGGAACAAGAGATCTGGGGCTCCATAAGGGCGCCCGTTTTTTTTCCTTTTTCGGGGTGTCAATTACTCTGGACATCGATTTGCGGGAAGATTCGAATTGTTGCGACAGGCATGTGCGGAAAAATCACGGTCTCCGCGGCCTGTGACCGTTTTGGCCATTGGCGGCTCTTCGAAACTGGTAGTGCGGAAGACTGCCGAGCTTTGGTGTAATAGGACTTACCAGAGATAGCGGTCCTCCTGGAACAGACCACCGGGCACGAAAGCACAAAGAGATGCAAAGGACTCACAATTATTGCCGCAGCATACCACAGCTCACAACAGTGTTCGAAGGTGATATGAGGCGCTGCGCAAGCATGCTAAACGCACGCTTGAATCCCAAGAATGCTTATGTCTTACCAGTTAACGCCCTCATCTACGCGACACTCGCCACCGTCGGTCAAGTTTGCGTGGGTATCTGCGCGAATCTTCCTACGTCCCCTCCATGAAGTGTGATCATGGGTTCTCGCGAAGACTATAGACACTTTCCTGGATTTGGGCTATTCAACACACACGGAGACGTATAAATACTTTTGCCAACAGGTTGCCCTTAGTACTAATTAATCAACGTGGCCCCCTAGAGCAAGCCACAACTGCACTGTGTTGATTGTTTGAACGAACCAAACGTTTCTTGCACCCTCAAGCGGTGAACATCACACTTACCAAGCTGAGGCCCCCAAGAAAAAGGATCCACTAGTTAGGCTGTCCAGATTAACTTGGGGCCGTTTCCTTTGAATCATTGAAGCCTGTTGCATGGAGAAGCTCCCCCCAAAATACGATGGGAATCGGCTCATGTTTGGGTCCACCCACACATATCCAGAATCAGAAGGCTCCGAGAGCTTCCGAGGTCTCCCATGTCGGTGTTTGCCCAAATTTGCAGCTTGGTGTTTGCTCTCCAAAAGAAAAGAGGGACAATTCAGTCTTTTGCGGTTCCAAGTTCAACTGGGCAAGGTTTTCTCTCCCCTGTCCGCCAGTTCTTTTCTGTTTTCCAGGAGAACCCTGACCTCAAGTCTTTGCCACTTGTTGGTCCCAAACGGCGGTCAACGATTTTGACTTCAACTCAAAGCCTGACACGAAGCCTTTGGAGGAGCTCGCGCTGAAGACCCGCTTCACTGGCACAGAGGGCAAGAAGTGCAGGGGCCAGCGGGCATCTCAGGGGTTCAGACCGAAAACCGTAGGAGACTCTCCAGATGAATGGACCCAGAACCCCAAGACAAAACTCTCCAAAGGAAAATGGAGCTCCCATGAAGTGGGTCCCTTCTGTAAGTTTGGAAGTACTTGAACTTCAACCTGACTTTTTTGGTTGAACATGTTGTTTTGTTTCCACAAAAGCCTGCAAGAGGTGGACTGTTTGGGCAGGGAGTAGCCATCAAGATTGGATTAGGAGGTGTTCGACAGTGAGATCCGAGCGGGGCATTCTTCACGTCGTACTGCCTAGTTCTGTGGGGATTGATGACTCCTTTGGAAGGAGTCCAAATGTGTTCAACTCCAGTTGTTTGTTTGTTTTCCCCGTTTTTCAATGGCCTCATCCATGTTGGTTGACAACAACTCCAGATGGATCGTTGAAGTGCTAAACCCTTTTGTTCACCGTTCGCCGAGATTGAAAACGAAGCTGCACCTGTTGCCTGAGGCCTTACACACTGGACCCGGTCGCCGGGTGCAATGGATGGAAAGGCCATGGCTGTTTCATGTGCCAAGGGAAGCAAAAGGCGGAGAGGTGGATACTCACTTCCGGAGTTCCGTTTCGGACTTCAGACTTGTTGGATTTGGACCATGTTCGTGGCAAGCACAAAGTTTGGGAGCTTGTTTTGGCAAATCCACCGTCAGGGAGCGAGGCTATCAGGAGATTTGAACAAAGGTCAAGAAGGCCTCATGGCCACACGGTGGATGGACTTCGAAGTGCTGCACCACTGTTGAAGCCACGGGAAACCATTCCTTGATCTTCCAGGACCTGGAAAAGCAGGCCTTTGGCCGAATTTCCATTTGGAGCCAAGATAAGAAGGACCCTGGTTTTGCGGGTCCTTGGAAGACCAAGGCGTTGTTATTGGCATTTACGGCGGGATCATCATTCCAGCATCCACAGTCGGCCTAGTGCGATGCGAGCTGTAGCCGTGCTCGCGCAGGCTTGTCGGTTGAAGCCTGCAAGGCCGGAGAGTCGAGTGGGGCATAAAAAGATCCGACCCGAGCCTCCCAAAGTGGAACATTGGCAAGGTCCCCCAGTGCCCGTTGACCCCCTTTTTTGGTTGGGAGAGGTCCCCTAAAATAGACTACAGACAAAAAGGGTACCCTTACTCTAACCTCTAACCCCTCTACTGGAGGACCTAGTTGGAACATCCACAAGTCAAGCAACTTTTGGCTCAAGCCACTTTTGCATGCCCAAAAATGTACCTCCCGTTGAAACCGAATTTGCTCAAGCTTGGAACTCACGTGAAGATTCCCACAACCGAATCTCAATGGGGCCCGTTGGTTTCCCTTGAACAACGTACAAAAGGGTCCGCCATGTGGGTGTGTCTTTTTGTGAGGGTATCCCGTTTGGTATGTTTTTCACGAGAAACTGAAAGCATCACCGCTGCGCCATTTGGGGTCCTGGTCCAAATCCTAGACGCGCCACCCATGTTGCGACACACTGCTTTTGTTTTGTGGGTGTTTAAAGGAAAAACAAGACATGTTTATAAATATTTCAATTCAAATGCGCGTGGTTGTCTAAAAACCCCAATGTGGGTATGGGTCAAAACCAATGGTACCATTTTGGGGTAGGTGAACCACCCGTTTTAGTCTATTTTAGTGGGGATTGGGATGTTCACTGGGGGCTAACCGGGCTTTACATCCATGGCCATGTGCTTTGTTTGAATGAAAGCCCAACGCGTCCCAGGAGAAGTGCCGCACGAACAGCGTCGCCGCCAGATGCCCCGCGCGGTTTTGCAACGCCGCAGTGTTCTTCAAGCGCCTCGACGCGGAAAAGCCAAAGCAGTGAGCTGTGAAACCCGAAAGCCACTGTAGCTGGCTGCGAATTCCGTTGGCACCGCTTGGAAACCATGGTTGAAACCGTTGTTTGTTGGTATTCACAGGGGAATCATCAGCTGGTTGCATTTTGCTTGGATGTTGGGACGTTAACTTGTTGCCAACTAATGGGTTGTCAATTAAACCACTCAAAGTTAAACTGTTAGCAGGGGAGCAGAAGGCAACCGAGGCTTGGAAACCATGGTTGAAACCGTTGTTTGTTGGTATCCACAGGGGAATGCAAGATTTCGGCCGTCCACAGTATGGGTGTGTCGTTGTTTGAGGGTACCATCCGGTTTTTTGGTTTTGATGCGGACCCAAACGGAAACCGACCATTTTTGGGGGGCCAATAATCATCACACCTTTTTTGTTTGGACGTCCCCAACATAGCCCGATAATGGTACCCTGAAAAAAGAACCACCCACCCGCCTGTGGTTCAACCTGGTTTCAACTTGTTGGTGTGTCCGGGCAATGTCAGCTACCAAAAAAGAGTGGATCTTTGTTGGCCCACGCGGGTTTACGATGGGGTCCTTGTATTTGAACTCAAAATGAATCCTCAAAGATGGACGGTTTTCTGATCAAGTCGCGCCACAGAGCTTGTGCGCAAGACCGGGCACGCTGGCAGTTGCGGCTTTATGGCCATGTCACATATCGCTTTGCTTTGGGCTAGGACCCCTGTTCCCTCGGGCTAATCCTAATGGCCCCCTGAACTTGGAATTGAGATCAATGCTTCGGTGCCTAAGGGAATGACCATGGCCATGGCACACAGGGTGTTTGTTCGGTTGCCTTCAAAGGCGCACCAAAAGGCAACCAGCCAGCACCCCCCCAAAGCCAGCTTTTTGGCCAGAACTTGGGGTCTTGCACATGTCAAAGGAGCCAACGACGAAACACCAAGCTATTTCAAGCCTTGCCACCGAGAAACTCTGGCTTCTGCCATCTCTACAGCGGGTGCGAAGGGAAGGAGACGGATCAGAGTGCGCTTCTCCTGTACCGCGAGGCTGGCAACGGGCCTAGGGCATACATGAAACCCCACAGAAGGGTCCCAAAAGACCATCTATTCCTTTAAGAAGGACCCTTTGTGGCACCCTTTCTTTTGGGACCCCGTGGCAATGAATGTTATGACCCCTTTTTTTTGGGGGGGTGGGCGCATGTTCATGTCAACCTCTTGGTCGGTTCTCGGTCCCTCAGGCGACGGCTTTGGAAGTTCGGCCTGGCTTGGTGGAGGAGGTGGAAGAGATGCCGTGGCCGGGACGAAATGAGCTACGGCTCGTTGGGCACACCTACTCCAAATACCCATGACTTTAGAGCCTCCGGCTCAGTCCGCCGACATTGTCCTCTCCCTTTTCTCCTTCTTCCTCTCTTCCTTGTCTCCCTTGTGTGTTCTGTCGTCCTCTCTCCCTCCCTCTGCTCCCATCCTCCCCATCCCCCCAAGCCTCTCTCTCCCCAATCTCCCTCTCTCGTATGTATGCATGCATGTACATATGTATGTATGTATGTATGTATGTATGTATGTATGTATGTATGTATGTATGTATGTATGTATGTATGTATGTATGTATGTATGTATGTAATGTATGTATGTATGTATGTATGTATGTATGTATGTATGTATGTATGTATGTATGTATGTAATGTATGTATGTATGTATGTATGTATGTATGTATGTATGTATGTAATGTAATGTATGTAATGTATGTATGTATGTATGTATGTATGTATGTATGTATGTATGTATGTATGTATGTATGTATGTATGTATGTAATGTAATGTATGTATGTATGTATGTATGTATGTATGTATGTATGTATGTATGTATGTATGTATGTATGTATGTATGTATGTATGTATGTATGTATGTATGTATGTATGTATGTATGTATGTATGTATGTATGTATGTATGTATGTATGTATGTATGTATGTATGTATGTATGTATGTATGTATGTATGTATGTATGTATGTATGTATGTATGTATGTATGTATGTATGTATGTATGTATGTATGTATGTATGTATGTATGTATGTATGTATGTATGTATGTATGTATGTATGTATGTATGTATGTATGTATGTATGTATGTATGTATGTATGTATGTATGTATGTATGTATGTATGTATGTATGTATGTATGTATGTATGTATGTATGTATGTATGTATGTATGTATGTATGTATGTATGTATGTATGTATGTATGTATGTATGTATGTATGTATGTATGTATGTATGTATGTATGTATGTATGTATGTATGTATGTATGTATGTATGTATGTATGTATGTATGTATGTATGTATGTATGTATGTATGTATGTATGTATGTATGTATGTATGTATGTATGTATGTATGTATGTATGTATGTATGTATGTATGTATGTATGTATGTATGTATGTATGTATGTATGTATGTATGTATGTATGTATGTATGTATGCATGTATGTATGTATGTAATGTGTAATGTATGTATGTATGTATGTATGTATGTATGTATGTATGTATGTATGTATGTATGTATGTATGTATGTATGTATGTATGTATGTATGTATGTATGTATGTATGTATGTGTATGTATGTATGTATGTATGTATGTATGTATGTATGTATGTATGTATGTATGTATGTATGTATGTATGTATGTATGTATGTATGTATGTATGTATGTATGTATGTATGTATGTATGTATGTATGTATGTATGTATGTATGTATGTATGTATGTATGTATGTATGTATGTATGTATGTATGTATGTATGTATGTATGTATGTATGTATGTATGTATGTATGTATGTATGTATGTATGTATGTATGTATGTATGTATGTATGTATGTATGTATGTATGTATGTATGTATGTATGTATGTATGTATGTATGTATGTATGTATGTATGTATGTATGTATGTATGTATGTATGTATGTATGTATGTATGTATGTATGTATGTATGTATGTATGTATGTATGTATGTATGTATGTATGTATGTATGTATGTATGTATGTATGTATGTATGTATGTATGTATGTATGTATGTATGTATGTATGTAATGTATGTATGTATGTATGTATGTATGTATGCATGTATGTATGTATGTAATGTAATGTATGTATGTATGTATGTATGTATGTATGTATGTATGTATGTATGTATGTATGTATGTATGTATGTATGTATGTATGTATGTATGTATGTATGTATGTATGTATGTATGTATGTATGTATGTATGTATGTATGTATGCATGTATGTATGTAATGTATGTGTATGTAAGTAAGTAAGTAAGTAAGTAAGTAAGTAAGTAAGTAAGTAAGTAAGTAATGTAATGCATGTAATGTATGTACGTATGTATGTATGTGTGCATGCATGCATGCATGCATGCATGCTTACATACATGTATGCATGTATGTATGTATGTGTAATGTCATGTAATGTCATGTAATGTAATGTAATGTACTGTAATGTATGTATGTATGTATGTATGTATCCTTGCACTTCCCCTTTGCTCCCCAGTATTTCCCGCAAAAAACAACACGGTTTTTCCAGCGTTTTCGCAAAGAGGACGTCCAAAAACATTGAGTTTTTCCAGATTTTCGGCAAAAGGATGCAGGAAGCCCAAGCCAGCAAAAAAGCCGGCAGGGGGAATCGAGCCTGGGACCCCTGTTTTGCGACACCGGCTCCCCGAAGGCCGCGCGGTACGTGGGGGACCCCCCCCCCTCCCCCCCCAAAAACCTACGTAATAGACGTCGGGCGGGGGGGGTTAGGGGGGGGGGTTATCCTCTATCCTCTAGTAAGTATCCGACACGCCGAGCAATGTCGGCGGATTTTAGGGGCGTCATGCCAGCCCTTTGCTAAAACCACAACATGTGTCATGGAAAGCATGTGTTTCAAGAAATAGCGTAAAAGAGTTGTATTTGGAGTAATCAGGGGGTATGCGGGAATTGCATCTTATGGATGTCGGATGTTGGCTTCTCCCTTGGAAGCTACACCAAGGGTACCCCTCAGGTAGAGTTTTTAACAAACCCCTGAGAACGAGCTCGAAATGTTCTATACCGCGGCATGTTTTGAATGCAGCTCTGATGAGTAGCTGACGAAAATCTCGGTGCAGTAATCTATTGTCAGTCTGAGGAGGGGAGTGTCTTGCTTTGGTTCTTTCATATTATGGGGTCGTGGACCCCTTTTGGCTGGTGTTCAAGGCAAATATAGACAGCCGGCCGTATAACAACATTTGAGGGGTATGTTGCATTGGGACATCCGAGGTCCATTGTTTGGATTACCCCAAGCTAGACATGTGCCCAGGGGTTCCTCTTGGGGCAATCAACGACCTCTACCTTGGTCGTCAGAAATGGAAGCATGACATTTGTGGCCCAGGAATGCCAGCATCTACGACTTCGGGTCAAATTTTCAGTCCTTCTCCATCCTCGCGAGCGTGTCGAACGTTCGCAACAAGAGGATGAAAGGACACGCAGAGACTCCGCAGGGTTGCGATGGCTGAAACAAGGGAGTGTGTGAGCACGATTCGGAGTTATTTGCTCAGGATTTATGAGAGGCTCCATTCTGAGCAAGATGCACATTCCAGAAGGCCTGCGGCCTTTTTTTCAGAATGCGTTCGAGACAGCTGGATTTTTGCAGGTGCTATCCCTGGAAATGCTTGGAAAGGCGCAAGCGGCTGGAGATTGGATGTGTCATGGTCAAGGAGGCAGGGCCTGCGGATCAGAGAATTGGAAAGCCCTTGTTCAAACAGTTTCTTCTCTTGCAGATGTTCGCTTGGCTTTGGGATTGGAAGGTGTGTCTTTTTCACAAACAAGTTGCTTGTTTTGAGAATTTCTTTGGCTTAGGCTTCGGGGCTACGTGCCCCGTTTGCTGATCATCACCAACTCCGGGCACGTCTTCTTCGGGGTGGGCAAAAGGAAGTTGACCGGTGCGCAGGCCGGGGCTCAGCCGAGCCGGGTGCCGGGTGGCTGGGTGGCTGGGTGGCTGGGGTTTGGGCGCTTGGCTCCCGACTGCGTCGGAAGGTGGAGATTGCCGTGTCTTTCAACGCCAAGGCGGGTGAGGTATACCAACCAAACACGCATGGGTGTGTCTCAAAATAGTGGTCCCAGAATGCATCGGGTGTCCCTTCATAAATACCAACCCCAAGAGGGTGCGCCATTTGGAAAAGTTCCCTTTCTATGGATTCTCACTCTCTTTTTCGCCTCAAACTCCCAAGTTGGGTAGGACTTCAGCATGATGATGTGGATCAACGGGCAGAAGGCGCGAGAAGAGTTCGAACCGTTCGAGTCCATGCCGCCAGCCTCGTTCCGAGGAGCGGATTGCGCAGAGAGGCCGCCAGTACCGCCGGAGCTTCTCGGGCGAGTTCTCCTCTCCTGTGCCTTTGATGCCCCTTGGACGGAACTTAAGACAGGACATCTAGGTTTTTTCACGGATTCTGGGAAGTTCCCCCGTCAAAATCTGGGAATTTTCATAAATTCTGGGCCCCCCAAATCTGGCAAAAGTAGAATTCTAGGGGTACCTTCCCCATTCTTTCCAGGAATCCTTCTTTTTAGACACCTCCCAGAAACCCAGAAAAAACGGCTGGATTTGGCAAAGAACGACGGGTCAATCAAAAAAATGGGGAATCAAGCCAAGAATGAATTCTAGGTCCCCCAGTAGTGCCCTTTTGCCCTTATTTGGGGGAGAGTTCCCCTACTGACATAGACTACAGACAAGAGTTGGTACCCTTATTCCTGTATTCTAACCTCTCGACTGGAGGACCTAGAGTTCATCAAGCTCACCGCAGGTTTTTTAGGGCACCTATTTCCAGGATGCGAAACCGGCCAATGTCCACGTGGCTCGCAGGATTGGCGGCCGGCCAGACGGCAATTCCAGCCTCCCCTTCGATGGCCAAGTCTTCAACGTGGTGCTCTACAGCGGCGTCTTGGGTCGGGTGACAAAGGCCGGGTGCGAGAAATGCCGTGGACCCCGGCTTCGAGTAAAACGGTTCTGGCTTTGCAGGCTCAATGATTCTTGAGTATTGGTTCCTGGCAGGATGAAGCCCTAGGAAGATTGAGAGAAACCAGCTGTATTTTTCGCCTCAACGAAGCGGCTGCAGGACTTGTCGGGAGCGGAAGCGGGCCGACTGAAGACGACCGTTCTGGGGGTGGACAGGACGACGGTCGGCGACAAGTGGATCCAGGCAACGGAAGAGTTAGAACCAAAGGCGTCTTGCAGCGTGGTTTCTTGAGAAGACACGATGCGTAACTGAGGGCAGCTTGTTTAGACGATTTATAAGGGAAACGAGGATTTGGAGAAGTCCAAGACGCACCCATATGTCCTGTCAAGCGAGCGGCCAAAACACTAGGGATCAGCATGAATATAATATATGTATATATATATACCGGTGTTTCTCAAATAGGGTTCTCTAAAAATGGTTGTTTTTTTTGCTGTTGCTTTCTCTTTAGATACCAATCAAGACGGGGTCCGGAAACTCCCATATATGTATATGTATATATGTGTGTATATCTTCGGGCCGGGTGGGCAAAACGGACAGCCTGCAAGTCCTCAACCCATCCTGTTCTGCTGCCGGCGGGGTGGCCTTTGCTTGCGCAGGTGAAGTCTTCCTTGTTGGAGGCATCGGAGGCAGCGGGAATCGAGTCGTGTTTGGCCTTGCAGATAGGGTCTCAAAAGGCCCGGGGCCGCCTTTTTGACAACCCGCCAAATGCATGACGGAAGTCGCAGAAGTCGAAATATCGGTCTCTCTCTCTCTCTCTCACTTTTTGAGGTACCCCTTTGTTGAAGGGAAACCAACAGAAAAACTACATTCTTTCGGGGTCCCGGGGAAAAAAACAATGTGCGGCATTTGCGTCAGAACTCGCTCAATGACGCCATCACCAACAGCAGTGAGGCCACTGCTATGGGGCCGGATCCTGGTTCGCACGCGTGGCTGGGTTTCACGATGGTCCCTTCCCTTGCTATGGTCAATTGGCCATGGGACCGGGGTAGCCTTGGAGGGATTCGCTTCATGGAACCTGACGTTTCGGTGTCTGGTATCCTCTCTCTGGACTTAAAGGAAATCCACAATGAAACGCCAGCAATTTAATGGCTGGGCCTCCGATTTGACACAAACCCAAACCAAGAGGAAAGCAACTGTAGGGGATCATGCTGTTGGGACAAACGTGGGGAGTTCTCAAAACAGACCCCTGCGCCCTTGTCACTATGTTAAAGGCAACCAACATGTCAAAAGGAACCTGACCAGTTTTAGGGGTGCTCTATTTTGAGAAACACCCACCCATGGAACCAAGAATTAAAGCAAGCGCTTTAGGGGATCAGTATTTTGGGAAGCCACAAACCTATGGGCGTGTCTCTTGTAGACCCCAACAAACAATACAAACAATACCTGGGTCTTCCAAAGTGCGTGCTTTTTCAGACAAACACCACTGTTGTCTCCGACCTTTTCGCTTGATTACAGGACTCTTCTAGGACAAATCCACGAAGGCGAACCGACGACTTTCCCCGACCAAACGGCGACAATCCCCGACCAAACCGCGACTCAGCCAAGTTTGAAACGACACATTTGCAATGAAAAAGCGTGTTTTTGCGGCCAAAGGACTGACATGTGTTTTTTTTTTTTTTTTTTGGGGGGGGGGGGGCAAACGGCGGGAAAAATGCACACCGGGAAGATGTGGGTATATGGTACCCTCAAAAGAACCACACCCATGTCCATGGCGCTGTCAGCATTTTGGATCCACGCAGGATATATGTTGTCACAAATGGTTTGTTTTGTTTTTGTTCACCCACACACCACGGGGTGAGCCTCAAAACAGAGACAATGGGTCAGGTTTTAGTCCATGTGTCCATTTTCCAGGGTTCCATTTTGGGAACCTATTTTGACCCACTGCTGTATGTTCCAGAGGAAGTAGCTATGACGCATGTCAATGGCAGGCTGTGACCTGCAAGGGCTGCAGCAAGTACACCAGGACTCGGGGCTCGGGGCTGGATGGTTCGGGGCTGGGCATCGACCGGATGGGCTTCCTCAAATGTGTGTTTTGGTTTGTGTGTGTTTTTTTTGAGGCCCTTGTTGGGGTGGGCGAACAAAATATCCTCAAACTACAAAACCAACGGAAACCAAGCCAGAAATGCGTTCCCGTGTAGGTTCCATTTGTTTGTTTTGGGGGTTCCCCTAAACGTGGGCAACCCTGTCAGTTTGGGTTGCCATCCTCCAACCAGTCAAAACCAGTGCCATTTTGTTGGGTGGGGGGAAATGACACGCCCGAGTCTGTACCATGGAGTCTAACTTTGGATTTCGGCTCAAATTGGGCAAGGGTTTCCTCTTCATTCAAAATGTGATCCTTTGACACTCATGTATGTAATATATACCGACATTTGCCACATATGGAGGGATGTGGGTAAATGTTTTTCTCTATATGGAGTGTTTTGGCCTGGCTGATCAATTTTCTTTTTGAGCACAAAAGGGCCACGCGTTTGGAAGTATCCCCATCGCGGGGCACCCTCGCCAGGTACCGCGGCGGCACAGTTTGCTCTTTCGACAAGTCGGAGGACGACTGCGCTGAGTGCATGCCGCCGATTCAAGGCGCGCGGCGGTTGCCAAGTTGATCAGTTTAGCACAACATGGCTGAGGCTCAAAAATGAGTACCCAACATGGAACCCTGGTAAATGGTAGCAAAGACTAAAGCCGCGTAACCCCAGCTCTTGAATTTTGAGCCACACCAATATGTTCACAGGCACCTGTTGGGATGGCTGAACCCTAAAGACTGGGATCAAGCGCCGATGTTGTCCAAGGCGTCTTCAACTGCCAGTGCGGCCCACTCTTTCGGCACACCTGCGCTCCCTGCAACAACCTGGATATGTGTGCGTCCTTGGCAAACGAGGACGGGGTATCGATCTGGGGGCAGTGGGGCTTGCATTCACAGCAACGGATTTGGGCCCCATTTTGGTTCACCATGGGGAACAGTCTGAAGCCCTGAGCCAAAGGTCTAACCGTCTGACCTTTTCCAGGTTTACTGGCAAAGCGATGCGTGATTTACGTCCAAAAAGGTCTCGCAAGGGCAATTGTTTGGTCACACCAAAGAGTTCATGTGCTTCGCTGTCAGCCTCCTGATGCCCCTGGACGTCATCTCGAAGGGGTGAGCTTTGAGCTCACCTGCAAATCCGCCGAAACCGCACTTCGGCTGCATGTTCGGCTTCCACCGCCTGGGGGTTGCGGGTTCCCTCGAAGCCCCCCTGTCACTGAAGCTGAGGGCTAGCCCATTTGTTTTTTTAGTTTTGTTTCAACCACAAGCTGGACACGTGGTGTTCAAATTGCCCAGACGCCTCCTTCTTGCGCACCCAGCTTTTGTCTTTCTCGCTTCTTTCATCTTTCTCATGAACAGTGATTCCATTTACCCGCACAGTACGTAACCAAGTGGTTTTCCACCCTGTAAAAGCCACAGGATAAGTGTTGGTTACCTACGCAGTTGTCCAAAGCGAATCGACCTTTTGACCTTTCCGAACCGATGAACCTTTGTATTTCCAGGTCATTCCAGGTCCCTCAAGGGGCAAGTGAGGCTACAGCGGTACCTGGGTGCATTTTTGCCAGGTTTTTCCTTTCGGTGTCCTTCAATTTCGCAATAAAAAGGTTGGTACCAACTCCAAAACCAAAGACGCGCAACTGGGATCCGGGAGTGAGATGAACTCCATTTTAAAGGCGAGCCACGAAAAAGCTTGGCACCGACTCCAAAGAAAAAGAAAGCACGCGCCACCAAGCGACGCACCACCGAGCCATGGGATCCGAGGTGCAGGTGGAAGTGCAGGTCATCGCTCGCCACCGCGGCTCGGACGTCTTCTACTTGACGGTGGGGCCTTGCGCCAGGTGGAGGCTGGCCGGAAGCCGAAGTCGCGGTTGGTGAACTTCAAAACCCAGTTGCCCAGTGGTGCCTCTTTTTTTTTTGGGGGGGGGGAAGGCTTCCCTTTAAGCTCAACCAACAAAAGAACAGGATGCCCCTTTTTTCCCCTGGCCACTTGGCATCTGAGAAAAGACACCATCCAAAAGAAGGTACCCTCAAACAAAAACACACGCCCGATGCGGGGTGTCTTGTGTTGTTTGTCTTTTCTTTTTTGAGGGGGAGGTACGGGTGCCATGGAAACCTAGAGTCTATGTTGCAACCCTGAACCCTAAAAAGCCAATACCCTAACAGAAGGAGGTTGCAGAATAGACCCTAAGTGTCCACCATACGGAGGGGTACCCCAGAAGGACGGCACCCAGATTCAATGTCATGTCGGTGCATTCTGAGGGATTTTCGTCGAGCGCTTGTTATTTCCTCGGGCGCTTGGTGAAAATCACGACTCGCTTGGAAAGGGCAGGTCTGCACTTGTCTTGCTGGTTCTCAAACGAAGGAACGACCCGAGCCATCACTTGTTCCGTTCTGAGTGATCCTAAACGGCTCGTTCCCATGCTGCCGGTTCCCGGAGAAGTCATACGTCAAGGTCTGGGTGATTCGGTTAAAGCCAGCGTACCTCCAGGTAGACTTCAAGATAGGGGTGGTTGATCCTTGAAGGGAGAACCCTTTGAGTCAAGCCTTGTTTTGTCGGTTTGACGCCAAGGGGCAGGCATGCCGTCCCAGTTCAGTGACCTGACGATTGCAAATCATTAGCTGAATCCAGGCCCGTTCACCTTGTTCTCCTTTGGGCTTCCTTCGATTCCCCATTTCACGTCCAGCCGCAGGTGGTACTTGAAATCCGGCTGGGGGACTACTTGCGCACAGGAGAGGATTTCCAGGTCGGCAGTTGGGATGAATTTTGTAGACCCCCCCAAATGGATTTCGGGTTTCTATGTTGTTTGCCTTTTAACCACTGAACCACCCCCACAAAGGGCAACCTTCAAAGCAGCCTTGGCCTTGGCCCGGGCCATGCCTTTAAGAGAAGGGTCCAGGAGTTGGGGCAGCTCGTGCGATGGCTCTGTCGCGGGTCACGAAGTTGGAAAAAATCACCGGTTTTAGTCTACTTCTCCAGCTAGGTTCCATTGTGGGTACCCATTTTTGACCCGCACCCAAATTTATATGTGGAAGTCCCCAAGCCATTGAACTAATTGGTTTCCCCACTGAACCCATGTTCAAATGTCCTTGATCGTCAAGCCACGTGATCAGTTGTGTCATGGACCTGAGCTGAAGCTTCAAACCTCAGACGTGGTTTCTGACCCATGAGCTCAAATCGGCTAGAAGGTGAGTTGTTTTTTTTTCTTGGTTTCTGACCCATGAGCTCAAAAAGGTGAGTGGCATTTTTTGTCCAAATGTCAGAACGACCCCAGAGAAGCCTGCCTCGAGGACCCCATGTGCAGCTATCAGGAGGAGCCCCGCTGGACTGAGCCCTCGGATGCTTGCAAGCTCACAGAGGGCAAGCATTACGCCAAAGCCCCGGTCGTGAAGCGATGTGTTAAACATGATTACTACAGCTCCTACTGGGGCAAGTCGTAGCAGCAGCAGTAGTAGCAGCAGCAGCAGCCGCAGTACTACTGCTGCCGCTGCTGCTACTTTTGCATCTTCTTCTTCTGTTGCTTCTTCTTCTGCTTCTTCCTTCTTTCACTTTTTGGCTTCTTGTTGGTTTCGCTGCAAAAAAAACAAAACAACTCGTTTTGATGCATGCGGTGCCACTAGGTGTCGATTCGGCCATCTGACCCTGGAGATATCAAGCTGACCAGGCGCCTTTGGGAGGGATGTATTGATGTGAGGTCCATAGCAGGGAGCAGGCCCTGGTCGAATTCAAAGGGAAACCAACAGGAGGCGGTTTTTATTCGATGGTTCAAACGATGGTCAAAACGAGGGCTGGCTCAAGCCTGAGAAGATGTATCCAGTTTTCTTGGGTCTTCCGCAAGCACTTGGAAATTGATTGGCAACCTAGATTGTAGCCTTGCTCTTAAGTTTGCCTGGTTGTAAGAGGTGTACATCCCTGGTTACAGTAGGTTACTGATTGGGCCAAACCTTACACTCCCTGGTGTTGTTGTTTCGAGAAGGCCAAAGGCCATGTTGAAACCGTAAAGCAACTCTTGATGAAGCACGACCTCCTGTTGGTTCTCGTTTGAAGGGGGCCTGGCTCGCCCCTGTTTAGCATGTTCAATCAACCTGCTGTTCACTTCCTTTCAGTCTAAAAACATGCTGGAACAACTCTTGTTCACACACTTCCATGTTCTCAAGAATATGTGATCTTTTTCCTTCTTGGTTTTGAAGGGAATCTATCACTACTGGACATATGTTCTCCTTTTTGCAGGGGTCGAAGAAAAGAATGGAAGCACGGAACCTCCTTTTGCTTCTCTTTGGGCCGCTTCATCAATATCTTCTTGCGCAGGGTCCAGACCTCAAGCCACTGCTCTAACGAACATACGGGTCTCCAGGTGGCCCATAATACTGGGCACTCAGAAAATTGCAGGCTCACCAAAAAGCCATCTGGTGAGGGTGCCAACTACTTGTGTGTTCGTGTCGCCAAGTTAGAAAGTTAGCCTTGGGCTACACAGCAAGGCTCACCCCATATTCGCGGGGGACTTGCTACCGTGGGTTACGGCCGAACGTTACTTAACTTACTAACTTGGCGCAATACATGAACAATGCTCGTATCCTGTAAGCCACCTCCTGTGGGGTCCTTTCAAAGGGGACCGAAACCGGTCTGGTTGTCTTCACCCCATTGGAATATGTTGAAACCAATGCTCCCTGTAGGGACCGAAATGGGTCTGGTTGTTTAAACCGGTCAGATTTTGGCTTGGCGGGAGTCCCAAAGTGTCCGTTCGTTAAGCATCACCCTTTGGGCCAACGTGAGTTTCCTTTTCGGGTGAAAGAGGACGTATAGAGAACCTTGACCTACTTACCTCTTAAAAACACAACTTTTCAACTTTTTGGGTAACATGGGCAATGTGTCTGTAAAAGATTAACTTGCCCAGGGCTTGGAGTTTTAAGGGGTAAGCCTAGGTTCTGTGCAAACAGGTGTGAACTTTAATTATGGATCATTTACGTGTGGGTTCATGTCCACCAATAACTTTCAGGCTGCTCCCTAGTAAAGCTCGCAGCCATACACAACCCTAATGACTAAGGGGTCTACTACTGACAACGATACATGACGAAACATGAATCATCAATACCTAAAAAGTCATTGATAGTGACTTCTGTCATGGATTTACATTGTTGAATACATGAATACCATGGAAAACATATGAATACTTGTTTTCATAGGCGCTATGGAAAAAACAAGTCTTCATATGTATCACATGGTCTTAGTGCATTCATTCATTTACAGGTCCTGATTTCCCCGGGTTCGAGTTGGGTTCTCCTGTCGCTTGGGAGGCTCCGCTTGGCTCGGGGCCAAGAAGCGTGCAAGTTCGAGACCTTGCCGCCGGTGACCACGACCACCACCACGACCTTCACGTTGCCCACGTGCCCCCGAGCCGTGTTCCGAAAAAACTCCGCGCAGCGGCCGAGTGGCAGTCGAGGGGAACACCGGAGCAAAGGTGGAAAACACCCTAAGGACCTGACAACATGTCCGGACTGTCTGGTCATTCCCAATGTTTGCCGTAATTTCAAGATCCCAAATGTATGGGCTCCCCACAAATCCATGGATCAGTGCATGCCGTTTTCGAAAAACATCAAAATCTGGAGGGGCTCCATTGAAGGCCTTCCCCTGGGATCGGGGTGCGAAGTCTCACCGCTTTGCCCTTTTGAGGTGTTTTCTTTTTTGCTTGTCCTTGATCAAGTCGGAAGATAGTGAGAATAGCACCTGTGATTCTTCCGCAAACTGGGGCAAACTGGGGCTTGGGTAGATTGAGCCAAATTGTGTGTGTGTGTGTGGGGGGTGTGTTTGAAGGGAAACCAAAAGGAAAACCACGCGTTTTGGAGGGGTCCAACCTGACCACGACTTCCCGAGCCAGGTATTTCCAAGGGCTATGTCCTTCGGAGGCCCCAGCCCTGAAGGAGTTCAATGACTGCCCCTTTCGCTACTACGCTCCTTGGATTTCGGAAATTTTGAAAACTCGTTGCGCCATGCCAAACGGTTCCAAACGAAAAGTACGATGAATGGTCTAATTGTCCCTGTGAATTCGGCCATGGCCCGCCCGAATTCTCCGAGGTCCTCTTGGGAGAACAAGTAGTCTCCGCTCACCTGAGCATGATCGAATGCACAACGATGTCAGATTGCAGAAAGTTTTCTCCAAGTTGTTGAGATCCTGTCGCTTGGCAAATTGAATTTCGCCTGAGGTTCTGGAAGTCCTGTCAACGGCTGGCAATCAGGAGCTGACTCGGGTGTGATGCAGAAGCCCTAGCATGTTGAGTGCTTCTCGTGCCATTCAGTGGATCCCAGGCGTTTCGCCACTATAGCAGGTAACCAACAATTTGCCGTTTGGGTTCCAAAGGGCGGCTCCCTTGTTGAATTTCCTCAGGTAAACGGATTCAGCGCCATCCACATAGGAGGCGTGTGAGACTGAGCCATCCACATAGGAGGCGTGGAAGATCGCGGAGGTGCGATTGTATCATTACAATTCCAGAGGAGTCCTCAAGAAGTGACTTGGCTGCAATGAGGGTGGTGGAGAGGTCAGCGAGCTGACCAAAAGGCGCCAAGGAGAATCTCAGGCCCGATGAAGGGATGACCTTCACTCACGACTTTGCTTCTTTCCAAGGTGTGCTGAATCATGCCGCCTTTAAGCTGGGCTCAGTGCCATGTGAAGCCTGGAGCTCACTTAGGTCTAGAACTTGAACCCTCCCCCCCAGAAGTTTGTTTTCCCACCTTAACCCCCACTTATCTAGACCTCGCCCCTCAGACAAAAACAGGGACCTCCCGCGCGCTGGAAACTCCCTGACTTGACCGCGAAGTCGCGTGATTTGGACTTGAACTTTCTCGGGGTTCGCGGACCTGTCTACTTGTAAATTGATTGCATAGAGGTTCGCGGAACTCTTCGCGGAAGAACTCTTCGCGGAAGAACTCTTCGCGGAAGTTCCGGTTTGTGTTGAAGGTGAAGGTTGCAGATCGGGGGTTTCCAGTCAGCACCCCTCCACTTCCCCAGAACTAGCTCCCCTTTTTGTTTTTTGCTTTTTTGGGGCCCCTTTCTTTTCCACTAACCAGAAAATATATATATATATATTGTTTCTGGGGTTCCAATTCCAGCCTAGTCCAAACATCAACCCCTCCCCCAGTCAGGTGTTGCACCCTGCGTAATTCGCCGTCACCTCCCTTCAGGTTCCCAAGCTCGGAAGTGCAGGCGGACCTCATCGAGGACCTCGGTTTCGGGTTGGTTTCGGTTGGTTTCGGTCCGCCGCTTTCGGGCTGTCAAGACCAAAAGTGACACACGCAACAAATTCAGATTCAAATTCCGCAACGAGATTGAATGGGAAACCCTTGAATGGTGGAAATGGATCCCTGATGGATAAATGATGTCCACCAAAGGGTCCCGGAACTAAGATTCGTACCCAAGTACCGCATTTTGTTTGTTTCATCCCCGCAAAACACGTTTTCACTTTTGGGTGGTTCCTAAGATATCAGGACCCACCTAGCCTAACTAAATGGGTGCAACAAGTGCGCTAAAGGGGTTTCCGGTGTTTGGAACCAATTTCTTCTAGACATGCCCCCGTGCCGGCCCTCTTTGCTAAGCTTCTCAGAACCCAAACTCATATTTCTTCACAAAAGGGGGGGGTCACTGGAAACCATTGATCAATTTCCTCAACCCTGGGGTTCAAGCAAAGGTGAATACAACCACCATTTTTTACCTAAGGAATGTTTCATCCTCCGAGTTGGATCCTTGCCATTCTTTTCATGGGACCCGGTGGAACCGCACTCAAGTCTCCTCCCGGGCTTCGCTCACCACATCGCGTCAGGATGCCGCAGTTTCTGCGGAAGGCTGCGACAACACCGCGGCCTCGGGGGCCTTCGACCACTCGATCTTCAGCGGGGTGTGCTCCCCGCGGCTTGGCACTTGAAACGGGGCAGCCGGTGCCCAACGTGGGATATCGTCTGTCTTTTTCTAGGTCCCCCAGTAGTGTTATCCTCTCTACTGGAGGACCTAGTTTTGTTTTCTGCTTGAAGCCCCCCAAAAAACGCTATAGCCTCAGCCAAAGAGCGTCCCAGCTTTTCACGTTAAAACCAGCACCTCCCACCGAACAGGGGCACAACTTGCCTCAAAAAAAGCGGCAGAAACCGGCGCTGTGAGGAGCCCCAAGACCAAGCTGCGACTGGACCTGGGCAGCGAGGTGGCGCTGGCCAAGTACACTCTGATCAGCGCCAACGCGGCTCGGCCTTGGGCGTTCGGATCGGCGGATCGGCGGAGTGGGGAGGTGATGCGAGGACGGACTTACGCCAAGTGGATCTCTGGGTTGGAGGGTAGCCCTTTTGGGGGGTGGGTGCAAGGGGAAATACAAACTGTCCGAGTTTAGCTGTAAGGGATATCCAAACTTCCCAGTTTCAGGCTCACTGAGCGGTCCAAGAGCCCTTTTTGGGGGGTGGTGTAAGGGGAAGAAAGAACTTCCGAGTTTCGGGCTGGATGAGCGGTCCAAAGCCGATTCGGGTAGAGGGTGGGAGAAGCCCAAACATGTGCCGAGATGTGCCCTTTGGATGCTGGTGTGGCTTTTTGAGGGTACCCTTTTGGGATGGTAAAGTGAAATTAAAAGAAACCACGCAGGTTGGGTTCTGTTTTGTCACAAACCCATTTGCATGGTGTTGAGTCCCCTTTGCCATGTTTTGATTATGACTACCGAATGTTGTTGACTGACCCCAAAGAAGCCTCCCATTCTCATCAGAACTGCATGTTTTGACCAAGCCGATGAGGCCAACCTTGTTGACTGCGAGTTTAAAGCGATTCCACGGGATTTGTGACTAGCTGAGCTGAGCTTAACAGCTTGCACATTTGGTGTGACTTGATGGGTGGTCAACCCCCAAAACGGTAATTACCCTTAAAACAATCACGCCACTCGTGTTTGATGCATCCCCAAGGGCTTAACCAACATTGGGAGCCTCTGAGCGGACCAAGTTGTGACCTGGAGAGAGCTGGAAAAAAACGGCGCTGACAGATCTGAAACCACTGAAAGGCAAACCTGGGTACGGAGTCTCTTTCTGCGGGTTTCCGACACATAGTTTTTTGTTTTTCTTCGGGGGGGTGGGGGGTGGCTGGGAAGGACCAGTTTACTGTGTGCCCCTGTTCTGTGAGTAGGAATGGTTGGATAAACTCGCCCCATGGGTTTATCATCCCTTCGTATGAACTAGTGTATGGTCTTTCGGTTCATTTGCCCCAATCCAAAAAATGCTGCATCTACTAGAAGTCCTAGGAGTCTGCATTTTCAATCACAACTGTGGTAAACCTTCATGAAAATGGTATCAGCAACCGTCTCGGGAGACTGGGGGCCCCATCCTGAGGGTTCTGCCGCCGCGGATCCAAAGTCCTGGCGATTGTGGGGCTCCTATGATGGAGTCACTGCGGCGAATATGTCCTGGCCTGAGCCGTGTGGAAGAGGGGGGTCAGGGGGGGCGGGCCTGCTTTTGCTTGAGATGTGTTCGTTCTCCGACGTTTTTCGGGCGAAGGGGAAGAAGAGGTCCGCAAAATAGGAGCACCCCACCTGGATCGGCAGTTGCTGCTTTGCTGAATGAACTTTACCCCAAAAAAAGCAAAACGCCAGCAACTGTGACCGAACAAAAACAGCAACTTGGCTATCTAGGCACCCTCATTTTGGCCAATTGCTGTTGAAATGGAAAAGGCACGGAGATTGATCGCTGCTCATCCGAGGACCAGCGTGGGCTCGGCATTTCAGCTCAGCGAGGTTCAGGAGGCAGGGCCAAGTGCTCTCACGTGATCTCGGACCGTTGGCTAGGTCCCCCAGTGCCCTTTCTCACCCCTTTTTTGGTTGGGAGGGTTCCCCTACTGATATAGACTACGGAACAAAGTGGGTATATACCCTTGTTCTAAGCTCTCAAATCCGGAGGACCTAGTTGGCCTGTGCTGTTGGTTGCATGTTTAGATCCGTGTTGTGTTTGCAACCGATGTTAGCTGTATGTTGGGTGTTCCCCCCCCCCCCCCCCCCAATTTTCCCGGAGATGTCCTAGCTGGGAGGCCTTCGCTTTTGTCAATAGAAGCGCCCGTGTTTGTTTTGGTTTTATTAACTGTGACTGTCAGGGCAAAGTGTCTGGAACTGTTTGCAGCAAAGCAGCTTGGGTATCTACATACCATGGTTGTTGTTGGGAAACATGTTGCATTTTTGCTTATTGTGGTTTGGTGGTTGAAATCCGACCACTTAACTGCTAGAATTTGAATATATTTGCTCCCCTTCCAACGTCAACCAAGATACCTTGACGCGTCTGGCACACCGCGGAAACCCGCAGGGTCGACCCCTCCAGGTGAGCTTTCCGACGTCTCGCTGGATGTGCGATCCGCCCTGGGGCATCGCTCTGCTGAACGGCCACCACTGCACCACGACGACCACAACGACCATGGAGGTGGGGAGTTCTCGCACCGGAGGAGCAAGCGAGTTGACTTTGGTGAGGTCAAAGAAGTGGCGACCACCACTTCGACTACAAAAGCCGCAATCCTCAAAGATCGATGTTTTTACCGAAGCCAGGCTGAGAGTTAAGTGGCAAGCCGGATCGGATGGCTTCAAGTTGCGGATGGGAAGCGTGCAGGACGCTCGGTTGCTTTGGCCATGGCCATTTGTGGCGCCAAGGATACTATGTGTTGCAAGTGACCCAAGCAAACGACGTCAAGGCCGTGCTCTCAGGATGCCATCAGAGGGCAGTTTCAGTGCATGTCTTTGACTGAGGCGAACAGCTGGCAATTGGCAGAGGTTGAGCTGCGTCAGAATGGAAAGGCGCATGTTGAATGAGCTAGGCTTGCACTGGGTCCAAAGTGAACACTTTGAGGGATTGTCAGGTTGTCACAGATTACTTTTGGGGGTTGTTTGAGGGGAATGAGCTTTGAGGCCGGGTGAAATGAATACCACTGCGCATTTCGACTCTCTGGCGAAATCTGTTTCGGAATGCGTTTGTTCTGTCGGGTAGATTCCAGGTAGATGTCAGAACAGAATACCAAGCTGTTTCAGCATGGCTTAGAGGGGAAGTTGCAAAATTGGTTAGAGGGGAACTATTGCAAAACAAACAAGCTTTCTAGGAGTCCCCCCAAATTTTACGGATTAGAGTAGCAAAAACAAGCAAAAATATGTTTGTCCCCCAACCCCGCCTCCCATGGACACTTAGAGTATATGTTGCAGCCAAGAACCCTGAAAGAAACAATACCAAACTAGGTCTCCCAGTATTGCCCTTTTACCCTTTGTTGGGGAGGGTTCCCCTACTAAAATAGACTACAGGACAAAGGACACCCTTATTCTAACCTCTCTACTGGAGGACCTAGGAAACAACAACCCCCCCTCCCAGGTTCTGGTTGTCAAACCACCCCTTGGCGAGCTCCAGGCATTGAGCCTCCCGAAGTCGCGGACCACCGCCTGGTGCGCAGCCCAGAACCCCCCCCCCCGGGGGTGCAGGGGGATTTTTTTCGGCGGTGACGCAGGGGTTCCTATATTTCCCTTGTTGGTGGTTTTGGACATCAGTTGCTTTGGCCCATGAAAGGTGAGTGTCCCTTTGTGGGGGTGATGTTGTAAGGGGAAATATAGGGAGCCCTGTGAACCAAAGCAAAGAACCTCAACCTGAACCAAAGAACCCTGAGACCCAACAACTGATGTGAGTTGGTCTCAAAGATCATCCCAACGTGTTTGTTTTCTCTCGTGGAGGGAGCAGTTCATTGGCTTCCTTTTGGTGGTTGTTTGACGCCCACTACTTTCAGGGGGTACCGAGCCACACAAAAAAGAAGCGGTGTGTTGTTGGAGTTGGTACTCTGTTTGGTGGCGGTAAACCAAAAGCAAGACCGAAATTCATTCCGTTTGCATGGTTCCGAACCTCTTTTTTTGTTTTGACACATACCATGCATTTGTGGCAGATGGGCTAGGACCTGTGCTGCTAGCCACCACCACTTGTGTTTCGTGGGCAATCCCTTGTCAGTTTGGATTTGCGCTGAACGAGTCACAGGAAGGCCCATACGAATGAACACCCTCGATGGCTGGACATAAATCCCCATGAACATGGGTTTGTCTTAGAATAGGGTACCCCCAAAAACTTATAGAATAATATATGCATGGTGTCCTTTGGTTTCCCTGGAAACCAACCCTCAAACAAAAAAGTACCCGCAGCAAAAGGAGAGACCACATGACCAACGTTCGGCGCCTTCCAGCACTTTTCCCTCGCAGGTTCGTGCACGGCAGGTCGGCCAGGCTGGGATTGATGGGCATGAGATGGAATGAGGAACCCCCCGCCCCCCCCCCAAAAAAAAACGAAGAAAATGGAGGGAAAGAGGACCCCCCCAAATAAAAAAAGAAAGACATAGGGGGGGACACCTAAAACGAAGGTTGGGCGGTTTCCTGCCGGTTTTCCTCTAAACCAATCCCTGGCCTTGGCCCGGGGGTTGTCCGTCCGCGCTTCCAGGCCAGCCACTGTCCTTGACGCAGGGCGCTCAGCGGTTTGTTTTGGTCAGAGCCCGAGCCGCGCGAAGTCGCACGGCCCGAGGATGGGACGGAGGCCTACAACGTCCTGGATGGGAACTTGGCCACTCTTGTGCCGAGCTCAGCCGGAGCTTCACCGGATCACTCCAGATATGTAGGGTTAATTCGGGAAAAACCTGGTGCCACTGAAGTGTAAGCTCCAGGGTGACGAGTCCTAATTCGCCCGTGTCCATCAAGATTGCACACTTTCACCATGTCTCACGTCGCTCGCGGCGTTGCAGTCGAAAAATCGCGAGGCTCAGCCAGACGGAGGCTTCAGCGCAGACTACCCTGCAATGCAACAGGCCATGAGCAGAAAGCCCTTGGTGGCACAGATGAGCGGCCTTGCAGAAATTCAGCGGCCAACAAGGAGTCCTACACTACCCCAAAAATGTCAAACAAAGTGAGAGGTTGTAAATGTTTCCGTCTTTTGATTTTCTTGGAGTGTACTCAGGTGATGTAGGGTACATACCCCGTATACCGTATATGTATATTAGTGTACCTTTACTTCGAGTAACGAAGTATGTGTCTGAACCAGAATCATGAGAGGGACTTCGAATCTGCCTGTCAGGTTCTGTTTTCGACTATGCTGATGCTCATTCCTGCATCGATGACGATGAATACACGCGCTGCAGCACTGCGTGGAACGAAGGCGCGCTAGTTTAGTGCAGGCAACAAATTTCTGTTGCTAGGGACTCAGAATGGAGAGGCAACAACTCCCACAAAAAAAATTGAATTGAAGACCTTCGATGGCCCCCCCTCCGAAAAGGTTCTAAGAACCATTCGTTGCTTTTAGGGCTTGACACAATCTTGCCGGTGACGTTTTCTTGCAACAGGCATTCTTTTATGTAAGTGATTCCATTTACCTGTAGAGGTAACCAAAGGGTGTCCCACCCAAAATGAAAAATAAAAGGAACTTGTGCATTCCCTATTTCTGTTGGCAAAACGTTTGGGATCCACATGATGCTTGTTTTGTTCGGAGTCCTAGGGAAGTCTCGGCTCCTGTTTCTGTGACTTGTCAGGGCTTGTTTCCTTGCTGATGCGCTTACTAGAAACCTTTACCTTGCTCAATCGCTTCCTGCTGGCGAGATGCCTCGGTACCACGTTTTAAGGATAAGCTCAAGAAGGATAAACTCAAGATGGTGTTTGATCTTGCAAAGGCAAGCATACCAGGCAAGTCTGTGTCTACCACAAAAGCTACAACCTCTTGGCTCCAGCCCACTCGTATCAACCGGACGCGTTTTCCACCTCACTCAACTTCCCGCCGTCGTATCAGGCGCTGGGGAGCTGAACCCCTGGTGGCAGCTGGACCTGGGAGATCGCCAGGCGAAGCCCAAGGGAATGATGGGATTTCCCCCCTGTAACCATTTGGAAGTCACAAAACCCCAACGAAAACAGAAACCCTGACCTGGAGTCCAATCATTCCAAGATCAACCGCCCTGAGAAACCCAAGAGTTTCTGATTGGATCCCCCCAAGGTAACTACCACAACCAAAAAAGGTTGTGGTTTCAATACCATGGTTTGATGGCAGGGAGCCAACAGGTCCATGCACCGCCCGCTTCTTGGGGCTCCCTGTTTGGAGAAGCTTTCTGAAGGCTAAAGGTGGCAAGTTAGCCGGGAGAAGCTGTTCCATGCAGATTGCCAATTGGAGCGTCTTTCTGTCAAGACCTGCACTTCCAGGAGTGGAAAGAGGGCAGGTCATGCCTGTTTACACTTGATGTACACTGGGCATAACATATCACCTAGAGAGTTGAACTGCAAGAAGACCATAGACAGCTTGAGATGGATTTTGAAGCCGACTCGGCTCGCCTCATGGGCAAGCCGCAAGCCTCGCCAGTACGTGGACATTGTGGCCCTTCTCAGCCATCCAGACGGTCACGCTGCAGCAGGTCAATAGGAAGCTGCATCTACCACGAATGACATCGGTTCCGGTAGAAAACCCCCAACTCGCTATGGGAAATGGAGGTTCACCAAGATCCAACTTCACTTGGGCGCACAATAGATCTTGACCCTTGCTGTGCGAACTGAGCTCAGAGTGCTTTGATGTGGGGTTTGCCCATCCGAGGTTGCGAAGCAGCGTGGGGTGTGGATTCGGGGGACAAGTGCGACCTTGCTGGAGCTGTGGTGAGCGTTGGCGATTCCCCATGCAAAGGCAGGCCTCTGACGAAATGGCAAGGTGATTCAGCAGAACACTCTGCAGACTACCCTCCCACCAATTCCCATGGAACCGTCAGGGTCCTCGAAGACAATTTTCCTTTGAAAGGGACCTTTGTCAGGTTTCATTTTAGTTCGTGGAAAGGCAGTTGATGGACAAATCTCCACGAAAATGATGTAAAGGCTCCTCTTAATTGAGCGAGCACAAGCGGAATGCAGGCGACACCTGTCCCGGCGAGCCCTGCGGCAACGTAAAGATCAAGGGCAAGGACAACTGGTATTATGTCGCACGGCTCTGGATCTAGGGTCATGTTACGACGGTTTCAGGGGGGTCGACGTCAGACACTTGGGTTGCTTCCCCTTGGACCCACTACTTGGGCCATTGCGGGACTTGGAGAGTGGTATAGTGAAGGGGCCAAACATACATTGCTCCATCCTGGCGGGAGGGGGAGTACTCGGAAGATAAGCGCTGTGTATGTCCAGGAACCCAACATACCTTTTGAACATGCCCCAATGCTATGAAATTCCTCATTTGAGGGGCATGCTCAAAAGGTGTGGAGGGTTCTCAAATTCGAGCCCCGAGGCCCTGGTTCCTTGTGATTGTTCAGGTCTACTGCGAGAAGAAGTTGGGGCGCTACATTCACGTGCAGCAGCTCGGCCAGCGAGTTCTGAACTTCCGCGAGTTTCGGCTTCTCGACGAGGCGGGATTGCGGCGAGTTGAGTACCTGGTTCAGCACCCCCTGTAAACTCTTCGCATGGTGGCAAGACATATTTTCTGAGCCTGCAATCGCCTCACAAGCGTTCGCTTGTGAGGCGTGCCACAAAAAAGAGCGTGCAACGATTTGGGGTTAGGTGTCGGTGTCGCGTCTCCATTTGAGCAGATTTTTTGGTGATGGCAGCAAAGGGGCAAAAGGAGAGTAGACAGGCCTCGCACTGCTGGCTGAACGTTGCAGTCTAAGGGGAGCTTTCTGACAGCTTTTTTCAAGGAGATCAGCCGATTTTCGCATCGGCTCAACGTAGGCCCCTAGTAGGCATTCGCATAGGCTGTAGCCCAGTTTCACCTCCGCCCCCCTTTACTGGCTCATGTTTGGAATGCGCCAGATACTAGACGTCGAGCGTCAGGGAATGCAAAACAAAAATGCTGCAAAGACGAAAACACAATTCAAAAAGGGAACTCGGGCTTTTGTGGCATTGATCATTGGGCCTGTAACAATTTCCAATCCACTGCTTGGGCTTGGACGCTCATTCACTTAAAAGTGCACGCCCCGGAAAACGTGAGTTGCAGCTCTTGAACAGTCTGCTTTTGTGAAGCCACTCTTTTTTTGCCGCGCGGAAGTGTTGCACCTGCTTGGATTCCATTCTGTTCTCTGTTGATTCCCTGCTGAGCACCAGCAAGATGCTTGATTCATGCCAGGATGCTGTGAAGGATATGAACTTGCCAGAGCCTGAACAGAAGCCGCCCATGGACTTTTTCGTGCCGAGGATGCACTGGTGGGTCTTAGTGCCATGATGACCCGGGTAAAAGTCCGTCCTGTCAATTTGGGGGCGTTCCCCTCCAAAAGTGATGAACCCCCCGCCACACAAAGTGGACACCCCCTACTACGCCCCATTCGTCAACCAAGGGTTATTCATCCGTGTGCCCGTGAGAAGAGAGCGCAAAGAAACCAGGAAGGATGCACGACTTCTTGACAAGACCTGAGGATAAGAGGAGTCGAGGCGGCTATTACGACACTAGATGCCACGAGAAGCGAAGCTGCATTCATCGATATTGCCACACCAAATAGGGGTTAGGCATGGTGAATCAAAAGTCCCTTGACATGGGGCGTTCATGGAAACCACCATATTCCGGACTTCCCATGTTCAAAAGCTAGCCATGGTTATTTAGGCGCCCAAGAATATTGATCATCCACGCAGAATCATGAAGCGCCTTGGGCTCGCAGGAAAAGAAATACATGCAATCGCGAGCTGAGGAATTTGGCCAGCACCATCCGCGGCTCCAGCTGGAACTTGAGGCTTGCCTTTGTGCAGTGTTGCATCTCTTGGCCCCTAAGGTCCAGAGCAGCTGGGCAAGTGCGCGCAAGCTTGCCGGGAGCCAAAGAGTTCGTGGGTCGTCAAAGCGTCTCACGGTGGCAAAAAACTATCAGGTCTGGACCACTCGGATTGCGGTGGCTTTGCGGACTACAGCGGCCTGGCATGCGTGCGCTCCTCATTGTTACGTTGTCGCTGCCTGCATGGAGCACTGGAGCCTCCAAATCAGAGGAGCTGACAAGCCTTTTTGTCTTAGGACACCTGAGCTACTACAAGCTTTTGTATCAGTAGTTGCTTGACGGACATTTGATGTTTGATCTCCTTGCTGCCAAGGTGATCATGACCAAGTCCAAGCTTACCCTTGAGCGCAGATGTCAATGGACGGACATTTGGCCTTGATATCGACTCATGACACCAGCTCCGTGCCGCGCAAAGGCCAAGTCAGTTCGGCACTGAGGACGATGACAAAGCTGTATACTATGATCGCCTGGAGGAGGCGACGTGTTTAGTTCAGGACTGCAGCCGTGCGGCGCCCCCCAGTTGATAATGATTCCTTTTGGTTCGCCACCCAAAAACGGGTATCACCAAAGACACCCATACACACCCAACCTCTTAACTCCCCCCCCTTCCCCCCCGCGGCTACTCATTTGGAAAGAGGATAGCAGGTGCCAGGCTCCGTTTTCCCTTCCGCTAGGCGCTGTTTACAGCGACCACGACCACTACAACCAGAGCCCCTTGCCCAAGGGTTCGGTCAAAACATCCATGGCTGGTCCATGGGAGAAAGTGGGAGTCGAGTGTCAGTAGCGCACGATCTTTCCAACAAAATACCGGGGGACTCACTCATGTCTCACGAATACCGGGAACCGCTTCGACACTAATCGCGCGAAGGGCTTCGTTTACACGGCTTCTCCGATAGCTGAGGTTGAAACAACGGTGGTCCGACTCTAAGATCTGCAAGTTGCCCAAGTGCTTGCTGGGTGTGTCCTTGTTTTTGAGGGTGTCCCTTTTTTGGTTTTCAATGAAATCCAAAAGGAACACATTTTCTGGTTTTGTAAGGGGGGGAGTGGAAGGTCCCTGAAAAAAGACACACCCAACTGCTTTGCCCGAGGTGGACAATGGGTGGGAAGGTAGTGCCAACAGCGGTACCCTCGCGGCCAAACTGATCTTGGCGCTGGGCTCGGAGTTGATTTGGCGTGTCTCGAAAGGGTCCGGCAAAACGGCCATGTCCTTTCCAGCGCTCCCCAATTGCTTTTCCCATGTCCAACATCAAGTCCAGAAAGCGGTGGTTGGGGGGTGCACCAAGTTGAAAACAGTCCAATTGGCTCTCAGATTTGCTCGGGAAGCACCTGTGCGTGTGTTCGCGCGCTATGCAAGGATCTCGGGCAGCAAAACTACTTGACCGAGCAGCCTGTCCAAAACTTCCAAGTCGGCACGTGCAAGCGAAAGCAAGATAGTTTGGGGGTTAGAACGAATTTGCTTAGCTTTGTTCCGGGTCTGGGAGTACTCGGTGCATGAGGCTTCGTGGCAGCCAGCCTTGTTGCCAGGGTCAAGGGTTGATCTTTGAAGGGCCTTACATAACGAAACTAGTGAAATAATTTTGGGATCTGCAAGGAGAATGGGAATCACAGTTGTGATGAGCTCAGTCGAAAGGACCTTGGTCTGTCCTTCTTTTGGGGATCCGTTTTTAGTTTTAAGGGGAAACCAAAGGGAAACCACCCATTTTGGGGGTAAACACGACGAGCGCACCCATGTCTCATGTCTCAGCTGAGGTATGCCTTGGTGTCTGGCTCCGGACCTGCCGAGAATCATCCAAAGAAATGGAGACTTGGCATAGCAGAAGAAATAGGGGACAGAATTCATTTCGCAACGCTTGGGATACCCAGACACTCCATGCATATTCTCACCCCCCATTGGCCACCTCCAAATGTACCATGAAAAATGTATGTTGGTATACATTGATAAGATCTCCTGCACCACTTGGGATAGATAAAGCCCGTTAAACAAGAGGATGCACCGATAAAAACGGGAAAACCGATGCCGGATTTTGCTCATCCACAGTGGGCCTGCCCGTAGCTGTTCAACCAACCCCAGGCCTAAGAAGTTTGAAGGCACGTGCAAAACCACTGGGCAGAACATGGCAGAACATGAGCTATGGAAATTCCGACTCGGCTCCATTTGGCAGAATCGACACGTGAACGCATCACGATCTGTGCAGTTTTCCAACATGCGCTAACTGTGTGTGTTGCTGAGAAGACAGCCCTGTGTGCAAGCCAACGTTGCATTCCTGAGGATCCTTAAGGGATCCAACGATCCAGTACTTCCCATTGAAGAGTGGGACGAGCTAAGCCACTTGGCGCATGAGACGAGAGCAACGATGCAAGCGGTTTTGCTATGAAGCTTGTGTGGGTACCAGGGCACTCGTGTGAGACAACAATTGAAAATCAAACAGCTTGGACAAGTTTAGTCTTAAGGGATTACATGTTGCACAATGATGGGCACTCAGGGAGCATGCATGCAGGCAGACGCGACTCGGAAGAGCCTGTGCTCATGCCTCAGACGGTCTTTTTTGAGTCTCGAAGATCAGCCTGTCTGCTCTCTCTGCAGGTTCCCCCCGGGAAAGAGCGGGCAAAGAAAGCCGATTCGACTCTCCATATCATGCACAATGTGAGCTTGTCCAGCAAGCTGAATGCGAAGCGTTGGTGATCCAACGTCGAACGTGGTCAGAGGCCAAGGCAACAAAATGCAGCGGCTTAGGGGTTTGCTGCCAGCGTGGACTCATCTAGGGTCATGGATGTGCGAATCGCTATGATGTCATCTCAAGTTTCCCTGAGGTGGTACCCCAATGAATTGGGCATGAGGCTTCCACCATAGGTTTTAGCAGCAGGGTTGGATCAGATGACAGGTGTGCCACCTACGGTGTTGCTCTGAATGCCAGATTCATGCTCGCTTTGGCTTCAGGACAATTGCTCCTTTGTGGTAGGCATAGCTTCTCCAAGTTTTGCGCAAGTAGTGCTTTGTGTCCGAAGCCATGCCGAACTTCACTGTGGACCAGATGAGGACCATCATGGATAAGACGGACAACATCCGCTCCATGATCCGTTGCAAGACTTCAGCATGACTTGTTGCCTTCAGGTTGCTTCCTCATGTGGGTGTGTCTCAAAATTGAGGTCCGATATTTTGAGACACCCCCATGTTCCCATTCACCAAGCAGAATGTCGACCCATGCAACAAGCAGATTTTCAGAATGTTTGTCTAAGTCGCCCAGGAGTGTCATCGCGCACGTAGATCATGGGAAGTCCACTTTGACCGACTCCTTGATTTGCAAAGCGGGCATCATCTCGGCCAAAGCCGCGGGCGATGCGCGATTCACGGACACCAGGGCGGATGAGCAAGAGCGAGGTGGGGGTTGATCAACAGTTCCTTTAGACCATGGGGGGAAACCACCAAAAACATGATGATTTCCCCTAAATGGAAACATGTTGCTTGCGCATGGTCACTTGGGGGCCCTAAGTGGAATATTGATCAACCCCCAGGCGTGACCATCAAGAGCACGGGCGTGTCCCTGTACTTCGAGCATGAAGATGATGACAGCCAGGGACCTAAGCCCCACCTCATCAACTTGACTCTTGGCCCAAAGCGCATCGAACTGCTTACCTTTTGGCTTTCCAGTTTCGAGCCATTTGTTGCAAAGGTCCCAAAAGTTCGCAAAAGTGTGCAGCTGGGTTCAGCTTGCATGTTTGTTCCATTGTTGGGTCTATAGGTTTAGTCCCAAAGGGTGATCGACCTGGCTGTGGGTCAAAAATATGGTTACCCCAAAACGGGTTGCCCTGGTACGATTAGCCGCCGAAACCCGCAGTCCACATCCTTTATTCTTGTCCCATGCCTTTTCCAGCCCAAATGGCTGTGGGTCAACAATATGTACCCAAAATGGAATCCTGGTAACTGGCATGGACTAAAACCTGCGGTCCAATTCCTGGTGGTTTAATTTGGACTACCCAAATCTGAGGATCGACTCGCCGGGTCACGTGGACTTCTCCTCGGAGGTGACGGCAGCGTTGCGCATCACCGACGGGGCCATGGTGGTGGTGGACTGCATCGAAGGCTGCGCCGTGCAGACCGAGACGGTGCTGCGACAGGCTCTGCAGGAGCGGGTCTGAGGTGTTTAATGGAACCGAACCCGGAAAAGCAACACATCAAGAACCAGCACCCCCCCCAACAACTGCTTGCGTTTTGAACCATGTCCAAAATCCCAAGTCCGAAAAGCAGTGGTTGGGGTCTGCTGCAAAGCTTTCTTGCCATTTGCTAGTTGAAAAAGACGTAGAAAGGCACATCCCACAACCGGGTTGCAAGATTGTCACGTGCAGGAGCGAGTGAGGCCATGCCTCTTCGTGAACAAGGTGGACCGCTGCATCCTGGAGCTCCAGATGGAAGCTGAGGACATGTACTCGCGCTTCCGACAAGCCATCGAGAACGTGAACGTCATCATCGCCACCTACAACGATGCTTTGATGGGTGACGTGCAGGTTCGGCCATGGCGTCGAAAATCAGGGTAAGAAAGATCCCACCGAAAAATGGACTTCCCGTTCGGTTCCCTTATCCTGAAGGGTACCTTTTTGCCCGAACAAACTCGCAACACCCAAAATGAATGCTCCGCTTCTTGTTTTTGTTTGGAGGGGGGGCTTCTTGGATTTGTTGAATACGTGTTTTTGGGGGGTGCTGTAAATTGGGTTCTTGTAGAAGGGTCCCCTTTAACCTTCGAACCGCCAATCCAAACAGGCAAGTGGGTGTTTCTCGAAATGAGGGACCCCTCCAGGTTTCTTGTTGGTTTGCCTTTAAAGCCATCCACAAAGGGTTCCCTCATTTTCCGCCAAACCAAACCAGAAACCACCAAACCACCAACCAAACCACCTCAAACCAAGCCAATTGGAGTGGGTTGCCTTGTTTTAACCAAACCACAAACCACCTAAAACCCCACCAACCATCAAATTAAAAACCAAGCCACCAAGCCACCCAACCACTTTAAACCCACCCGCCCAACCACCTGCTTTCCCACGTGCGTTCCACCGCCTTCCGCGTGTGGGCGTGCCTTCGTGCACCCGGGGGCGGGCGTTCCGCGAGGTGACGCCGGAGAAGGGCACCGTGGCCTTCGGCTCCGGGCTCCACGGGTGGGGCTTCACCACGGAGCGCTTCGCCAAGATCTACGCCACCAAGATGGGCGTGGAGAAGGCCCGACACCGCCGTTGTTTTGATTTTTTGGTTTTTGTTTGTTCTTTTTTTTAATAAAACAAATGTTCAACACCGTTTTTCCTCGAGGTGGCTGTGGGTCAAAAAAAAGGTACCCAAAATGGACCCTGGCAAATGGAACCAAAGACTAAGACCTGCCGTCTCCCGGTGGATACATTTTGACCCATACCCAGGTATGCGGGGTTTTGGGCTGGCCTGAAGGGAACCTACAAAGGAAGTACCGAGAACATCTTGAAGGTTGTCCATTTCCCTAATTTACGGAGGGAACCCCCAAGAAACCCACCGGAACTCCTTTTGGGGTGCCTGGATGGTCGGGTTTGTTGAGCATCTTAGTTTTAGGGCTAGCCTTAAAGGGAACCTTCAAAGGAAGCCAACGACCAGTTCAATAGAAACCACCAGCGAATGGCGCAAAATCGAAGGACATCCGGGCGGGTTCCATGTTTGGGTGTTTCTTCTCGTCCATTTCCCGACAGATTCACAGAAGGAACCCCCAAGAACGACATCTCGGATGACAGCGGGGGTTCCATGTCTGCCCAATCCCTAATTCACGGAGGGAACCCCCCAAGAAACCCACCAACATGTGTAGAGGAAACTCCTCTTGGGCTGCCTGGGTGGTCGGTCTTGTTTGGTTTTGGGGCTAGCCTGAAAGGGAACCTTAAAAGGAAACCAAGACCCGATTCAATGGAAACCACCGGTGACTGGCAGAAATCCAGTGATCTGTGAAGAAGATCACATTTCCCTTTTGGGGGGTCACCCTTTTTGAGTGGGAAGGCTATGTTGGGTTTCCGTCCATTTCCCCAAATTCACGGAAGAACCCCCCAAGAAACCCAACAAAACGTGCAGAGAAAACTCCTTTGGATCGACTTTTGAACAGGGGTACCATGATTGGGTTGGTTTTAAAGGGAATCCCAAAAGGAAACCACCAGTTTGGTGGCCCCATTTTGAGACAGTTCCATGTCCCTTTTCCCCTCAGTTGCCCAAAACCAGCCTGAAATGACCTTTCAGTTTGCCCCTGAACCATTTTCAGTTTCTCAAAGGTTCACCCTCATTTCTTTTTCCCTTGGGGCAACTGAGTTTGCCTTTTTGGAGCCTCTCAAGGTGGTTGGCAGTTTCAATAGAAACCACCAGTGAGTGGATCAACTTGAGGGGAGAAATCCAGTGACCCCGCAAGGAGAAGATGATGCAGCGCAGCTCGGACGGAACTCCCAGTTCTGCTCTAGGCAGCCAGCTCCCCATGGATCCCAGGCATTTCGCGCCCCTTCCATTCGCTGAAATGAATACGTGCCTTTAATTGTCCCCCGTGGCATGTTGAAAGGAATCCATCACTATACCGGAAATATGCACATTTTTTCCAGGGACTGCAAATGAAAGTTGCCCAGTGGATCCCAGTTGCCAGGCACTGTAGCAGTCAAGCCCTCGAATCATGTGTCTTTTGGTTTTAAAAGGCTGGTTCGCTTGGTTTGCCTAGTACAAAGCTAGATGGAATCACCGGGTGGAACTTGGTGTCTTTTGTCGAGGCGCGGTACAGCCTTCCTGGGTTAAGGAATCAAGAGGAACCCTGAACTCCCTTTTGATGGTAACCCTATTCTGACATGGAGTGTATAAGGCTGTAGGGTACAAACATTCCACTCGTGGTTCCCATCAAATGGATTCACCGAGGCATGTGGGGAGACTCCTTCTTCAATGCCAAGAAGAAGGTGTGGACCAACGTGATGCAGCCGGAGGGCTGCACTGAGCCCCTGCAGCGGGCTTTCTGCCAGTTCATCATGGGCCCCATCAATCAGCTGATGCGCGCCATCATGAACGACGACAAGGAGACTCCTTCGGGGCTGTGGGATCGCAAGGGGTGTCGCAAGCCACTGTGATACTCTTGCAGATCTTCCTGCCTTATAAGGGGCTAGTCTTTGGGAATCCCTTTCTGTTGTATCACCGAAGTCGTCGTTTCCCATGAGGAGAAGTACGAGAAGATGATGGGCACCTTGGGTATCGTGCTGAAGGGCGACGAGAAGTCTTTGACTGGCAAGCCCCTGATGAAGCGAACCATGCAGATCTGGATCAATGCCGCGGACACCCTGCTGGGCATGATCGTGACCAAGCTGCCCTCCCCCCGGCAGGCCCAGAAGTACCGCGTGGAGAACTTGTACGAGGGTCCCATGGACGATGCGGCGGCCAACGGCATCCGCAGCTGCGATCCTGCAGGCCTCATAAAGCGGCCTGAAGGGAAACCACCGACCCGTGTTTGTCACCCCGGAAGTGGTAGGAAACCCCGACCGTATGTCTGGCTTTGACACCCTCCCGCCCCCCCGGTGGATCCCAGGCGACATTGTAGGCAACCCACAATTGTTCTTTTGGTGTTTCTGTTTTGGGAAACCCCTGTGGTGTCCTGCCTTTACCAGGCTGGCATGGAATCACTGGCCCCAGAATTATTTATGGTCATTTGGTTGGACCATTGGATCCTTGGACTTGATTTTTTCATGGACCCACAAAAATTGCAGCAAACAACTTTTATCGCAGAGAGGGGTCTTGTTTCAGCGACCCCCTCTTCCTCCTGGGTTGACAGGGGTCTTTTCCAGCAACCCCCCCAACCCCAAACCGTTGGACAGGGCCACTGATGATGTACGTCTCGAAGATGGTGCCCACCTCCGACAAGGGCCGCTTCTACGCCTTCGGCCGGGTCTTCTCCGGCACCATCGCCACGGGGCAGAAGGTGCGAATCCAGGGGCCCTACTACAAGCCTGGGACCAAGGAGGACCTGCACGTGACTCGCACCAAAGAGCCAAGCGAGAGAGCTGTTGACCGGATTTGTTTTGTGGTTTCAATGGCTTGGTAAATATGGCCAAGATGCCGAGAAAAGGTGATGGCCTTGTTGGGCTGTTCCCATTTTTTGTCATGGCCCCCCAAAAGTAATCAGCGCGTATTTTCAAGTCCTTGGGACCTGCAAGGTAAAGAACATCCAGCGGACCGTCTTGATGATGGGCCGCACCACCGAGCAGATCCAGGATGTGCCTTGCGGCAACACCGTGGCCCTGGTTGGCGTGGACCAGTACATCCTGAAGTCCGGAACCATCACCAACCTGGAGGCCAATTTGGGTCTATCGTTCTTAAGTTGGCACCCTTGGGTTGGGGTCATAGGGGCACTCCGAAGCCAGATATCTTGGGGTGGGGTGCCCTGTCTGCCCCTTTTTTGACTTGGCGTTCCGTTTGGGTTTTGGAAGGAAACTCCAAAGGAAGCCAGCTCTATGTTGACGCAAAGCATGTGTTTTCTCTCGGGAATTCCAATTGTCGACTCGAACATCGAAGCCCAAGACTTGACCCCAACATTTAAACCGGGAGGGGGGGGCTTTTGTCAGGATCAACCTTAAAAATGCTGGTTCGCCTTGTGGTTTGCCTTCAACAGCAACCAAAAAGGGCTTCTCTCACGAGCCGATCACAAGCCAGGACGCACACAACATCGCGGACATGAAGTACAGCGTGAGTCCGGTGGTGAAGGTGGCTGTGAAGGCCAAGGACGGCAAGGACCTGCCCAAGTGACTCAGCGAAGGACCGTTTGAAGGCATTTGTTCGAAGGCTCACCCCAAAGCGAATCGACCGCATCTGTCAAACATGGGTTTCCCATGTTGGTCCATACTCTGTAAAGGTTCCAAAAGATTTAAGTTGTTTCAGGTTCTTTGGACAGGTGAGTTCGATTTCCTGCATCTTCCCCTCAACCAGCAAAATGCCCAAGAAGTTAAGGATTTCCTCCATTTTTACCCTGAAAAGGGGAAGAAACAAAAACCGGCCACCAGCATTCCACGTCGAATACCTCAACGGGCGGGGTGCTTCAACAAATAATCCCACGGAATTCTTATTTACTTCGGATGTGCCAGGCTGGTTTTTTGGCCGTACCTTCAAATGAGGTCCATCCAAAATACTTTTATCCAAAAAAGGGCAAGGTGCAACCTGTTTCACCAGTCATATATTTCCAACAGTCTCAGCAAAAACTAAGTTCCCACTGCAGGGTTCCATCTTTGGATTACGTCTAGGTAGACTTAAACCCAGGAATGTTGCCTTTGGGGGACTCAACCACTGGGTTCAAGTCTAAGTGGGAGGTCAACAAATGGATCACCCTGTCCCACGTTGTTTTTTGTTTGTGTGTTGATTGATCCGGATGGGTGGATAACGTCTTGTTTAAGGTTAGCCAAGAACCATAGTTTCTGTGTTCAACTTGTTTCCCTGGAAAAACCCACTAAAAAAGAAGTCCCAAGCACCCCCCCCCCCCCACAAAAAGAAGGAGGAAAGAAGCAAAGCCGCCAGCATGGCTTCGGTGTTCAACTGGTTTCCCTTGAGCAAAAATCGGGGGGGTGGGTGAAAACACCCTTCGCCTCCTGAAACGAGCCAGCCGATAGAATTTGAGGCTCGCCTCCGAACCAGCCACATCCCCCCGCTTTTCCCCGCCCCGGCAACCCCCGCCTGGAGACTTGGAGGCTGGTGGAGGGCCTGAAGAAACTCTCCAAGTCGGACCCGCTGGTGGTCTGCACCACCGAGGAGAGCGGCGAGCACGTCATCGCCGGCTGCGGGGAGCTCCACGTGGAGATCTGCTTGAAGGCGCCGCCCAACGGGGGGAAGCGGGGGACGCCCCGGCCACGCGCCGCCCAAGGGCAGAGACTGTGGTAGACTTCGGATAGATTTCACATTTTACATTTGAGTGACTCAAAGTGAAGCAAGCAATATAATATACGTTCTATAACTGGGCCTAACTCTGAGACACAAAGAACTGCTAGGCTGGTGAGCGGTTGCAAGTGTGCATGGGAATATGGTGTGCCATGGTGTGCCAAACAACTCTAGGTGGGTGTGTCATTTGGTTGGCTTGTACCCACGAAAATGGCTGGTGGAAGTAGCGCGCCATGGGAATATGGTGGTTCTTTTGGTTTTAGGTTGGACCTACAGAAATGGCTGGCGATGTTGTTGGAGGTGTCCTGGTCACAACACAAACAAGGGTACCAACTCCAAACATGTGCCACATGTTGGTATGCATTGCCATGGAGTATGTGGGAGAGGTATGTGTCAAATTTGGGGGAACCTTCCCCAAACATGTGGGTGTGTTTTGGACATTTTGAATGGGTTTCCCAAGCCAACCCAAGAAAGGAAAAAACACTCAGTGATTACTCTCGGTGTCCATTTGAGGCACCAACACATAGTGTGTGCTTGTTTATTTCTTCGATGTTCTACTTCTGCTGTCCCTTGAAGCCGCCAAACAAAGGTGTTTTGTTCCTTGCTCAATGATTTCCCCCAAGCAAACAGCTTTCGTTGTTTAAATGTTGGTTTGGGCGAGGACCTCGTGGTTTGAGATGATCCTCCAATAAAGCACTCGTGTGTTGACTACCCCCCCCCCCCAGAAAAGAAACAAGAACACCTCAAAAAACAAATAAATGAATAAACAAGACAACATGTGTCCGTTATTGTTGGTTAAAAAACCCAAACACGAAACGACATTTGTCCGATGGAACTGCAGGATTTGAGGGACGAGTACGCCCAGTGCGACTTCATCGTCTCGGACCCCGTGGTGTCCTACCGCGAGACCGTGAGCGAGCAGAGCGGGCAGACCTGCCTGGCGAAGTCCCCCAACAAGCACAACCGCGCCTCGGCCAGCGGTAAAACGGGATCAAAGGAGCCGAGCAAAGGGGTGTCTTAAAATCTTCCATTTGCTTAAGAACAAGTTTGATTTTTGCCTCTTGGCTTTTAAGGGAATCTATCACTACTGGACATATTTTCATTTGTTCAAGGAGACTTAAGCAAACGGAGGAAACGGGAGCCCTCCTCACTCGTTGAGTTTACGGATTTCGATTTTTGGATTTGGACCATTTTAGTGGTAAATGGAAAGTTCAGACGTTTTCTGGCCAAGATCTTCCTTGAAAGCAAGCCCAAGGGTATCCTCCAAGCCAGACCCATAGATTCTTGGCCATTCACTTGGCAACCACGGTCAGGGCTTCCTCCATTCTCTTGAAGCTCCGAAAGTGTTGTGCAATGTAAATGGCAACCAACAGTCAATGGATAAACTTTGAAATGACCTCTGTGGGTTCCCAGCAAGGTCTTCCTTAAAATTACCTTCAAGGGTATCCTCAAATCAAGATCCGTTTACTTGGCGATTCGGTTTTTGGCGTGCACGAATCCCCCCAGAGAGACCTCGTGCCAAATGTTTTTCCATTAAACCTACGAAAGGGAAGACCTGCTGCTCAAGAGGGAGTAGTACGGACCAAAGCACCAAGTTTCGTTTCACGCCCTTTTGCTTGGCTCCTTGCCCTAAGTCTTTTCCTTGCCCAGTGAATCCCAGGCAAACCACCACAGTAGCTCACCAGCATGCTTCCTCTGATTTTTCTGGGTGGGAAACCCCACCCCCTCCCCCACCCCCACTTCACTCCTGGATCCGTAGGCATCTACCTGGTGGCGGAGCCCATGGACGAGGAGCTGAACAAGGCCATCGAGGAGGGAACCGTGGGGCCCAAGACGGACCCCAAGGAGCGCGCCAAGATCCTGACCGAGAAGTTCGACTGGGATAAGCAGGCGGCTCCACGGGGCGGAACTGACGAAGGGCGGATGGAGTGTTTGTGGAAAAACGGCGGTGAAAGGGCGGATTTGTTTGGTTTGGGGTTGGAACCCCGGGGTGGCGAAAAAAGGCCATAGGAAGCCGACAAGCCAAAATGGTTGGGGGGGTTGGCCTTTGAGACAAACCCGGGCGGGTTGATCTTTGAGACAAAATCCTATGAACCACCCGACTGGTGCAGGATTTCGTCCTTTTTCAAGAGTCCAGGTTGACCTGGTGTGTTTTTGTGTTTTTCTTTTAGAACACGTAAACAAATGGTGTGGCTAGAATTGGATCGGGTAGCTTGCTTTTTTGCCTTGTTTTGCTTTGGGGGCGCCAAAGCAACACTGAAGCAATGCCTTCCGGCCCCCTTTTGGTCCCAACTTGCCTACTTTGTATCCAACCATGCCACCAAAATCCGTGTGTGTAGCCAAAAAAAGCCGTGGTTTCCGTGTTTGCAACCCAAAAAGCCGTGGTTGGCTCGCGCCCGGCGGGTTGTGGGGGCCTTGGCATGTTTGGCATCAGGTGGCCCAGACCAAGATCTGGTGCTACGGCCCTGAGACGGACGGCGCCAACCTGGTGGTGGACTCCACCGTGGGCGTGCAGTACCTCATCGAGATCAAGGAGAGTTGGGCCATGTTGGGCCATGTTGGGCTTGGACGATGTTTTTCTCCTTTGACTGGGGCCTTGGTTTTTGTGGTTTTTCGGGTAAACTGAGTGTTGCATCATTTGGATCATGTTCAACTTGGACGATTTTGCCCTTTGAAGACTATTTCTCGAGTGGGTTCAGAGATGGCCATGTTGGGCCGGTCGGCCTGGACGATTTTTTCCCTTTGACTGGGGCCATGTTTTTGGGGTGGGGGGAGTGTGGGATCATTTGGATCATGTTCAACTTGGACGTTTTGTCCCTTTGAAGACCATTTCTCGAGGTGCAAAGTCTCTTGAGATGAGGCTGCCGCCTTTTGACTGTACAGATGGAGTTGCCATTTTAACACCTGGCGTTGTGTTTTTTCTTTGAATGGGACCATTTCTCGTGTGGAATCAGTGTTGGACAGCAGGGCAACCAAACGTGACGGACCTCTTGTTGACTTGTTTGACTTCTTTTCTCTTTCTTTTTTTTTTAGCAAAACCCGTTTTGGCTCCTTTTGTGATATCATTTAAACCACGGGTTGTTCAACCAAGGGTTGAACCGCCCAAATCGTGTGTGAACAGCCAGACACGGGGTTCCATTTTTGAGTAGACTTAGACCCAGCTTCCCTACGCAAATCAATCATGGGGTTTCAGCCTTAGGGTATGACGTGGAACATACCCTGACCAGACCCCGAAAGTGGCGCTGTCGAAACAGCATTTGTGAAAACCATGGCTAAACCAAGGGCTTGAATCGGCGGGAGATCCTGAGGAGCACGTGAACAGTGCGTTCCAGTGGGCAACCAAGGAGGGTCCGCTCTGCGAGGAGAACATGCGAGGCAATTGTTGTGTGATGAAAGGAAGACACAGAGTCTGTGGAAGGGACACCTACATAGGACAGCAGTTAACCTGTGTTTTGAATCGAAAGAGATGGCAGTCCAGGGAACCTTGAATGAGTCAGCGCAGTGTTTCAACCGTGTCATATATGCTTATGTGTTTTCAAAAACAAAGCAATAAAAGCTGCTTTGTTGGCCCAGGCATTGTAGCAGCCGCGTCATAAATAAAAGCAAAATAACTGTTTTTGGTTGAGCTAGGCATCCGCTTCAATCTGATGGATGTGACGTTGCACACGGACGCCATCCACCGCGGCGCGGGTCAGATCATGCCCCCCACCCGGCGGTGCTGCTTCGCGGCCGAGCTCACGGCGAAGCCCACGCTGCAGGACGACTGGCGCGGCGTGTGGGGCGCCCCTTGTCACCCGCGGGTTTCAAGGGAAACGACGAGGAAAAAAAGGAAGAATACGGGTTTTAGGTCGCCGTCATTTGATACACGTACTCGGAAAATGATTGTGGAAACCCTGGGTTTTGCGCTGTCATGTTCTGTGAGGCAAGAGAATTAGTTTGAATTCCCTTTTAGTTGTGGTCTATGCAGGAGCCAGTCTTCTTGGTGGAGATCACCTGCCCACAGGACCAGCTGGTGGGATGCTGGCGTGTGAGCGATTGATTCCTGAGTTTCCTTTATTCAATGGGAGCTCCATGGGTCCCCAGTCACCCAGCAGAGTCCGAGTCCTGAAAAACACCCGAGCCCGGGCACAGGAAGCCATGAGCGGGGTCTACAACTGCATGAACCTCCGCCGCGGCTGCGTTTTCGAAGAGAACCCCAGAGAGGGCACGCCCTTGATCCAGGTGGAATCTCAGAGAGTGGGTCAGGTGGGTCAGGTGGATTTCGGTTTGGCTCCCTAAGCCATCCCTGGCAGAAGCAATGGGGCTCCAATGGAAGATTACAATCCCCGGCAAAATGAGGTGCTTCTCAAAAGGGGATCCTCATTCCATTCTGAGACAGACCCAGATTCTCAAGAGGGAAGAGGGTTTCCACCACCAAAACCACTACCCACAATAACCGCAAAATCACTAAGCCTCTCCGCGTTGAGTCTTCCAAAACTGCAAGAGGTCCAAACTTCATGTTGGCTTAAAAATGGCTTCCCACAGATCGATCAGATTTGTCCGAGTTATTGGGTCAGAGTTGCCGTGCAAATCAGATGGCCTGCACCCCACCCTAGGTTTGAAAGAAGGAGGCGTCAAGCTTGAAGCTTATTCCCTGCTGCAGTTATCGAGGTGCAGGACATGAGGTGGTATGGAAAACCTGCTCGGTTTTCAAAACAATACCCCTCAAACAAGGGCAAGTTGGTATGATGTCAACCGCACAAGGTGACTGTGAACCCTGCTGGTTTTCAAACACCAGCTTTTCAAATGATCCCTAGACCTCTATGCATCTTACCTCAGAATCGTAGCTAATGTGCAAACTTAGGTCCCTTTTCCCTTCCAAGGCTCTCTTGCCGAGTTCCTGGACTCTTTTGGCCTTTGGCCCAATCCAGGAAGTGAGAGATTGGTCCCTGTCCCCCAAGAGGAGAGTCCTTTCTGCCGGTTTCGGGTACAAGCGCCGAGACGTCTGACGTGCGGCAGGTGAAGGCCCACCTCCCCGTCTCCGAGTCCTTCGGCTTTGTGGCGGCCTTGCGTCAGGCGACCAGCGGCCAGGCGCGCTTCGCGGGGCGGTGGACCCCCCCACCCGCTGCGAGAGTTGGCAGTTTTGGGGTGCTGGTGACCTGGTGGCAGCTACTGTAATTACCCAACCGGCTTTTTGTTGAAGGGAAACTGCAGGAGTCACCTGAAAAGCACCCAACATGTGGCATGGATTCTCTTTTCAAGACAACTATGTGCAGGCCTTCCCACAGTGCGTGTTTGACCACTGGGAGAACCTGCCCGGCAACCCCATGGACAAGGGCAGCAAGATGGAGGAGCTGATTTTGCAAATCCGCAAGCGCAAGAACTTGAAGGTCGAGATGCCGGCCCTCACCGATTACCTGGACAAGCTCTAAGAACAGAACAGCACAGAAAAGCCCCGCTCGGGGATGTTCGCCTGATTTTGCAGAAACAGAAAAGGAGCACAAAACAGAATTGAAGCTAGTGCGCCGAGCGTATATATGTATGTATCAAATAAATTATGTTCTAGTCTTGTTTGGCGCTTCACACATATTCAGGATATGTTTTTGTATTAATATGGTTTGGATATTTATATATAACGAATACAAAATAATTAAATTGATATAGATATAAATTAAGGAATATATAAATTGGGTATAGATAATTTATAGGAAATTATAATTATAATAAATATATATATATAATTAAGTGATATTATATATTAAAATAATATATATATATAATATGAATTGGAATTTATATTTCTATATATATTTCGATTGATAACATATTATTATTAAAACAAAAAACATGATATGGTTTCGAGGTTGTATTTTTCGTGGTATTAAATTATAATGTTTGTGGCGAACGATTATGCTTATGTTAATTCTTTTTGTTTAGTAATAAGAGTAAGGGGGACCCTTTTAATATGGGTATGTTTTATATGAAATGAATGGTTTTGCAAATTGGGAGGTTGTGAGTAATTATATGTATATATATATTTTTTGACCCCGATTTGTGTTGTAATTTTGGCTAGAAAGAAAGTATCTTATTTATTTGTATTCTGTATTGAATCGTCCCACCCTTTATTTTGGGTTAAGATAGCACAATAATGTTTATTTATTATAATAATTTAATTTAATATATATTATAGTTAAATAAATATATAATTTATTTATAAAATATAAATATATAATCTATTTTTGATTAATTATAATTAAATAAATATATAGATTATTTATGAAATATAAATATATAATTTATTTTTGATTAATACTAAGTACATAAATATATAGATTAGTTATGAAATATAAATATATAATCTATTTTTTATTAATACTAATTACAAAAAAAGGAAAAAAAAACATATTTTTTGGATCGAGATTCTCGGCCTTTTTGTGTTTGGTTTGGACCTCGTTTTCGGAGCGGGGTGATATAATTTCCGTGCCTTAAAGTGGCGTTGGGTTGTGGGTAGGCGAGATTCTATTTCCCGATTCTATTTTGTGGTTAATGTTCTCGAATATATCGATTTGAAGATTTGGATTAAATTGCCTATTATATTATAGATTGTTAATCCTTTTGCGTTAGGCTAGGCCCCCGATCACGAGATAAGGGCTGAGTCCGCTCCCATTCCTCGATATCGAGGAATTATGCTAATATGCTAGTAAAACAGAATAAATATATATGGATTATAAATCCACCTAAAAATTATATATATTTAATTAATGAAATTAATCCTAATTTTAAAACTCATAATATATAATTTATGGATAAAGAACCATATATATATTTAAATAAATATATATGAAAAAACAATCAAAATATTATTATAATATTATTTTATAAAATTTCCTCAAAATATATTCTTAATATTAAATCAATATAATTAAAAACTAATAATTAGCTAAAACATATATATATATATTTAAAACAAAAATTATATAAAAATATATATAATAATAATAATTTATAATATTTAAATATAATAATATATTATTTATGTATCATTGTAATAATATTTACTAACATTCAAATATAACCTCTCAAAACAACATTCGGTATGTAAGCAAAATTTAGTAACATTAGGATTATCGGAATCTATAATTTGTCGGATAGCATAATTAAACATAATTAAGCGTAATTAAGCGTAATTTAACATAATTATCGGATTAAATATATACCATTTTTAGCATATATCTAAGCCGGAATACATTCATATAATACCGTATTTAATGTAATTTAGTATAATTTAATCATAAACAAATTAACGAATATGTATTTGTCAAATAATATTTTAGATATATGTCTTTCAAAGCAACATTAACCCTATAAATTCCCAATATTTCTTTTCAAATGGGGTGAAAAAAAACCCGTAGCCAAACACTATAACGCTATTAAACGTTATCGGTTTTTTTACTCCTTATCGGTTTACAGTGTGTTGGACAAGTCCCATTTGTTAGGCACTTCTGTTTAACTTTCAAGGTTCCAGCAACAGTCAGAGACTGTGTTTTTTGTTCGGCGCGGCCATGTCTGCTTCAGGAACTGGAGGAGCTGGAGGAGCTGGAAGAGCTGGAACTGGATAATTGCTTATGCAAATTTTGGATCGCAGTAAGTTTTGGAACTAGATGATCGCAGTAAGTTTTGGATTGTTTGCTTGTGCTCCCTGCTTAACAAAGCTTTTTGCAGGGCCGCTGCGGCTGCAGCAGCCATGGTTCAAATCATGGCCACGAAACCAAAAATGGGCTCCTGTCTAGGATTAAGCCGAAGGCAAGCTTTTTCGTTATCGGTGCATTATCGGTTTTGTTATCGGTGTAGATAGGATCCGAAACATCAAAAAAGGCAACCGTAAGAAGCTTGCAACTTGAATAACCCTTTCCCAACGTAAAATCTAAATGGCGCAGCTGAGGCGGCGAGCAGCCGCGCGCCACGCCCGGCGCCCGCAGCGCCAGTGAAATACCAACACGTTTTCCCAAAGAAAAGAGCCCTAACCCTAAAAAAAGCAGACCAACACACAAATCGCAAGTATAAACACACAACCAAAACATTCCGCTACCTGCATACATGCATATATATATGCATCTTATATATATATATACAGGTATAAAAAGATATACATATATATGTATACATATATACATGCAAATTACGGATTATCGGTTTTTTTTTACTCCTTATCGATTTACAATGTTGTAGCACTGTTCTGCAATGCTCCTAAAAACTAAGAGATGCCCAAATACTAAACTCAAAGGCGCGGGTTTTTTTCCACCCAAATCAATATTCTTAAATGATAACAAATAGCACCAATATTAATATCTAAATATATATATTTATTAATCTTTAATATTATATTATTAAACATTTTTAAAAATCAATTTTTATTTACCAATATTTATTCTATAAATATTAATAATAAATAAATATATATTAAAATCCAAATTCAAAAAAATATATTTTATTTATTAAATAAATATAATTCTAAAAATAATATATATTTTTTTTAATTTTAATTTAATTTTTATATTCCAAATTCATTATATTATATATATAATATAATATATGAGTTTCCTTCATAATTCTATTGTATAGAAACCAATTAAAATAGAATATTTATGTATCTTAGCAGAAATATATTATCCTCATACGTAAAAACAGAGCCGCAGCCTAAATCTCTCTGTTGTTAGGACATAGCAGCAATCGAGTAAGTAATAAAGGCTAATCATTTTGCAATTCATAAAAAAGCGCTATTAAACTCTACAGCCCGTCCAAGTGCCGAACCAATATCATCTCTAGACGCAAATATTTAAACAGGTTTACGGCTCGTAAATCGATGGATCCATAACATCAAGAACCGATAGCTGCAAACCATATCCAAAAGAACATTACCCTCGTCTTTCGTGTCAGAAGCGTCCTGGCTATCTTAAAAAGCAGAGATAAATGGATTAGTTACACATCGCTCTCGGATTATCTGTTGAAAGGTAGTGATCGTATACCTCTCCTGGATCAGGGAAATCTGGGCCAATTGTTGAAGGGTGGTGGTCGTACACCTCGCTCGGATCAGGGAACAATTGCAACCAACATATATTTAAGACTGCAAATTATTCCTAAAATAAGGACTGATTTATCTGTCTTCTTAGACAAGCGCCCACAATTCTGCCTACCGCCGACGCTTTCCGTACTTAATACGGATTTGTGAAAAGGATCTGAGAAAACCAAACCTGTCAGGGCCTTTTCCTGCTCAAATCGGCGGGCCCCGCTCCACGCCAGCGCGCTCACGGGCGGCCGCTGCCGCGGCGGCGGCCGAGGCGGCCTGTCGATTGCTTTCGGCGGGCGGTACAAAGTGTTCACAACCTCGCAAAGACCTGCCCTTCTGTCCACCAACGTGGAACCAGAGGGTCCCTTTTAAAGGCAAATAGGGAAGTCAAAGGTGATCTTCTTGTTCTGAAACATAGGCCAGATCTGGACTGACTTCCAAACAAGCCCTCGGTAAATTCAAAACCAAACACATGGGGCTTGGAAGCTTTCTCCAACTCACATCAATCAAGCAAAGAGCAAGGCGAACACAACGCTTTTCATGAAGCCTTAGGGGCTGTGGGGGCTATGAAAAGCCAAGGATCGGCCAAGGACAAGCGGCCTTACTGAGGGCTTAATAAGGGATAGCCCACCCGGGTTCCGCAAGGTGAAGCTATGTTCGTTCCAGCCCTCCCCAAGTGCCGTCAGTATGGCACTGTACCAGCCAGCTCTGCGCACACAAAGTGCAAAGGTCTTTCTGCTCCCCTTGTTGGGTCGGCTTGGACTTTTGGATCGACTTTCTCTTTCCCAAGGTGATGTTTACAGCTGGGACATCTAGTTGCCAGCTCCCTCATGGGGTCTGTTAGACTCCCCGCCCAAGTACAGGTTCATTCGGGCCGACCATGGTCACAACCCAAACCATTGTCATGCTTGGCGGCTCTACATATTCTGGGCTCTCCTCCACTAACCTGCTGTTGGCTGGTCAGAAAATGCAGCTTTTTGAAACCAGAGTCTTGCCAACTGAGGCAAGTCCAAAGAGACCACATGGGCGTGTCTTCAAGAAGACTCCCCCACACGAAGACTGGAAAACCAAAGTGGTCTTCCCCTTTGGCTTCTCCGGATGGTACCAACACATACGCGAGCCTTGCGGAAGCTGTGCAGAACCTTTGACCTTTAAACAAATGGCAAGGGCCCAATCTAGATGCTCACAATAGGTAAGCACCGGTGGTGCTAAACTAACCCAGATATTGTTGTAACAGTTCGAAGCCCAGGCAAGGAGTGGCCCTTAAAGCCCATAGATTCTCTTGCCATGAGACGCCAATCGGGAGCTCTGGCCCTGCCTGGGCTGCGGATGTCAAGGTGCTGGCGCTCATCCGCCGATCAGGACCTAACACGCCGGGAAGATGGGGGGTGTCGGCGCCGCTTGGAGGTGCACGTCTCAAGCAAATACCGTGGGTTTTATACCTACAAAAACAACAGCTAGCTAACTACACAAACAAATAAATTATACCTAAAAGCCAACAACATTCTAACTACATTAACAAATCATTGAGCCCAATCTGAAAGAAACAAGCCCAATTTGAAGCAAACCAAGTGCCATGACGCATCTCCAGAAGCGCCTCTCTCTGTCCGCGAGCTTGGGCCAGGACTGGGCACTTGCACAGCCGCCACCTGAAGCACAGCAAATATCCCGCTGCATGCGGAAAATAAACCCGTGCGCAAGGGGCAGAAACCCGATCCAACTGGCAAAGGGCAACCTCTATGTCCTTTCTGCCTCCTGGAAAAAATGCTTTCGGAAGTGATAGATTCCCTTTTGAAAAGCCAACAGGGGGAAAACACAACATTTCAGCAAATGGAAGCAACCACAAAAAGACCCCAGGTTTCCACCCTTGGATTTGCATCAGGCTCCAGCAACCCTGATTTTGCTTCCCTTTTGAACGTGCCCTTTTTTTAAGGGTCCAGCCACAAAACAAATTAGCAAGTTTCATCAGAGGTTTGTTTGCTGACATCCTGATTAGTTGCCTTTCCGGCATAGGGAATGATGTCCACACAGTAGGCTTGCTGCTGTCTGTTACTCATAGCCACATGAAAAGGCGGCGACAAATTCGAGAACCATCAAACTATCTGACTTGATCAATTCAGCTTGACTTGACCGGAATATATATAGGATCCAACCTGCTACAGTGTCATGCGAGTTAAGCAAGGGTGCCCTTGGCAAAGCGTTCTTTGCATCTGCGTGTACTTGGTGAAAGGGCAACAAAGAACCCTTGTTAGCCAACCTTCCCGTAACGCGACAGATTGGGGCACACCATGAAAAAACTCGCATGTTCTGCGAACTGTGATTCTGGGTGCCTCACAAGCGTTTTTGGTTAGGGTTTTAAAAAAGCGCGAGGAATGCGTTCTAAATGGGGAATACTTGGTGGTTTTCCTTTACGTTTCAGAGACTCATTGCGGCCCAATCCACTCGAACGTGAAACCTGCCTCGCTCGCCTCGCTCGCGCGGCCACCGCCGGAAGGCCACACGGCTTGCTCGCCTCACGAAACAATTCGACCAGCCCAAGGAAAATGTTGGCCAAATGGGGTCCATTTTATGACTACTCTGGCCTCGACACAAACCATGTGTTGAAAGGATTCCCCACAAACCCATTTATAATCCTTGTAATTCCTGTTCAGATAGGATATGGGGTAGAAACTTAAATGGGTTTGTGGCATTCCTTCGTCCCTTTCATCGCGGGTAAACCCTGAGACTTAGGAACTCACGAATGAAGGGAATGGGATAACAATGAGTGAGTGAGGGAGAGAGATGATGGGTGGTCATGAGTCATGTCACTCACTTTTCATATCTCTTTATGAGTGACATGGCATCTCTCTCTCTCTTCGTCCGTCTCATCGCTTCCCTACCGCTCTTCATCCGGGCTCTGAGTTATAAGGGGGTCTAATGTCCAATTGGGATTAGTAAAGGGCGGTCCCCCGCCCTCAACGATGGGGGCACCTGGAATAGTATCTTGAGATCCAGTTCAAGTGAGTTTCCATTTGATTTAGCATTGGTAGACTTGAGTTTCCATTTGATTTAGAATTGCTGGAGTTTCCTTTTGAGATTTGGAACTGAGTTTCCATTTGATTTAGTATTGAAGGAGCTTCCTTTTGAGATTTGGAACTGAGTTTCCATTTGATTTGGTAGTGGTAGACTTGAATTTCCGTTTGATTTAGTATTGCTGGAGCTTCCTTTTGAAATTTGGAACTGAGTTCGCATTTGATTTACTGTAGTATTGGTAGACTTGAGTTTCCTTTTGATTTGGTATTGCTGGAGCTGCCTTGTTTTTCTTGGGGGCTGAAGTACTACCCCCTTTGTGGGTTTGATTGTGGGCAGGTTTTCAACAAGAGACATGTAAGAAAACATGGGTTTGGTAAAAAGCTGACAATCTAGCAGGCCCAAATCTATCAACACAGCATGAAGCATTGCCGGTGCATTTATTAATCTGTTTGGGCCCCCCATTTGTCTTTATTACGCGTGCATTTGTTAATCCCATTTGGACATTACGCGAAGCCTCTGCCATGGCAATTTTGTGGTTTGGACTCTTCCGAACTCATGTTCAACTACCCCGGTGCGGTATACCTAACTCCTCTAACGTGAATGATACCCGCCAAAACAACAGGGACGGCGCTTACCCCACTTCTGTTTGCGGTTTGGGTTAGCCCCGCTAGCCTTCAGGATGTCTCGCAACAGACCTCAGACTAGCCATGGTCACGGCGGTGAGCCTCTTGTGGTTTGTGGGCCACACCCCTCCCACATGAAGCAAGAACTGGGTGAGTCTGTAAATAGGGGACCCCAATATTGCGGTTTCTCCTTCTGCTTTGATTTAAAGCCACACCAAAAAGGGTACCAACTCCAACAAAGGACAGTCTCAAAAAAGACATACCAACGACGGCCTCAAGCTAGCTACTTTCTCCGAACAGTGAGGCCCAGGCGCTCCCTTCGCGAGAAGGGCCCGGCGAGCTGGCAACACGACGAGTCGGGTCGGGTCAATGGCTCACGAGTCGACTCAGACTCGCAATGGGCGCGTCTTTCGGAGTTGGTACGCCTTTTCTGGTGGCTTTATAGGGAAACCAAAAGGAAACCGGACCCCACGATTTTCGGGGGTTCGAATCCTAAAAAATGACACACCCGAATAGAAACAAACAGAAGATGGATCTCTGCAGAGACAGTCGGCCAAACCCAAGTCCAAACTAAAACGGTCTTCACACCAAGTATAACGTCCTGGAACTCAGGACGTGAGAGCAACAACAAAGGTACAGTTGCGCTTAGACAAAAACCGACCAGAACTTCTGGCGAGGCTCAAAGAAGATCAGGTTTCAGCCTTCTTCCAAACAAAGATACCAGGCTATGAAATGTGATGAAACAACGAAACTGGTTGGTCACATAAATCCGCGTGAAAAACTGATGTCCGTCTACTGGCCCCGAACTAAACAAACCATTTGCTCACCTGGGTTCAGAATGGAGAAGCCACACCCTGCTGAATTTGCAAATGGCGAGGCGAGCATCGCGCTTCAGCTCCTCTTCGAACGCATCCTCCACGCCTAGCGACCAAAACCGTTCAAGGGCCTTGAGAAGTGGGGATGACCCCAATTTGTCCCATGGGCTGGTGGCAAAATCTGCCCACAAAGCCCATTGCCCACCAAACGGCTCGAAAGAGCTTCAGTACCAGAGGGCCAGGGCCCCCAGCAGAATGCGTGCTGTGTCCATGAGCCACCATAGAATGGTCTCAAAATTCAAGGCATTGCCCCAAAAACGGTTTTCCCACATAAAGGGTATACAGTTTCTCAGTCTTCCCTCGCTGGGTTCACGCGAAGCGCCCTTGCAGCATCTGAGGCCAGCACGGCTTCGCCGCTGGTGGTACAGAAAGTCGTTCACCACCTCTCAAACGGGACGAGGCGACGGTTTCAAGGGGAAGCCAACTGAAAAAGCCCTCGAAAAATCCATTGAACCCTGCAGTTTTGCTTGAATGAACCAACTGAAAAGCCACCTGAAGCACATTGAGAACGAGATTCCCCCCCCCCTTTTCCCCCGGCAGCGCAGCTGTCCCCATCGCCCCTTTCGAGCCCCCGGCATCTCGGAGCGGGGAGTCGACCAGCAAGGCTCGCAGGAAGTCCTCCTCGTCCTCAGACAATAAAAACATCGGACACCCAGAAGAGGTCTGCTCCAAAGAAAAACGGCAAACTCACGTCTCTGTTTGCCACTCAACTAGTCTTCCCACAAAGCTTAAAGTCCAAAACAGGGACTGAGCAAATGCAATCGCCACATGGCTTGGATGGCTTGAGAATCCGAAACTCCAGCCCTCTACAAACAAGTCCAGGAGCTCAGGGAGTGAGCAAGTTCAATCGCCTACACTTTTTTCTGCATCGGCACCGCTTTCTTGGCCTTTGCTTTGGTCTCGAAGAACCAAGTAGAGCCAACGGGTGCACTACACTTGCTTGGCATCTGTCTTGGGGAATCAAACAAGGGGAATCCGTGGATTCCAAGGGAAACAAAATTAACTGGACGCGAGCCTTCTTTGGCCTTAATGTTTCGGTCGCCTCTTTAGGCGCACGCCCGCCCCAACTGCTCCAACAGCGCCCAAGTCTTCGGCCTGCGGGGGGGTCCGCCAAATGGCGCCGGAGCTAAGAACCTCATGCGTTCGCGCTCGGGTTCGCGATGGTGCTGCTTCAAAACGAGGCAACGTGCTTATACAGGTTTACCTAATGAGCAGTGGAACCACCTAGCAAAGTGGCCAAGGGCTTTCTTTCGCTCCTCAAACGGGCTTCTCTCGAAAACAGACTCCAAAAAAGGTTGCCTGCGACTACCCCAGTTGCTCCCTATCTGGGTGTCATCAATGAGACATGAAAACTGACGCCCCTGCCCAAATGACTCTCTCGGCCACCCGACGCTGAGGCCGTTGTGCTGCGTCATCTCTTCCTGTTGCAAGCTGCAAGCTAGGTAGCTCCAAGAACGAGAGGAGACCCAAGCGAAATGGACAGTTCCTTTTGGCTGCTCCCAAGTCAAAGAAGGGGGTCCCTGACTTGCTGGAGACTTGTTCAAGTGGAAACCTCCTTAAAAGGCGGGCCGGGGAATTCGGGTGCAAGCGTGTTCATGGCCAAAACTCATGCATTTGTTGGGTAGATGTTGGATGTTGTTGGCCCATTGGCACTGAATAGTTCTCTAAAGCCTAAGCGTCCCATGTTCAAAGGCCCTGGGTCATGGTCATTGCTCCAAGGGTAGCAATCCTTACAACGATTGTCAAAATCCCTCATTAAGGGAGGTAAAGAAGACTCGACCATGGCACATATCGAGGGTCTATGACGGAGTACCGGTGTCTTGCGTCGACCAGGGCACGCCTTCCTTGAGAACGGTCGTGTCTGCCTCTGGAATGTCCAAGCAAAGCATGGTTCAGGATCAATCCAACCGTGATAGCCGTAACACAAAGACACCTTGGCAGTGATCGGGTCAGGTGGAGTGGAGGCGTTTCATTTAAGGATGTGTCCAAATTGTGAGCCAAGGTCATTTGAGATGGGTAATTTGAGGTTAGGCGACCTGATGGCTGAAGCCATCTCCAAATCCAAAACCGCCTAAACTTGTATGGTCCAAATAAACCCCCTGAAGATATCTCAAGAAGCACCAAAGCTTATTTCGGCTGCAGCGCCATCTCTAAAGTTCAAGCATCCACGTTTTCCAGCCCCAAGGAGTTCAGATTTGGTTGGGCCCATTGGGCCAGCCCCCAATTCAGGACCCTGTCCGGCGCCTGCAGGCTCATGACCTTGTGGGGCGAGCCCACCTGCGCCCGATCGGAGCCAAATCCAAAGCGTTTGCCCGGGTTGATCACAGGACTTCTCATGTTCAGATCACTTTCCAAGTGCTGCGGAGTCTTTTTTCCCCTACAAATTAACGGAAGGAAACCAACCGAAAGGGGGTCCGTGCAAATCAAGTAACGAGCTCCTTCAAACAGTCTACCTACACAACCATTTTGGCCGCCCCCCCAAACAAAAACACCCAAATGGGCTTTTTGGAGGAACACCTTTTCGGCCAAGGCAATTCTCCAGCTGAGACATCGACTCTGATCATCTTGCGGAACCTGGGGGTCTCTCCCTACGTCCTCCAGAGAGCTTAGAGTGTAGTCTATTTTAGTAGGGCAACCCTCCCCCAAGAAAGAAACGGTCAAAGGGCACTACTGGGGGACCTAGCTCCACTAGGCAAACCGGAGAAAAGCTCTTCGTCTCGGCATAACTCTCGACAAATCTGGGGCTCCGGGCTCGGCATGTCGCGGCAACGGGCATGTCCCGCTTCAGCGCCTAACCGAGGTGTCCACCCTCACCGGGGGCGGCCAACTGGCAAGTGCCTTTTGCTGGGAACCCCGGACTAAGGGTGTGTCTGTGTGTTTCCTGACCCATTTTTTTCTGCGGGGGAACACTCTCCTATTAACAGAGCAGGTTGAGGAAAAAACCGGGGTGAACATTAGGGAAAAGAGTAAAATCGCCAGTGGGTGTTCGCTGCCAATTTCCTGAGAGTTGAAACCCTGGAAGAACTGTTCCCTCTGCACAGGGCGTCAAGGTCTCCACTCAGGGAATCATGGACCAGTGTCTCCAAACCACTGTACAACGGTCATCCAGCACCAGTGACAACAAAAGCACAGCGCAATGCGTTAGTGGCCATGATCATCCTAGTCAAAGCATCCTGGTTTGACTCGCAACTTCCACAAAAAAGGACTTGTACCTCCGACAAACCCAGGCCACAAAAGCTCCGCAACAGGACTATCCCACTGCCTGGAACAGCAGCAGCGCGGCGAAGCGCGGCGCCTCCGACTGCTCGCAGCAGAACCTCGGCGGAGAATTGCGGGAGCCGAATCGGTGGCTTGGTGGTGAAACGGGAGGGGAAACTCCCATGTTGTTTTTTTCTAGCTTGGATGGATGGGTTTGGGAAATGGGGATTTGCCTGAGATTGTCTGAAACAACAGCCCACCTTCTTCTCTCTCTCTCTCTATCAAGCTTGCTTTTCTTTCTCTCTAGACATTCTCCGTCTTTCGGTGTTTCTTTCTCTCTCTGTCTCTTTCTCTCTCTCTCTCTCTCTCTCTCGCTCTTTCTTTCTTTCTTTCTTTCTTTCTTTCTTTCTTTCGCTACTGTAGGGCAGCTTCCTCGCCCTCTCTCTTTCTGTGTTGGCCAGACTTAACGCTCACAAACCATGTGGCAAGCACAAAGACAAGTTCAAACGAACGCCTTCCCCTGCGTTCTGCCCGAACAAGTTCCATTGACCCATACGCCCTGAGGTCTCTGAGAGCAAGGCCAGCGACCGTTCGCCTCACACACCGTGAGCTCCACCTCTCCCGTTGGCCGCAACGGCACGATGTCAGTCGGCTGACTAAAAGTGCGTTGAAACACAGAGACCCGCAAATTGGCGGGTCCAATATTTCTTGTTCTGCCAGCCTAAAAAGGGAACCCGGAAAAACAGAAGGGCACGCGCACACACACATGTCTGACAAGGGTATACAAATGCCTGCAAGGAACAAAACTAGAGAAATCAAACGATCGACTCTTTACTCACACACACACGCTCGTCACTGGCTCTCCTTGCCCGCCTGCTCCGGGAGCGTGGCGCCCGTCTGCAGCTGGTGCAGCAGCGCAAACCTGTGGACCCCGCGAAACGTGGCGGGGGTCCAAGAAACGGCCGGAACCCCCCCAAAATACCCCCAATCGGACTTGCCAAAGCATTCAGAACTCATGGGTGGTCTAAATTGCTTACTTCCAGGGTCGCTGCATCTACTCAAGCAAAGGACGCTTCAACCATTTGTGAGGGTTAGAATAGGGCAACGCCCTTTGATGGATGGCTCAAAGGGCCCAGAAACTTGAGCTCAAAAGTCATTTGGTTCAGCCATCGCTCACTTGGACCTGGGAGGAGTCAGTACGCCCCCTGAAGCCCGTGCCGACTGTGTTGAGGAAGCTTCTTGCAGCTGAGATGCAAGCCTCCTCGCAGTGCCTCCAGTAAGGCGAGAGGAAACTCCTGCTTGGAGGGGGACCGCCTCCAACTAACATGGCTTCCAAGAGCTTCTAGAAAGTCATCTTCCACCCAGACATCAGTCAGCTTCCTGGTAGGAGGGCAACGGTACACGCGGACTTTCCATATTCCGTTTTCGGGACCATTCAAAAACCCCTTTTGTGAGGACAAGGAGGGATTTGAACCGCCCAAGGCAACCAAAGTGAGAATCGCCATCCGTCAAAATGGTCTATGTCGATGGTCACAACTTGCCGGATCAAGAAAGCCGGCGGATTGCGGGCCGATGTCCGCCAAAGTCACCTTGGGCCCAAACTTGAGACCCGTACTTATGGCGAGCTTCTTCTTCTTCTTCTTCTTCTTCAGAAACAAAAACAAAAAAAACGCACAGCAGCTCTGAGAGACCGACTTGCCAACTGGGCGTGGAGTTCAAGGATATGCCGGGGCCCCACCTGAAAAAAAGGCATTTCCGCCCGGCGGCGACCGCGGCGACCGACAAACAGCACACAAATGCGAATAGACAAACCACAAACATGTTTTGCTTGGCGCGCCGTGTTCTTTTGCGCCCAAAAAGGCCAAGAGGTGCCAACCAAATTCAAAAAAAAACGGCGCAAGCAAATGGAACAGCTCTCTTTGCGCCGAATCGCAAGCCGGCAGCACCTCAGCGCCAGCACAGGCACCCTCACCGAGGTGTTCATGGATAGCAGCACCGGGCCTCGCGCCTGATCTGTTCCGAAAGCACGGGGCAAGGGTCTTTCCACCCCTAAGGGTCATGACCCCTCCAATGCAGACACCCCGACCCCTCAAGGGCCCTCAACAACAAGCCTTTTGCAGGGCCCAAAAACAGTTCAGACCCTTGAAATGGATTGGTTGGAAACTCTGGATTTGTTCCACTGGCATGTTTCGCAAGGGCAATCTAGACCACATGTTTTTCAGCGACGTGTTACAAGTACCATGGAGAACTGGGTAGTTGAAGATATATACAGGAAAGAGGGGCTTGCTTTGATACTTCTCCCACAGGGTTTCCCTCTTGCTGGCCTTTAACCAGCCGCCCACAGGGGGGTTCCCGTTGGTCCCTCAACACCCGAGGCTCACGCTAGCTTCAGCGCGGGGCTGTCCGTGTCTCGGAGGAAGTCTACGCAGTGCAGCGTGCTGGGCAGGATGCAGCGCACCTGGTGAGAGGATTTGCATTCTCCAACCCATCAACCAACCGACCAACCAACCCGCCAACCAACCCACCAACCAACCGGCCCCTGCCCACCCACCCCCACCTGAGTGCTCTTAGTGTGGACGATGCCAAAGTGTCCAAACGCTGGTACACAAGAAATTCACAGGTGCGGCCCCCGCGACTCTTCAAACTCATGTCCAAAAGGGATTTTCCGGCCCATGCTAGTTGGAGGGTACCCCCAAATTTGTTCACTCGCTTTCCTTGCGGCCTTTCCCCGTCCAAGTCTGCATTTCAATTCATGTCAACACATGCTTATCTGCGCATCTTGGACACCGTCCCACACATCCAGAATTACATGGATTGTCGGATTGCAGTTAAATACCTTGAAACATTCTACACGAAACCAAACCAACGAGGGACACAATTCATGAAACTATCAAACTAATCATCGGAGTGTGTATATATATATATATATATGTATTGGACATGGGTGATTGTCCAGCGATGCGGCAAAAACGAACTAACGCTTCTCAGCCCGGAAGGTTGTTGTCCGTTGGGGTACCGGGTGGCATTCCCAGTGTGAAGGCAGTTCTCTGTTTGCAAAGAGGGGGGGTCCAAGTGTGAAAGTGCGTGTAGCAAGGCACACTTACAACAGCTTACAACTACTTGCCCTGAACTCCAGTTTTCAAACGGGGTTCTGAGTGTATGTTCGTCACTGCAAGTGAGGTCGTGACTTTATTTGCCAAGGGATGAAACGAGTCCAAAGCCATGGCTATGAACCACCAAGCTCTGACCTTCTGTCAAATAAACATGCCCCCCAATTCCTCCATTCAACCGAGTTGGTTTTGAGGCAATTGCTCACATACCTTCATCGGGAACAAACCCCGCCGCCATTTCGGGTTCTGGCACTGGGCCTCTGCCAGGACAGCTTCTCGGTCAGCCACCACCTGGCAATACGCAAGGGGTTGGGGCTGATCAGATTCGATCGAGCGGGTTGGCCACGAAAAAGCTTTTGATGTTGGCCACTGAAATGGTCCAAACCCAAAAAGTGACCGAAGTCCATGAACTCAGTGAGTCATGGCTCTGGGTCCAACTCCTCGACCGAAACACCCACATCTTCCATGGAGCTCTCTGCTTTGACTTGCCTCGGGATCTCGCTTTTTTTCCCGCGCCTTGCGTGCGGCGATCAGCTCCTGATGCTGAGCCTGCCAAAACTGCTGGACAAATCGACTACCGCAGAACACACACCCATTCATCCGCTGGAGTTGGTCACCCGCGGGTCAACGTTGTTGTTGAATCGCGCTGCTTTCTTGGCTTCCTTTGAAACATGGCCAGAGTCTGGTTGTGAAGAAACACAGATTTCACCCAACCCCAACGCAGAGGCTGCTTTTGGTTTGTTCTTTCGGCACACTAGACTGCAGTGGCAATTGTTTTGCGTCGGCGTAGTCAACTGATCAGAGCCAAACTAAAATCAGTGACACCAACTTTTCACTGAGCTTACCTAAACTGACTTCTCGTCGCGGAAAGAGAGCCCGCGTGCGCTTCAATGTTTCTGCTGTGCCGATGTATCGAAACTCCGATATGAGCCACGGGCTCCAAAAATGTCGCGTTGCAATGGGGCAAGGCTTCCATCCCCTGGCTTTGGTTGTTCAGTGGCTCGTTCTCGTCCAATTCGAGCCCCGAATTGGCAACCGCCGGATGGGAAATGTGAGTGAGTCCCAAGTCCAAAAAAAGGATCGACCTATAGCTTTGCCACGCTAATCTCAAAGTCAGAATGGACTCCAACACCCTACGCGTCACGTTCAGGGCCATGGGAGTCAGAATCCAACAGCCCAGAAAGAACAGGAGTCGACTCAGAGTCGCGTGGAAACCTGCACATATATTTGGGCAAGAGGCTAAACCAATTGAGCCAACCCCTCTATAAACTTAAACAGCTGTCTGTTTAACAACAGTTGCTAAATCAACCTTTGTCTTTTCAGCATTTGATTGCGGATCATGCCATGTACATCTGTTTCCGTGCCCTTCAAACAACACTCGATGGGACGACCCACCCCAGTTTGTTCTCAAAAGATGTTATCCAAAGTAGGAGGGATCAAACTTGTGAGTCCACCTCCGACCCCAAGACCTGCAAACAGTCCGAAAGCCAACTAGTCCCCAACTCATACTCCACGACTTGAAGTTTAGGGAATTACCAAATGCTTGGACAAAATTGATGTTCCCCAGTCCGGGTCCCTTAAAGTGTACGCTTTGTCAGGATTCGTTCCCCCAAAACAGTTGCAAATCTTACTTGTGGTTTCCACTCAAGCTGCGACTTTCGTAGGTTCCAAAAAGAAATAAACGGCTCGGAAACTCTTCTTATGTTGCCATCCGAATTCCCACTCCAACCCTTCCCTTCCGTCCACATGGCACCCCGTACCCCCAGTGAACATCCCAATCCAACCACTAAAGCCCCGACTACAATGGGTGGTGAATTCACCTACCAACTTGGTGACCCACGGCCACATGCGGTCTCGCGCCTCGAGGCGTCTCTCCAGCTTCCGCCTCTCGTCCTGCACATGGGTGGTGAGGCTGTCCACGCTCTCACGCTGGTCGTCATCTACCCGCCTGCGCATGGGTCGCTCGCACAAAGGGGTTCTAAGCATAGGTGTCCTTTTGGACAAATAGATGGGTTCCCCTGGTAAATGGAATAAAACCCATCTAAACCAGTGCCTCCTATTTTTAGCCACACTAACTTAAAAAGGACACCTATGGTTCTAAGTGCAACTCCGCCACACAAAGCAGCAGGTCACAGATTGATGTGAGGGGCCTACCCAATTGCAACTCAGCGCAGAAATCCTCAACCAAACATGACTGGAGTCAAACATCTATCCACATTGAATCGAAGACAGGCCACCTACCCCAACTGAAACTGGGTTTAAGAACTTCGATGCTGAGTGGGAGGGGATTAAAGGTCTGCCCTTTATCCATGCGAAGACTCAAAAGCCTGAAAAGCCATGCCCAAGTCTTGCCTTCATCTACCGAGGATCATGGGACAAGGGGGAACGGGGGGGCAAAGTGCAGAGATACTCAGCTCCGATCACCACTCACTTGGCTAAATAGAGTGGACACCGATAGTTCGTGCTTCCAGCTGCCAACTGCAGGGCGCCCTATCTTGCTAAAGCATCCAGCTCAACTTGCAGCCCAAAAGGCGATTCTCATGACCCAAGGGAAAGTGTGGAAGCCCCTGAACCATGCCAGGCCGGCCACTTGTTGTGGCTGGAGGTTTGCACCCTTTTCTCCCTTTCCCAGCCTCAGCGCAGCCTCCAGCCGGGCTTTGGCCTGAGGCAAGTGCAGCGAACCTGACGCGAGTCCCGACTCCCAGCGCTGGGCGCCGCTGGGTGCCCTCGTGGCCATGGGCCAAACACTTGGGCAAAGAAGCAGGACGGACTCGAATCTCTGAACATCGTTGCGCAAAACATGACAAGTGTTGCACCAAGAAAAAAACAAGAGAAGCCTTGGACCAGCACTCCAACAACTGCTTTCTCCCAACCAAACTCCCAAGTACGGGCTACCAGAAAGCAGCGGTGAACCATTTCAACTTTCGACGGGGGATCCGGACCAATGGGCGTTCGACTCGCTGGCCCACCTTGCCGGCATTCTCCGCTGACAGGTCGGCCCCGGCTGCGCGCAGACGCTCCGCCTCGCAGCTCGAGCGCAGGCGAACGGAAGGTGTTCAATGGGGTTCGAGGGTTCCGGGCTTGTTTTTCCAGTTCTTCTGTTTCTTTGCTTCAACGGATGGACAGTTCTCTGCTTCGTTTGCAGTTTCAACGGCAAATGCGGCGGGCTCTTCTTCAACCACTTTCGCCGCGGGCTTTCGTGGGCTTTCGCGCCCTGCATTTTAGCTTTCGTGAGGCTTTGTTAGGAGAGGGCCTCAATTAACTCCTTTCATAAGGGCTTTTGCGCTGCTCAGGGCCCTAACCCAAAAGCGTCCCTCTTGCAAAACAAGAGAGGTCGGCTAGACTTGACCAGGGCTCCTAAAAAGGGTCCCTTTCAACATCGGCCCATGAAACATGACATGCTAGGCCGGTATCTCTGGGGGCAATCAAATATATATATATATATATATATATCCGTCTGTAGCATCCTCAAGGAGGGCCCTCTAAATGGGCGAACATTTGGGTGTGGATGGTGTGGGTCAAAAAATAGGAATGAAACCATGGCAAATGCATTAACATCTGCAGTCCGGTGGTTTAGTTTTGATTCATACCCATTTCTTAGCCCTCAAAGTGCGAATTTCATGGACCCATGGCTTGCTGGTGCGATGGGCAGGGAATGAGAAATGGAATGACCCCCAAGAAAAACCATCCATCCCATGGTTTCCTTGGGAATCCCCGGTTCATTCCCTCATTCCCCGGCTACAGATTGCCAAGGTCACGCCATGCGATGCCTCCAGCTGGGACTCCTGCTGCCGCTGCTTGGTGGACGTCACCTGCCGCGAACGACCCAAAGTTGCCTTCACGGCTGCTCAAAAACATGTACCACAATGGCACCCTTGGCAAATGGAACCAAAGATTAGAAACCTGCGCAACCCCCACCAGTGGAGCCACACCCTCACCCTCACCCTCTTGAATTTTGAGCCACACCCTCACCAGTAGAACCCAGTTACCCACGTCGAGGCCCCCCGCCCTTCACACAGCACGGCCTGCAGCTCGACGCGCAAGCGCCGGATTTCCTCGTTCAATGCATGCACCTGGCGAAGGGCGTCGGGCTTCGGTGGATTTCACGCATGAAACCGAGCGGCAGAGGTCAAGAGCTCAGCCAAGCTGATCCAAGACAGGACAACCATCAGATTCATAGTCCGCAAGATAGCTAAGTTGCTGGTAACCAAGAATTAACCCAGTTCACCCCTGTAAATCTTTACAACCCATTAGCCGACTCCCCAAAGTGGGGCGGCCGGCCGTAGCTCCTTTATTTTGGGCAGTCTTTTTCTGGAGTCGCTCCAAATGAAAATCCCCCCCCCCCTCCTTGCCCCCCCTCTCCATGGCCCAGCCTCTCCGCGATTGCGCCTGGGCTGTAATCAAACGCGTCCACTTCGCCTCCAACTCCCCGCCGCTTGGCCATGGAGCATAACCTATGGCTCCATATTGGGGTGGATGAACATCCATTTGCCACCTATTTTGATGTTCACCAGGGGTTTCCTGGGTTTTGAGCCGCAGCCACTTGCTTGCAAGGCTCTGCAGCTCAGCGTGAGCCTTCTGAGCCTCCACCTGGCTCGTGCGCCGATGGAACTCCCCGACTGCTGACATGGTCTACCTCGGACGTTGCCGGATTCACCGCGCAACCTCCGTACGCCCCAGGCGATGTTGTTTCCTTGGTAGATGTCCAAGCATTCCTCGAAGCGAGAGGTGTTCAGTAACCACAGGGGGGTAAATGGTCACTTTGAAGCAACATTTCTGTCAAATCCTCCCAGCCCAAGCTGCACGCCTGCAGCCACTGCGCGTTGCTTCGCGCGACCACGCTGCTCGCCTACTTGTTCGCGGCCGGAATCCGCCAACAACTCATACTGTGGATGGACCCTGTGGTTGGGATGGACAAAGCCAATACAGGGATAAACCACCTACGTGCAGGATTCTGTGCATCGACAATACCTCCGCTCCGCACGGAAAAGGCCCATGGTCATATAGGTTCCCATGATGGAGATGGGAGAACTAGTGAGTGCGCATCTCTGGAACCAACAAATCACCATGGGCAAGCCAAGAAATGCAAGCCTCACTTCCTGAGTAGATTGGCAAAACGAAACAAACAACTTTCTGCTTACCACCAAAGTGGTCCAAACCCAACAACTGACTACAGTCCAACTGAGGAAGTGAGCCAAGGGGAAATGGGTGTCTTTTTCAGGGGACCCCCGAAAATGCATTGGGTTTCCTGCTGGTTTTCCTTTAAAACCATCAAACAATCGGTATCTCCCAACAAAAAGCAGAACAGGCAACCCTGGTCGTGCGTTTCTTCTGAGGCTTCCAGTCTTCCCATGGACAGCCACGTGAGTTGCAAGTGATCTAACGAATACAAAGACAACATCTTGAGAAAACCAACCAAACAAACAAACAACAACTGACTGAATACACAAAAACTGGAGACAACCAACAAAGCACGATTTAGACACTCTTTGGCGCACAACCCATGGTGAAAAGTCCTGGAAACATGGTTATGTCGTGTTTGTGGTGTTCTCGAGTTGTTTTGATTTGGTTTTCTCAAAGCCTTTTTCATTTTGTTTGTTTGCTCGAGTTGTTTTCCCGGTTTTCTCGAGTTGTTGTTGTTGTTTTTTTTTTTTTTTTTTTTTTTTTAAATTATTTATTTATTTTTTTTTATCTCTCTGATGGACACTGGTACGCAACAAGCTTGTTTTTCCATACTGGAATCGAGTTGAATTCCAATTCAATTCTAAGGCCAAACTGGACTATGCTAAGACAACTACTCTGGCTTGAATGAGCAGAGGCAATTAGCAGCATGTTACAACAATCAAAAGTAGAGGACCCCGTTGACTGATTCAGAACACGCAGATAACAACCACTCTTCAGCAAAGCAAGCACACAACTTGCTCAAAATAGCAAGCCTCAAAATCATAGTTGCCCAGTCTCAAAACACGACAGATAAAATATGTTCATATTGATTCACCAAATATGGCTACCAAACATGGGTGAAAGAAGGGTATGTGCCAAGGAGACCCCCAATGCGCCTCGCGCTCCTGCTGGAGGGCAAGGAGTTGTGCCTGTAGGGCTGCGGCTCTGCTCCGCCTGCGAATGGCTCGGCTTCAAGAAACGAAAGCGCTGCGAAAGGCCGGGGGGCCCCAATATCAGGAACCTGGCCCCTCAGAATGCTGGTTGCTGCCCCAAAACTCCGGGGTGAAGTCTTTTTTTTTTAATGGGTAGTTTGAGGGTCGGCCCTTTGTATGGGGGAATAAAAAACCAAAGCGCGGGGGTTCTCAATCATGAACAGCCCAACGACCCGCCCAACCACACATCAGGCACCCCTGAACCGGTTTGCACCGGTCTGGATTTGGATTTGAACCCCTGCTTCTGACCACCAAACCTTGGTTGACGTTGGAAGGGGAGCAACAAGATAAATTCTAGCAGTTCAGTGGGGATTTCGACCACTAAACCACAACAAGGAAATTTGTAAAATGCCTCCGAACAACAACCATGAAACAACCAGTGCAAACCAGCAACCAGTGGGAGGCTGACAAAACGCAGGTTCGACTGACCTGTGCCCTGCAACATTTCGGGCGGAAACGCCCGGGTGAAGCTTAGGGACAGCCCCTAGGAACCCCCAAAGGGAGGTTCGCTTTGCTCTCCGTTGAAGCCACCACAGGGGGCATCCAGAAGCAACAAAAAACTAACCAAAAAACAACAGCAAACAGAAAACACACACACACACACAGACTCACCGCCATAGGTTCCCCCTTCTTTTTAGTGATTTGTGCGGAAACTTTTAACGCTGGACAGCCCCTTGAGCCCGCGGCTCAGCTTCTGCGCTTTGCCTGGCGGCCGCCAACGCAGCACTGGCCTCACCGAGGAAAACCGAAACCGCGCGTGTTGGTGTCAATGGGGCCACGTCCCAGAGAAACACTGAATGCGCAAGAGAGAAGACTAAACAAAAAAACTACACCTGCATCGCCGAGTTGCGAGAAAGTTGTTTTTCCCGGACACTGTACCCAAAACAGAGTCACAGTTGTAGGGAAAAAGCAGCAACTGCCGATCCACGCTTTCAGGGAGACAACCATCAAAATTTCAAAAGGTACAGTCAAAGATCTGGCCTGCTTTTCTTCAAAAAGGTTTGCCTGGCTTCGGGAACCCCTCTACAACATTTTCATGTTTCCCCATGGCCTGTGCAAGCTGACCTTGGCTCTTCTCGGCCACGGCACGCCACTGGGCGATGCCGTCCTGGCTCGGCAGTTGAGCTCAAAGCGCGAAATCCCTCCAATGTCGACCGGATCTGGCGATCTGGCTTCACAGTACCGGCATCCCCACCAAAATGGGACGCCCTGGGACCCTGGATCCAAAGCAATTTGTCGGGCGGATTTCACCGACCGCGCTTGGGGTCAGCCACAGGTTTCTCCAGCGAGCCTCCAAGGTGGCCACCTTGCAGGTGAGCACGCCCAGGTGCCGAAGCCTCGAACATTTTACAAAACCCGCGGAGCCCGCAGCCGGGGGAAGAAGGCCAACAAGCACGGATCTGTCGGGAGGGGAGCGACTAAAACATAGCCTCCCACTAACATGGCACCTGTGGGGCGGTGTCTGGAAGATCGAGTTCCTCTGGGAGGGACCTCCTTGCAGGTGCCATGGTAGTGGCAGGGAGGGCAAGTAATAAAACCAAAAACACGCCCCAAATCCTGAGAGCCTCGCAGCGATCTCAACTGCTGACCTCGCATGGGTTTTCAAGCCGCACATGTACAAGGCGAGGTTCGGCAACCAACCAGGACCGATGATCTCCGAAGTATAATGAAATGGAGCTCGGCCACTTGTGGGAGCCCTTTTGCGGGTCGTAAGGTTGCATACTTTTGGGACGCACACACACACACACAAAGGTCCTTTTCTTAAAACATCCACAAGGCCTTCTCATCTCACGTTCGTTCCCGCGCCTCCGGTGGTCCGTGCCAAATCTGCCACACCCACCAGCGCCGAGTAGTACGGCTTCAGGACCTGGCACCAAGCTCCATCTCTGGAGACCAAACCCAAATCCGCCAACCCCCCCTAAAGCGCCCCTGGGTTGAAAATAGATTTGGATAGATTTGGATAGATGTTTACAGGACAACTAGACCCGCACACACTGCTCTTGCCCAAAAAAACGGATGGCCTGGACAGCCTCTGGGCCGACTTCCGCCATCAACAGCGCCTCTGCGGTGGCTGAGCCCTGGCCTTCCGACGCAACGGTCGGCACGGGGCACAGGCACAAAAAATTCCAACGCTTCGCCGGTTGCATTGATCCATCTGCAATCCCAACCCAAATCTCCCAGATGAATCAGGAGGAAAACAACAATTTGCCCGTGTCCACTTGGGGAAACAAGAAGTTTTGTCCGCGGGGAGACCGGACCCGCGCTTTGGTAACTCGACTCGCGGGGAGTCGATCATGCCCACGAAAATTCCAACTCCAGCCTGGCATGGCCATGCCGGCGCACCATGGCAGGGACTCTGAAACGAGAAAGGACCAAATGAAGAGCGAATTTCCAAAAGACTAGAGCGCTCTTTACAACCCTTGTTATGGTAGCAAAACGCTTTGCTTTTTTGCAGCCGACTAGCAAAAGTGAACGGAACCTAAAAACCAAACAACCTACAAACTTGCCAACAACAGTGAAGCGTTCCAGTAGACATCGCCCGACAGAGCAAGTTTGTACTCCAGCTCAGGTCTTGCGTCAGGCTACAAAAATGTCTGATCTATTTTGTGTGTATGTTCGTGCTTTTCAGAGCTGTTCATCTGTCGCCGACTGTGGCGAAATCACCGTTCCCAAGAAAAGAGGCCAAAGCAATCTGGATACGTTGGGATCGGGGTGAGTGTCTACTCTATTGAGCCAGCCTTCCCCAGTCAGCTCCAGAGTCTGGGAAGGCGTGCGCCAATCTGTTGAGAGGCTCGGTTGTGGCAGTCGGCTTTTTCTTGTGGAAACTTGTTCCGGGCAGCCCGTAGTGCTCTCAACATGCAAAACGTAGCATTATAACTAGGCCAGACCATATGCTCATTCGTAACTATACATGTACCATGATATTCCAAAGCATCCTTCGAACATGTTCAACCAATACATGGCTATATATGTATGCAAAACATAAGAATACGTACATTAACGAAACATAACAATTGCAACATGCCCACAAAAGCATACATAACACGTTTCCATTGAGCCACAAAACAACCACAGGAAAGCAACCTGAACCATAACAATCCATACTACACCACACTAATCCATATTTAGCATAATCTACTAAACCAACACCACATCAAACCAAACTAATCCATACTACTGCATACCGAACCGCGTTAATCTGCCTCGAGCAGCAACTCCATTACTCCGTACTACTTCAAATATTGAACGCACTTCGCGCTAATCCGCGTTAAGCCGCGCGAATGAACACTTTGTCGTATTGCTCCACGCCGAATCGCACTCAGCCGCACTATTCCACGCTAGTCTGCCAAAATCGGCTCCAATCCTCGCTGATCTACCTGTTAAAGGGCAGTCGCCAGCGCTGAGTTTCCCCGTGTTGTGTTACAGAGTAAACAAACAATATACATATATGGAATATAACAAATGCAATGGTAGTAAATTAGGGAACTATCCAATGTGATACAATTTGTGAAAAAGCATGTTTGCTAGTTGTGTATGTGCATTGAGAGGAGTCCACAGGCTTCGCAATTTAGGTAAACCTTCAGCTGCTTGGACGCCCTTAGTAATTAGCATTTGCACATGTTTCAGCCACATCCCAAGCAAAAGCATAACACCATCCCACAATCCAACCTGGACAGAATGCTCATCCCGAGTTATGGATCCACTCTTGTCCGCGTCAAAGCGCCGGAAAACATTGAGCAACGGATCATGAAACCGATGTTTACTTGATCCGTGAGCGAGATAAGATACTGATTTCCTATGAGTTGTCCATTGGAGGCCCTTGTGGCCTTGTGAGATCATGTAAAAAAATCGGGGATTTATGTCCAACCGAATGCGGTATTCCCATCCGGAGCCAAAGGCCATGGCAGCCCTGAGAAGGGGGCCAAGCACCATGAAACAAATTTGAGGGCCCTGGCCTTCTCATCCTTTGATAGTAACCCGCTAACATAAATGTGTGTCAATTGGCTCGATCAGGTGATTCTGTAAGACATGATTCTACATAAACAACATGTTCCTATGACCATCGGTCGAAAAACCTCCCGCTGTTTACCAATGCTTCACAATTAAGAAAGAAGTATAACTTCAAGCAACTGCCAGATAAATATTTCGTGGCTTTACAGAGCATAAGCTGCGCAAATTTGCACCTGCCTGAGCTATGTGTTGTTAAGAGCAGTGGTGAGTTATGCCAAACACACCTGTATGCTCACATATGTCACACAACCATGAGTCAACGTCTCTCTAGATCTTGTTTTGTGCTGCTTTAATGACCTCTATTTGGGTCGCGCCTACCTACGCTGTACAAACATGCAACAGCACGGACCGGCCCCTGCAGTTGCAGGAAGCTCGCTCCCCAATGCTGGATTCGTTGGCCGCGCACCCTGCCCTGCGATCAGCCCAATTCTGAGCCTTCATGGTATTGAAACTAAGCTCCGGTCAATGCTTGGGATGCAAGGTGAAGGGTGCAACTGAAAGAACTTCTACTCTGCAGCTGTTCTCTCAGCTTGAGGAAACGGTCACACTGGCCTTGGCAACTGAAGGCACTGCAAGGCATTGAGCGCAAAAAGCTGGAATCAAGGGGTTTCTTTCCACTTCTGCAATACAAGGGAATCTCCCCCTTTATATGGGGTGTTAGTCTGTGGGAAGCCCTTTCTGTTGTATCACAGAAGTGGTCATTTCGCACAACCCTGGACAAAAGGGTCTGCAGACAACTGAATGGATCAACAGTGAGGTTACGGGTTCCCAATGCATGCTTGACAGGGCGTCGCTTTTCCTCCCAAGCAATCTTCTTGTACTTGAGCTCACTGCAAAGCAGTGCAACGCTTTCCGGCTCAAAAGAAGGCCAGTCTGAAGGCAGTTCGTGTATTTTTGTCTTCACTTTGTGAAGAGGCGACTTTCCTCTTGGCTCCTCTTGCGGCTTTCTTCCATGAAGGCATCCATGGGTCAGGCTTGTGGACTGGCTACCTCGGAGAGCACGTCGCTTCACCCACGAGTCACCCTGGCTGTCGGCCGGCCGTGCCACGGCAGAAGGCTGCCAGCCGCCAACGACAGCGACGACCAGATTCGCCCGGCTTCGGGATAAAGCCGATCGACACCCCGACTTCTCCAAGCCTTTGTCCCAGCTGTGCCTTAGCGACCAGTGACCTGCAGAAACAGACTTGGCACCCGCCATGGAGTTGTGGGCAACCCACTAAGCAGAAGTGGACACAATCGAACATTAAAATCCACCTTGTTTGTTGGTTGCATTTGTTGTGTGGAACCCAAAGGGAGAGAAATGGTGCCACATGGTGCCGCGTCTCCATCAAATCAACCCAGATGTCTTGTTGCCCAGGACGTGCGCGGCTGGGGCTGGCTTGTGCGCTTGTGGCTCTCCGAACTTCTGGTCAAACAAAGACCTCAGCCAGGGCTTGCGCCATAGATCCTCTCTCATCAACATGTGTACGTGGCATCTGCTATTATTATGTTTTATTATGTTTTATTTTACCAGGGGGCGCAAGGCACAAAGTGGAAGCAATTGCTTCCTTCTGACAGAAATGCTGCATTTCCTTTGAGCCTGAGGCCCCGATAGAGGCTTGGTATGCAGAACCTGCAGAACCGCACCCCGAGTTGCTTTTGTTCGGGGTGTCAAAAGTTGACGTGTTTGGAGGAAATTACCCAAATTCCATCATGGATCGGGCCGCTGAGGGGACTGGGTTTCTCCGGATTCCAAAGGTAAGATTACCTGTTTCTCCGGATTCCCCATTGAGATGGCACCTGCGCGAGTTTCTTTGAAGATCAATTTCCTTGAGGGACGCATATGTCCAGTAGTGATAGAAACCAACAGGGGAAAATACAACATGATTTGTTTCTTAAGCAAATGGAACGTTGCAGCACTCTAAAGTCCTGCAAGTGCCCTTTGATTCGTTGGGTTGCAACCCCTGGGAAGAAAAGGCGTTCCACACACAGCGGACAATTTCAGCCCCTAAGCTTCTTCGCATTCCTTGGAGGAAACCAAGGGGGCAAACCCCGAGCCAAAGGTGAGGCCTTTGGTTCAATGCAAAAACCGACAAATTTGCGTCCAGAAGGTCCTGTCGCCTTGGGATCTGTACACCCCAAAGCCAGCCACGGGAGGCCAGGAGGGTTCCCAATGGCCTTCAGCTTCCCGTTGAATTGGTGCTTTGGATTGGTTTTGATTTGAACCCGAGTTCAAAAATTGAAACCAAACGGGGAAGGTAGCCCCTAACGTCCACACCACCAATCCAAAACCACCAATTGGAGGGAAACTGATGCTTCGGCTCAGGGCGCTGAATGTCTTCCAGGGCGATGCCCTTGGTCTCTGGCAGCCAGCACGCCAACAGCAGCGCTGCCAGGGAGAAGAAGCCGAAAACGAAGAAGGAGCCGAAGCCCAAGCTTTCCAGAAGGACCTCGGGCGGCCCGTCATTTTTGGGCGTACCCCGTAAAATTCGTGGCTGATCCAGTGGATTGGTCAAACAAAGTCTGAGCTTGTCCGAAAAAAGGAGCTCAGGGAGTGAGTCAAGGGAAACCAAGAGGAACACCACCAAATTGGGTTGTCTATTCAACAACCTGGGTTCTCCAATCAGCCCTCAAATAGGTGGTTGGTCCGGTGGGTTTTTGGTGGTGAAAACAGGGGGGCTTCTCACACCCTTTACGAAACACAGGGGTCCAAATCCCCAAATCAGAGTTGCCCGGTTTCTCAAAACCTTTAATTGTTGCCGTAATGCCAACCAAAGGGGGAGCTGTTACTGTTCCATCATTGTCAGAAACACCCCCCCCCCACCCTACAAATACCTACAGAAGCACCAACGCCCGGAAAAAGGTTGGGACCCTCTCAACAAAACGTGCCCTCTGGGGGGGGGGGGGCTTCCCATCAACCTAAGCAAAACAAATCCCAATTCCCACACCCGCCTGGAGACTTTGAGCGCTACTTGCGAGACGCTGAGAAACGCTTTTATTCTTGTAGACCACACCGGAAATGAACATCTAACGAACATTGGACAAAGTAAAATTGACATTCCAACTTCGGAAAAACCACATGTCCAATCTCTCGCGTCTTGTTGCCGTGAGGTTTGAACCGCCCCTGTCTGCAGGGGTGTGAGTTGGAAAGCCCTTTTGGCCATAAGACACAGCTTCAGCTTCCCTTGAATTGGCTGTTCGGATTGGTGGCTTGGAGGTGTTCCGGGTCTCCCATTTAGAAGGGGTTCCAATCCAACTCCAAATATGCAACGAACCAACAACCACGAATTTTTAGGCTTACCTAACACCCAAAATGAATCTTGGAACCTCAACAATTGCCTTTTGGTCCAAAGCCTTCCAATGCAGATCCAAACCCCTCCAATGGAAGCTGCAATGGGGTTGGTGCTGTATGCCGTATGCACTCAAAGGCGCAGGCGACACCTGAGCGATGAGGAAGTTCCCGAGCCAGTTGGACATGGTGGTCAGCCCCACACACTTGCTGCGGTGCTGCAGCGGGAAGATTTCCGCGCAGTAGACCCAGACCTTCGATTCTGGCGCGAAACCAGGACCTTCCGGTTTGAGTCATAACCTGGCGATTCAACTTAGGCTTGCCACTTGGAAAGCCACGATTTGGAGGGTATTTTGAGCCCGCCTGTTTATGGCAAAAGATGGCTTAAGAGGACTGTTCCCGATTCCAAACCTGTTTGGTGTGCAAAGCGGCAATTGGGCCCCAGCCATACGCGAAGTTGATCACGAAAAAGAAGACCGCCCCTACTGTGGCCTGCGCGGGGGTGAAAAGGTCACCCTCAATGTGGCAGTTGAAGTCATTCGCGGGATACTGCATCACTTTAGGCATTCCCTTGGCACAGAAAACAAGTGGCAACCCATTGTTTAACCATGGTGTTAACCACTCGGCCAATCAGCTGCAAGGACAATGGCTCCCGGTTTTCCACCACCAGCCTGCGCCTTGACCCCCATCTCTTTGCCCGGAGGTCCAGTGATCCCCAGAACACCCATGGTGCAACAGGCGAGGATCATGCCAGAAGCGCCCCAAATCAAAAGACTCCTCCGGGGTGCCAGGAATGCTATTCCTTGAAAGTCCATGGCTATGCTTTTTGAGGGTAACTTTTGGGGATCGCAACAGACACTTCAGAGAAATCTGCTAATGTATATGTATCATATATATATATATCCCCTCAGGAATGCAAGTTTCCTTTTCCCAACCGCGAGTACCAGCGCAGACAACCAATGTAAACCACCAGAAAGGGAGCATGGCGAAAGGTTCCCGACTGTGGATGATGGGCCACATACACCGGCCTATAACACTGGGAGAAATCAATCACAAATGGAACGGAATTGCGATCCACAGTGCCACACCTAGAAGCGACATTTTCAAAAAAGATCCTGTAAAGTGGTCTTTGAAAGGGAAGCCACCCCACAAACTCAGTTGTAATATCCAAAAGGGGACACCTTTCAAAAGGTCTAGATTTCGGATGATTGATCAAGCGAGCAAAAATCGTTTTGATGACTCCAGAGGTTCAGCTGGTCTAAGTCCCAGTTGGAGTTGCGGGCAGATTTGGAGTCTTGAAGCTCCCCTTTTTGCAGGAGCATTGCCGTAAGTATTTGCGCCCTACAGCTTTATATGTTATACAACCTTTGCTCTTAAAAAAAAAAAAAAAAAAAAAAAAAAAAACGAGAAAAAACAAAAAACAACGGGGTTACCCGGGAATTCAAACCGGCCACACGTCGATCCTCCTGCCGCAGCGGTCGGCCAGGAAGAGGGCGGGCAAGGTGCTGATGCAGTTCACCCCGTTGTTCAAGGCCTGCAGCCGGTTCTCGTCCAGCTGCAAGATCCGGAAGATCCTAGTGGAAACAAAGGCTTAAGCCGGGCTTCCGGCTTGAGCCCTCGGACAAGAACACTATCATATTTCCAGTAGTGATAGATTCTCTTAAAAATAAAAGGGGAAAACAGATTCTTAAGCTAATGGAAGCTCTGGCAAAAATATAATAGTAGTAATAATACCCGCGAGAAAGATGTACCCCACATTCCACGAGCGAAACCAACAAACAAGAGAAAACCGTTAAACAAAAAAAAAACAAAAAACATCGACCTAAGTCTCTTGGGCATTGTGGAAACGGACTTGTGTGATACTGACTCCCGGGTTGGCACTTGAAACCCCAATGAAGGATCAGGAAGAGCTCCAAATTGGATCCTAACTGAACCTGTTACTCAAGCAGTCTACCTGAAGCCATTTGTGAATCAAAGGGGCGAGAAAAAAGAGAAAAACAAAAAACAAGTCTTCACCGTCTAACAGGGATCACCAGAACCCACCTCAAAAGTCCCCCAACAGCGACCAACTGAACGGCTGATGCGGCTTCTGGAAGATGTAGACTCTGGTTCCAATCCCTGGGGGATGAAAGCCTAAACTTGCCATATGGGGGGCTACCACTAAGCGAAGACAAAAACCAGAAGCTTGAGAATATCTGACTCTGGACAAGTCAGGAACTGCAGGGGGGCAAAGCAGGTGTGTGGTGTGGTGAAAACCCAACACGCAAATGCCTTTAGAACACATGCTTGAACTGCCCAGCACCTTTTTCTGATGGTGCCAGAGGGAAACCAAAAAAGAACCCAACCATCAACCATGCTTCCTAGCTTGGCCGTATCCCGCCAACAATTCCTCTGATCTTATCCACCAACATGGAACCCACCAGAACCAGAGGGTCCCCGTTCCAGGAAAAAGGTCTTCCAGGACCCAGCTGCAAGGGTCCTGGTTTCTCGATCTGAACCTATTCCCATTAAAGCGCAACACTCATGTTTGTCATGGAACCCACGAAACATCAAACATCATGCACAAAGAAATCTGTAGATGAATCTCCTCTTGCCGTGCTCATTTGCGTACATTCGCTTGCAACCCATTTCGGTCCTGGGGCCGAAATACATGAAAGCATTCATGCCCACCAGCTGCTGCAGCAATTGCAGGGCCACCCCCACCGCCAGCAGCTGCCTGGTCCTCTGGCTCATGTCCTGCCAGCTGCCTTCGCCGGAGCTGGACTGCCAGCTGGCAAGGATCTCCTCGATTTGCAGATAGATGCATTTCCAACCCCAAAATGGAGTCACTGGCAAAACTGATCGATATCAAAATGGACTACCCTGAGCCATGCAAAGAAGTCAAAGGGCGGCTGCACCTTTTTATGGTTGGGACTGTCCCGTACTGACCCTCATCTGAATTGCCGTTTGTTGGCTTCCTGGGGGCAACAGAATGGGCTATCTACGCAGTGAAGAGCTTGAAACGTTGGTTTCAGAGTGAGGGGCGTGGTCCTTTCGGGCGGTGAGGGGATTTGTGTTTGTTTGTTTAGTGTTGATCTATACTGTTGGCTTGATTGGCTCGTTAAGCCCTAAGAGGAGTCCCCCGGTAAACACCGCGCCCGGCCCCCAAACCAGATGTCTCTTGAAACGGAACCTGCGTGAGGCTGCTACAACCCTGGCGGCTGCTACAACCCTGGCTTGATGCGTAAACAAGTGGGCATGTGCCAAAAAAAACTTGGCCACCCGAAAAAGGTGGGGCTTTTCTTTAGATTTCTGAACCAGAAAGGGGCCAACTCCAACAAGCGCAGATTTTTCAGGGACCCCCTTAACCCCCTTAACCCCCTCCAACAAAGAACGAAACAAGGGGGAGCAGCCGCCCACTTCCACCGCCGGTGCCTTGAACTCCTCCTGCGCCTTGGCTTCATCCCTCAGCCGCTGCAGCACCGCGAGGGCCTCCTCCGTGCGGCCGCGCTGCACCAGCCACCGGGGCGACCGCGGCAGCAGAAACATGCCCAGCAGAAGCACAAGCGCCGGCGCCACCTCGACCCCGTGGGATGTTTTTTCTTTCTCAGTATTAAAAAAAACATGGCAAATCTGCCTTTGGGGGTAGGTGCAAGGGGGGTGGGTAGTTGAGAGCCACTTTCGTGTTCCCCCCGAAAAGAAACCAAAACCACACGGAAGGTCCCCTTAGCGTATTTTTTGGGGGGGGAGGTACGTTAAAAGGGGGCGATTATGGAAACTCCCCTTCGCACTTTGGGGGGATAGGTGCAAGGCGGGTGAATAGCTGAGACTCAGGGTTGTCTAGGCTACTTGGGCCATTTTCTCTTAGGGACTCCATACCCCAAGGTGGGCATCAAACAGCTTGATTGGTTTGCATATGTTTGCATGCCGGTTGGTTTGGTTTGGTGGTTTCCAATTGCTTGCAAGATCCAGGGGTTCAAGTCCCAACACCAATCCAGGGTTGCCTGAATCAGGGTCTGACATTTTGGGATAGTTCCTTTGGACAACCCTAATCTGATATGTCACCATCAGTGCCATCAAGCTCCATAACTCCTGGGGGCGGACATTACCCCTCGAAGTACAAGGGTCGACAAACCAAGAAAACATGGAAGAAAACCGAATCGGCCAATCTCAGGCTCTGTGATCTTCCCCTAGTCAAAAGGGCGGCTTTTTGGTCCCTCGCTGTTGAGTCGAAGCAAACTCGACACTTCGGCCTGCAAGAAGATGGCGTACCTCCAGCCGTCCTCGCGCCCAACGAGTGGGATGTCGGCGGCCGCCGCCACCAGGATGCCCAGGGTGATCATGAACTGGTACCTGAGTGCGCCTTTGGCTCAAAAAATAGGAAATGGACCCCCCAAACATGCATTTGCTTCGTTTGGGGGTCCGTCATTCACATGCGGGCTGCGGGAGCATGAAAAATCATGGGGGAGGAGCAAAATGGACGAGCCATTCAATTTCCCATGTCTACGGGGGAACAGCAGAAAAGGTTTGGATGTAAGGCAGGAGACCAAAAGGAAAGCAACCGCCACCTTGGGGGCAGGTCCTGTTGTGTGGAGCCCACTTCCTTTTAGACACCCCACCAAAAGCCCCGAAAGGTGATGCTGGAAACCACACCTTACGGGAGCTATAGCGCGCCGTGCATCTAGGCGTCTGGTGGTTCGTTTGCTTCCACTGGGCCCAAACAACTTGGCAATGCACTCCAGAAAGGACAACCCAGGCCAGAGAGGCCCCACAAAAGTGTGCTGGTTGCTCCTGTTAAAGAAAATGCCTTAAAGGTCCAGCAGCAGGGTTGGGCCAGCCACTTGAATGTTTGAGGGTGCCTTAGGCCCCCAGGGCCTGGTGAACGCAACTCGCCTGACCCTGCCAAACCACTCCCTGGCCACTGGGCATCTGAGCATTCCAAGCGGTGGCAACGGAGGTACAAAAAGCCGGGCTCATTGTTGTCCCTTTGTGGTTGTAGTCGTTTTTTGCGGCCACACTTTGAGACACAGTTTTGGTTGCGCGTTGCACCAAAGACCATTTTGCCGCGGGAAAAAATGGGCATCCTTTTTGGTTGGTTGACTTTTACTGGGGAAACCCCTTCCCAAAGAAAAAGTCTAAAAAGGGGCGCCACTGGGCAACTGAGAATGCGAATCTCCAAGGCTCAGAGAGGTGAGGTTGCCGCGGAGGTGGCTGGGCGCCAGCTCGCTCTGGTACAACGACACCACGGTGCTCAGCAAACCTCGGCGAAGCGAATGCTCCATGGAACCAGGGGAAGGGCTGGCTTCCATCGGGGGAGTAGCCTAGCTTTTTCCAAGGGGAATTCGAAGAGGATGCTCTGCCGCCTTTTGAGGGCTCAACAGCTTCGACATGTCGGTGTGTGCGTGCTCTTGAGGGTGCTGTGTTCAGGTGGTTTCAAATTGTAGAACTGCGGATTTGAGAGTCCTGCATTTTGAGCCAACTTTCACCCCCGCTCAGAGCCATGCTCAAATGTGCTACCTGCGGGCATGAGATTTTTTTGGGAATCAGGTCCCCCGACTTTCAAGCTGACTGGCTGCAATTCTTGCGAACCGCATACCTTGGAGGATCCTCTTTTTCCAAGCTTCGTGAGCCTTCAGGGGCATTAACGGGTGGACGGCCTTCAATTTCGTTGCAAGCGGACAAACCAGAGACACCCCGGAATATTTCTTGGCCTGCCTTCCTTAAGAGACACGAGCAAAAGCCCCAAGCAAAGCCATAAGAAATCGATCGGAAAAGCCACAATGCAACCCGAATACTGCTGCATCCTCATGAACCCCTTGCCCAGCCGAAAGAAAAGACATTTCTCAGACCTCAAGAAACGCCCCTGGCCGTGGGTGCTGAATCGGAAGTCTAGACAAGTTAACCAATGCCAACATGTTCGAGTATAGCAAATCAACAAATATAGGTCTTTCTTTTGAGGTACTCATGTCTTTTGCGATTTTGCGCGGCATGTCTTTTGTGATTTTGAGGGGAACACAAAAGGAACACCACCGGGGGGGTCCCTAAGAAAAGACGCAAACCAGAAGGGTTTGATAGAATCACAAGCGAAACCAGGCTGAGTACAAAAGAAATGCTTCCTCATCCGGGTGCTTTCACACATTTGGCAGTGTCTTAAAACAGAGGACCCCCCTCAAAAAAACAACACCAAAGGTGGTTTCCCTTTGGTTTCCCAACTCACTTCCCTAAGGGGATTGGTAAACAAGCACTTCTTCTTTACCCTAACATAGTCCAAAGCCAAGAACTCAGCCAGGATTGGCCGGCCCAGCCCGGGCCCTTCTCGCGCTTCTCGCAAGGCCGCCCACCGCGCAACCCGAGATGAGCCGGCCCAGGCAGATGGCGAAGAGCGAGTTGGCGCGGGCCTGGACCCAGCAGCCCAGCAAGAAGACCAAGCTGCCCAGCTGGATGGAGTCCTACGTGGCGATTCCAAGGATCTTCATGGGAATTCCAACTTAGCTTCTTATTCTGTAAAGGGGGATTAGGGGTAGAGTGAGGTTACGGGTAGGTTAGGGGTAGGTTGGGGTTAGGCATACCTAACCCTAACCTAACCCTAACCCTAACCCTAACCCTAACCTAGCCTTTGCTAACACGGAACGCAGCTTCCCCCGAATTGGTGAAGCTAAAGCCTCGTGGTGTGGAAGTTAGGGGCCATGTCATGTACCACAAGAACCAGAGGTCCAAATCCCCAAACCACCAACCAAAACCACCCATTCATGGATACCTGAAAACTTTGAGAGGGTTCCAACCATAGGTGGCCTTTTGAAAAGTAGATGGCCCTAATCAGTGGAATGCAACCCATCCAAACCAGCACCACCTATTTCGAACCAAGCTAACCTAAAGGACCCCTATGATTCCAACCTGGATCGCCAAGTTGCGAACACGCCTTTAAGAACAGTCACAGTTGCTGGGAAAACCAACTGGTTTCCCTGTAATTCCCCTTCAAACCAAGCCTCAGAAAAGGGGTACGGTAGAACGCCAAGAATGACACAAAGGGACGGTGTCTGCCGAGCCGAAGGCACCTTGCGGCCCCAGGTGTCGAGGAAGTAGCTGCTCACCAAGGGGAAGGACACAGAAATGCAGCCGATGGAGAAAACCCCCACGACGAAGCCCGCGGTGCCGCTGGGAATCTTGGAGCTCGGGTCCTCGCGATCGGCTGTTTCTAAATGGCCATGGGTCAAAAGCCCGGTTAGCCCCCAGTGAACATCCCAATCCCCACAAAAATAGACGAAAATTGGTGGTGCACCTACCCCAAATTGGGATCCCATTGGTTTTGACCCACAGCCACATGGTTGTAGTAGCATCATCGGACCCTCCATTGGAGAAGTCGGGGCCTCCATGAGGTTCGGGACCTCAAAAAAGGCAACCAGTTTGAGGTACACTTCGATGAGGGAAAGGTTTCGGCCTTACTCTCGGCCCCATGAAGCCAGGTGGAAAAAGCCACCACCTCGCATGGCCAAGGGGAATCGCCTCGTTTCGCTCGGTTTGGGCGCCGCACTTTGGGCTGATTGAACTGGTCGGGCGCATGCTTGGGCCCGTGGCCTCAAACTTCCCCCGTGCCATAGTCACCCCAGGTGATACTTTGTCCGATGGGCAAGTCCAAACATGAGCAGCTGGTACTACGGGGAGAAGGTTGTTTCCCCAAAAATAAAAATACAGTGCAGGGTGCAGATGGCATGGTGGAAGCGCGTAACCAGTTCTCTTTGCACATGGCCTCTAGACACCACTTTTGCCAGGGTTTGTTGCCCATATCTCCGCGTCTCTTTAAACACACCCAAAAAAGGGTCTTGTGCGAAACCTCTCGAGCTAGGTGGTTGCTTTTTGGATTCCTTTTAAAACCATCCAAAAAGGGGTCCCCATTTGGAGACACACCCATGCGGCTTCCGGTTGGTCTCTCGACGACTTCACGGCCGTTTTCAATTTGCAAGGCCTCCCAATCCGGCAGCTGCGCCACATCACGCTTGAAGGACCAGCATTCCAGGATCGGAGCGATGTATCCGATGTCCAAGCCAAACAAGAAGGCGCCCAGGGACGCGAGCAGCGAGGCAAATATCACAGTGCAGTTCCCAGACATGAGCCTTCGGAGTTTGAGCCAAGTACAAGGGTAGTTTACATCATATTAACATGCCAAAGTGCCTCTCTCAAAAGCTTGGTCCTGGCCCTTCTCACTTCCAAAACCTCCAAACGGTTGGCGTCTGGGCATGAGTTGAGGCGCCGTCACTTCCATGCTCCTGGCGCGGGCGCTGTAGGGGCCCGTCTGCACTCACCCCTGCCCACACGTTGAAAGCCTTTTCGGCTGGGCTCTTGGGAATTGGCCACCCCAAATGCATACAAAACAAACCGAAAACACGAAGGAATGGAAGTCCGGCCACCCAAACGTCATGCATGCTGAGAGTTTCTAAATATGATACTTGACAAATAACAAGTCGACTGAGGAGCAAGTTGCCTGCAATATCTTGGCACAAGTAAGGAATCATTGCCTCACTCAAGTAGGCCAAACAAGTACATGTTGCATCGTAATACACAATGCCAAAGAACTCTATGGAGATGATGGAGCCAGCATTGCCAAATTACACAAGACCTCTATGACGGCCCTGCTCATTCTAGCGGCTTGAGCAGCTTTGCATTGAGAATCAGCAAGGTAAGTATGGATCTCGCAGGTGTGTCATTCACACTTGCCATTTTATGCCTTCACAATCGTATGGTACAATCTCCGATATACTGGTACTACTGCGGATGGACGCACCAGTTGGTAGGTGGGTTGTCACGCCCTCATATTCCAGCCACCCACCAAAGCACTGACTTTGGCCACACACACAAACACCCACAAAGCAGTCACTGCTGTTTTAGCTGAAGCCTGATCATCCCCAGTGAAAGAAGCAGGGCACTACAACTGTTCAGCAACTCCATGCTTACTGCTTCCGAATGATGTGCCAGTGGACTTGTCTGGGTTTTGCATCTAATCCCATCTCGATTTCAACCCTTCGTGCCACTCAGCAATCGCCTAAAAGAGGGTGGCCGCCGCCGCCAAAGAGTCAGTAAGTCGCTACATGTTGTTTGCCCCCCCGCTAAACGCACGTCTTGGAACTTGAAGGCCGCAATTCATGGGGCTTGTCAAGCTTGCCGGCAGGATCTTTGTCAATCCAAAGGTCTAGACTTCATGTTTGATACTCCGCCGTGGATACCCCCACGCCCCCCCAAAAGTGCTGTAGTTGAGTGCTCTAACTAAGCGCGACTGGTGGAATCCACAGTGGGGCGATCCATAGCGACGACGCACGTCAACTGCTGGGGGGTCTTCCCTGATGGCCGCAAATCCCGGTCCAGGTTCGCTTCCGAAGCTCCATTAGCCTGGCCCGGCCGACACCGACCGGGGGGGGGGGCGGTTCATGAATCGTCCTCAAAATGGCGTCCGGATTTTCGGGAATCGGACTCCTGACATGGTCTGGAATCCCGAAAGTTGCCTCAAAATCACGTCTCGCTCCAGTCCTTGAAGCTGGCAACTTGATCACAAAATACCCCACCGACTAACCGGGAACCCCGAAAAGCATCAGTACTACCCTGCCCACCAACATGGAACCTGACACGGGGCTCCAAAAGGAACATGGTCTTCCGCTAATACAGAGGAGTATTTAGCCCAGGGTGAAGGGAACTGCTCCAAGTCGCTTTCATGAGTCCACCGAACAGGCGACGGTCCCATGTACCCGTTCTGATAAGCATGGATCCCAACACGCCATCCGGTTGAGGACACTCCTATCACAAAATGGACCTGTTTAGGTTCCGTGTGCAAATTTACAGGGGAGCACCCATTCTGATAGGGTGTGGCGGCGAGATGCCAACGGGAAACATCTCGGTTGAGAACCCCAAAAATCCGGTGAACACTTCGAGAAACCATGTTTTCCGCTTCAAGCCCTCGCCGTATCACAGACGTGGTTGCAATGTTCACATGAAACTCCGAACTGCCGTATTTCCGGGGTGTCCAAAATGTGGACTTGGCCTCTTTTTCTGGCTTTGAATAACAGGGGCCCTGATTTGTGGGCCCACCTGCCCTAAGGGACTCCGTTTTTGCACTCAATCTTTCAGGATAGCATTAGCCAAGCTGTGACATGACTGTTGAGTCCTGCAGAGTCTTGATTTGGGTTGTTGAGTAGGCAAGCTAATTGAAGAAGCACACAAGCTAGAGTCGCGGCTCCTTTTCACTTGTCAGGGGTCCGCTTTTGGTTTACTTCAGTGTTCGAAGATCCCCCCAGTTTAGGACAGGCGCACATAAGTATAGTCATCTCCCCCGTTGGCGTATAAAGCCGTGCCGTTTTTCGGAAGCGACCAAATGGTAGATCTCCAAATAGGGAGCCCTCAAAACTTGGCCCCCAATTAAAACTCCAGCGCCTCAACACAAACACACCCAATACGATTGTTTTTGTCATACCCTTGAACCACTGGGGATTTGTGTCACCAACTGTATAAACATATGGCTGTGGCTCAACAAAGTGGTACCAATTTGTGGGCCCCTTGGATGGAAACAAAGACCAAAACCTGCGCAACCCCAGCTCTTAAATTTGAGCCACACCCATATTTGAACACCTGTTGCAACAACCTCCATTTGACCTCCCCAACAGGATGCGTTTTCACATTTTTTGCCACCGCCCCAGCATCAAAGAAACGCACAAACTGCCACCAGGCCCCGCCTTTTCGCCTGAGTGGTGCTCGTGAAGCCTCAATTCCCAGTTTTTTGGGCCCGGCACCGCGAGGAATGCTAACTTCGGATAAATCTGGAGGACTCTCCGAATCAGAAGCAAGTCGAGCCGAGAACAGACAATTTCCGAATTAAATTGGACGTGCCACTGTTTTAGTGCGGTCCTCCTTTATCCGTGTTGAACACTGATCCCCTGGTGAATATGCACACCCTTACCCTTCCATGCATTTGGTTAACTTTGTGGTATTTGGCAACGACAGGGTCACAAACCTCACTTAGGAAGAACCCATGGCCATGTTGAGCCCTTTGGTGGCTGTACTCCCACAATTTCACACTGAGATGGTTGGGAGTTGGCAAAATGGTTAGAAACCCTAGCGACAAGGATTTGCACGGGGGTAACTGGGATCATTCTGGGTTGAAGCTTCTCCTTGGCCATAAACGAATTCATTCTGGGCATCTTCATGGTAGGGGTGACTTCAGAAGGACCAAGGTGCCCAAACTCTGTTGAGAAGGTCGATTCACGTAGGTGTCCTTTTGGTAATTCATACAATACATGGCACTGGTCAATGATTGGAACCACCCGGCAACCGGTGCCATCGATTTTCGACCAATCTCACCTAAAAAGGCCGCCTAATTCCTTCTGGACTGAAACTCGCCTTCCTCGTCGCTGTCCACTCCGAAGAAGCGAGGACTGGTCCTCAAAGCGGGGATACCTCCAATTGTTTCCAACCAGCGCCCAAGACAGAGGCCCTTGACATGAATGTCCCACCGTATTGCCACAGGAAAGCGACAAGGGACCGTTAAAGCTTCACAGCCTCCATCTGCAAAAACGATAACAAGACAACCAACCCATGACCTCTGCTCCCGTGCTACTGTTCAACACTCAGCTTGGCAAGTCCCAGAGTTCTTGGTACACTTTGGCCGTGCCCTGCGCAGGATCAGTCAGAACAACTCTTTTCATGTTTCTCACTTCAAAGCGGGTGGAAATCAAAGATCACCTTTTGGAGGCTCCCACAGATCATTTGCGGATCGAACGGGTCTACACGGGGAAAAAAGCAGGAAGGGGCACTTTTGAAAGCGCTCCAGTTGGCCCGGACGAGTTGCAACCTAACACATCAGCTTTCCTGTGGTGCCTAGGGATGATTTACCATTTACCCTCTACAAGAGCCAAGGGGTCCAAATCCGCAGTTCCCACCAATCCAAACCACCAAGTAAGGGCTACCTGATTAACTCATCCCACAACAAGAGGCGGCGGATCACCCGGCTTGTGATTGCCTTGCGGTTTCCCTTTCAAACCAAACAAAAGAGGTGGCAAAAACACACACACACACACACACACACACACACACACCCTGGCACACGGTCCTCAGCTCTTCTGGACTGTTCCAGGCGACCCTGGGCGTGCGAACCGGCGCCTGGCGCGAACCAAGTCGAGGATTGGTGGCCCTCTGGTTTCCCTTCACCATCCAAAAAACGGAAGCCGTTTTGTTTGACACAGCCCAAGAGACCTTCAGACTGCTTCTGGTCGCTTCAAAGGTTTCTGCACTGAGACCTCTAAACACCGAGGTAAGAATCAAATGCCCCGAGCCATTTTGCCCACCATTTCTGGTTGAGGTCCCCAATTTCAACCTACCGAGGTGATTTTCCCGCCAAGCAAACCCAACAGGCCCGGAACCTTCCTGGGACTCTGCCCCAACCCCAACCAGCTCAGAAACATGTGCAAACCCGATGAAGGGATCAGCTGCAATTCGATCTTCCCAAAACACAAAGGTGAGAACCTTTCCCAAGTACCTTACTGACCCCACGGTCACCTGAGGGGGAATATCTCGGGGCAAAACTCCTGGCCACGGTTGGACCACCCAAATGGGTTTGGCTTTCCTTTTGGTGTCCCTGTTAAACCACCCAAGAAAGGGGTACCAGCTGCAAACAAAGATGAGCCACCCATATCCCCAATCAATGATCCAAGTCGGGTTCCATGACGGCGCTGGAATGGCCGGCTCGCTCAAAACGGAACACCTGGCGGCTTTCAGAAAGCGAACAGGACATCGACCACAAGTCCGGCAAGCCGCAAACGGCTTCAGGCCCTGGTCAGAAGGGGACTTTCTGACTCGATTAGGTGCGAGTTCTGCGATTCTTGTAGAATAGTTCGAACAGTGAAAGGAAACATGAAGAAAACCTCAAAGAGATCAACAAACAAAAGCAAGTGATGAGCATGAGGTAAACAAGGGCCAACCAAACGCTTCACACAACACGAACACGAGATTGCTGAACTCCCCACGAACCGGTCCACCCTCCGGCGCCTCCGTCTCCGGCGCCGACGGTGCCGGAGGCGGGTCCGGGCGGCGAGCGGAGGGGTAGCCCTCCGTCCTCGGCTTCCACTGGGCTGATGGGCTGAGGGGCTGTTGGGCTGTTGGGTTGTGGGTCTCGAGCGCGTGTAGACTCGGCCTCCCTTGTCCACTGGGGAAGCAAAG